ACACAAACATTTTCAAATTAAGAAAGGCTCGTATTCCCCCCTTAGCTAATGATGACTAAACCCCATATCAGAAAATGGAAAAATTAAAATAAGAATCTCAAAAAAGAAAATGGAAAAAGAAAATGGAAAAAGAAAATGGAAAAAATAAAATAAGAATCTCAAATGTAATAAAACACTCAATAGGAAGTTACAAGAGCGCCTCAGGCTCCGGAAGATTGTGTGGTTACGACAAACGACTGGAGTCATTCCTGAGATGCTAAGACAACCAACGGGAACCATTCCAGGTACGCAAGCCGGGGTAAGGACGTGCGTTACCATAATGTTAGCTGCCTTATCAGACTCTCTGCACTGCTTTTCCTGGCCCCCATAAGCTCGGGCGAGTCTGATAGCCATCCGGGATTACCATAACTAAATTTTATCATTGTTCATGTAAATTTGCACTTGGAACGATATGCTGAAAAAATTCTTCTCTTTATAAACAGGAGATTAGGAATTAATACTTAAAATATAATTAAAAATTAATAAGGTCAGAGGGTTTCCACAAGCCTGGAAACCCACTTCGGCCAATCATCAGCCAGATACCCACACCCACATGTAGACTGTCTACGCGACTCAACTGCCTGCTGACTCCTTATGTAGCTTGTGCTTTCATCCTGAAGTCTCCAAAGGAATTCGTTGACTTACTGCGGGGAGCACGGGCCACAGGAATAAGAGCCTCTTTGGATGTGGAGTCGCTGTTTACCAACGTGCCTGTGGACGAGACAATCAGGATGATGAGAGACAGAGTTTATCGTGATTCAGCTTGTACCCATCTTGACATACCAGAGAGCATATTGAAAAAGTTACTCCAAGCCTGTACTAAAGAGGCATCCTTCATGAGTCCCGATGGTCACATGTATAAGCAAGTAGATGGGGTCGCCATGGGTTCTTCCCTAGGTGTCCTTTTGCGAACGTCTACATGGGCACCATAGAGTAGAGGGTCTTAGTTGACATGGACTTGAAACCTGCCATATACTGCAGGTACGTTGACAACATTTTTATGCAGGTACCTGATGTCAGACGTCTGCAGCAGCTGAAGGAGGCATTCGAGCAAAATTCGAGGTTGAGTTTCACTTACGAGAGAGCCAGAATTTGGGTCCAAAATATGGCTCAGGTATCGAATTTGGGATGTTTGGGATATTTGGAAAACTGCAGGGGGGGTTTGGGCCAAATGTGACACACCGCTGGTATCAATAATTGGCACATTTTTGGTATAAAAAGTCGGAATTTCAAACTGCGAATAGGAGATGAGCCAGAACTTGGGTCCAAAATTTGGCTCAGGTAACGAATTTGGGATGTTTGGGATATTTTGAAAATTACATGGGGGTTTGGGCAAAATGTGACCCACCACCGCTTTCAGTAATTGACATATTTTTGGTATAAAAAGTAGGAATTTCAAACTGCGAATAGGTGCAGATAGCCAGAATTTGGGTCGAATATATGGCTCAGGTATCGAATTTGGGATGTTTGGGATATTTTGAAAACTGCTGGGGGGTTTGGGCAAAATGTGACCCACCGCCGCTTTCAGTAATTGGCATATTTTTTATATAAAAAGTCGGAATTTCAAACTCCGAATAGGTGCAGAGAGCTAGAATTTGGGTCCAAAATATGGCTCAGGTATCGAATTTGGGATGTTTGGGATATTTTGAAAACTGCAGGGGGGTTTGGGCAAAATGTGACCCACCGCCGCTTTCAGTAATTGGCAGATTTTTATTATAAAAAGTAGGAATTTCAAACTCCGAATAGGTGCAGAGAGCCAGAATTTTGGTAAAAAAATATGGCTCAGGTTTCGAATTTGGGATGTTTGGTATATTTTCAAAACTGCAGAGGGGTTTGGGCAAAATGTGACCCACCGCCACTTTCAGTAATTGGAAGATTTTTGGTATAAAAATTCGGAATTTCAAACTGCGAATAGGTGCAGAGAGCCAGAATTTGGGTCCAAAATATGGCTCAGGTATCGAATTTGGGATGTTTGGAATATTTTGAAAACGGCAGGCGAGTTTGGGCAAAATGTGACCCACCGCCTCTTTCAGTAATTGGCAGATTTTTTGTATAAAAAGTAGGAATTTCAAACTGCGAATAGGTGCAGATAGCCAGAATTTGGGTCCAAAATATGGCTCAGGTATCGAATTTAGGATGTTTGGGATATTTTGAAAACTGCAGGGGGGTTTGGGCAAAATGCGACCCACCTCCGCTTTCAGTAATTGGCATATTTTTGGTATAAAAAGTCGGAATTTCAAACTGCGAATAATTGCAGAGAGCCAGAATTTGGGTCCAAAATATGGCTCAGGTATCGAATTTGGGATGTTTGGGATATTTTTAAAACTGCAGGGGGGTTTGCGCAAAATGTGACACACCGCTGGTATCAATAATTGGCATATTTTTGGTATAAAAAGTCGGAATTTCAAACTGCGAATAGGAGATGAGCCAGAATTTGGGTCCAAAATATGGCTCAGGTATCGAATTTGGGATGTTTGGGATATTTTGAAAACTACATGGGGGTTTGGGCAAAATGTGACCCACCGCCGCTTTCAGTAATTGGCATATTTTTGGTATAAAAAGTCGGAATTTCAAACTGCGAATAGGTGCAGAGAGCCAGAATTTGGGTCAAAAATATGGCTCAGGTATCGAATTTGGGATGTTTGGGATATTTTGAAAACTGCTGGGGGGGGTTTGGGCAAAATGTGACCCACCGCCGCTTTCAGTAATTGGCATATTTTTTATAAAAAAGTCGGAATTTGAAACTGAAAATAGGTGCAGAGAGCTAGAATTTGGGTCCAAAATATGGCTCAGGTATCGAATTTGGGATGTTTGGGATATTTTGAAAACTGCAGGGGGGTTTGGGCAAAATGTGACCCACCGCCGCTTTCAGTAATTGGCAGATTTTTATTATAAAAAGTAGGAATTTCAAACTCCGAATAGGTGCAGAGAGCCAGAATTTGGGTCAAAAATTATGGCTCAGGTTTCGAATTTGGGATGTTTGGTATATTTTGAAAACTGCAGGAGGGGTTTGGGCAAAATGTGACCCACCGCCGTTTTCAGTAATTGGCATATTTTTGGTATAAAAAGTCGGAATTTCAAACTGCGAATAGGTGCAGAGAGCCAGAATTTGGGTCCAAAATATGGCTCAGGTATCGAATTTGGGATTTTGGATATTTTGAAAACTACAGGGGGGGTTTGGGCAAAATGTGACCCATCGCCTCTTTCAGTAATTGGCATATTTTTTGTATAAAAAGTAGGAATTTCAAACTGCGAATAGGTGCAGATAGCCAGAATTTGGGTCCAAAATATGGCTCAGGTATCGAATTTAGGATGTTTGGGATATTTTGAAAACTGCAGGGGGGTTTGGGCAAAATGCGACCCACCTCCGCTTTCAGTAATTGGCATATTTTTGGTATAAAAAGTCGGAATTTCAAACTTCGAATAGGTGCAGAGAGCCAGAATTTGGGTCCAAAATATGGCTCAGATATCGAATTTGTTATGTTTGGGATACTTTTAAAACTGCAGGGGGGTTTGGGCAAAATGTGACACACCGCTGGTATCAATAATTGGCATATTTTTGGTATAAAAAGTCGGAATTTTAAACTGCGAATAGGAGATGAGCCAGAATTTGGGTCCAAAATATGGCTCAGGTATCGAGTTTGGGATGTTTGGGATATTTTGAAAACTACATGGAGGTTTGGGCAAAATGTGACCCACCGCCGCTTTCAGTAATTGGCATATTTTTGGTTTAAAAAGTCGTAATTTGAAACTGAAAATAGGTGCAGAGAGTAAGAATTCTGCTCAAAAATGACGTTCAGGTGTCAAATTTCCGACATTTCAGATACTGTATTTTGAAAACTGAAGGGGGGGGTTTAAGCAAAATATGACCCATCGTATTTTTCAGTAATTGGCATATTTTCAGTATAAAAAGTCGTAATATGAAACTGAAAATAGGTGCAGAGAGTTAGAATTCGGCTCAAAAACGACGTCCAGGAGTCAAATTTCTGACATTTCAAATATTTTGAAAACTGCAGTGGGGTTTGGGCAAAATATGACCCATCGCCGTTTTCAGTAATTGGTACTTTTTCGGTATAAAAAGTCGCAATTTGAAACTAAAAATAGGTGCAGAGAGTCAGAAATCGGCTCAAAAATTAAGTTCAGGAGTCAAATTTCCGACATTTCATATAATTTGAAAACTGCAGGAGGGTTTGGGCAAATTATCACCCATCGCCGTTTTCAGTAATTGGCATATTTTCGGTATAAAAAGTCGTAATTTGAAACTAAAAATAGGTGCAGAGGGTGAGAATTCGGCTCCAAAATGACGCTCAGGAGTCAACATTCCAGATATTATGAAAACTACAGGGGGGGTTTGGCCAAAATATGACACATCCCCTTTTTCATTAATTGGCATACTTTCGGTATAAAAAGTCGTATTTTGAAACTGAAAATAGGTGCCGAGAGGCACCTATTTTCACATATATTTGCACCTGCTAGCATTACTTACGTAATGCTAGCAGGATTTGGGTAATTCTACGGCCCTATTGTAACCTTCCGAATTCTATGGAAATGTGGACGATTGTAACTTTCCACCGCCACCCACTGGATGAGGGGGAAGGGGGTTCAAAAGTAAATCAAATTATGAAACTTGCTCACTGCAAGTTTAAGTTGTTTATCTAAGAGACTGTACTTAAGGTTGTTCTAAATCAGTGGTTCACAAACTGTACAGTCATTATCTCTGTATCACGGTGTCCTTACAAAAGCCCCCCTCTGGTATTATAACCTGTTCACTGCTTCAACTTATGGCCCCCCAGTTTAGTTACCAGTGTTCTAAATTGTAACTTGCTTAGCAAAAGACCACAATCTTAGTCCTTCTTGATTTCATTACACAATAATTTCAGACAAACTATGATTCTGCATTATTCTCAACTATCGAAATTCTGACTTTCTTTGAAGTAGGAGCACAAAGAAAACAAATCAAGGTTCCTGAAGAGTATAATGCACCAATATAATAAATATACAATGTAAAGTACTGTATTAGGAATATAGATTAGAGAATTATGCCGTAAACTCTACCAGTTCCATGACTGGCTAGTGTCTACAGCAAACTGAAGGGAATAAATAAATAATAAATTTGTAAAAAATTATGAGTTTCACAATTAAGAAAATATAATCACAACTGTCTGTATTCAGTTCTGACCATCTGAACTGTTCTTTTGACAAATGTACTCTGTACAAGCTTAGTCCATCAGATTTTCATGTCATACTATAAATTTCTAGCGGTATGCACATTGGCATTAGTAATATTGTCATGAATTGTTTCACATACTTTATCATTCAGCAACACCCGTCTAAGATATTTCACTAGCAAGGAAGAAGCTGCCATAAGACTAGAATGCAGGAAAATGAGGGAATCTTAATTAACAATAGATTTCCCTAGATCTTTTACACACATTTGAGGAAATACATGTACAACCATAATTTGTAGTCTTAATCTGTAATAGGAAAATTCCTGAATAATGTTCTATTACATTTTTATCATAATTACTGCATACAGCGTTACAGTAACTTTTTTCTTCTCTAATACTGACGAAGATAATCTTCCTAGCAACAAATAAACAAAATGAATCTCTAAGTGACACTTCTGTAATAAAGATAATCTCCAGTGAAGATGACTTTCCTTTCTGAAAGATACACACTTCTGAGAACTCAATATTTTGAATATTATTACTGTACTCATTTAGGTAGGATAAATGAATCGCAGTAAATTAGCCAAAAACATGCACACAAATATTTACTATTTCTTTGGATGGTCTGACCACAGCATAACGATAACATTTAGTAGACACTGGTATATTTTCATACAAATACACATCAGTTATCAATGACAACTTAAATATCTTGAACAAATTATATAAAGCAAAGCTTAACAAGCTACTTAGATATTTGTGGATGCTTTGTTTTGCTCCAGGTAAGTTGCTCTACAAATTGTCAAGTCTCTTTCCTTCTTAGAAGAAAATCTATACTGTATTTATATATCTATCATTATCAACATTACATACGAGTATTTTGGATTCTAGTAATATAAGTACACTTATTCCAACGTAGGGTAATGTTCATGCAAACAGTTTTGTAACAGTTCATGATGACAACACCATGACTGAAAAGCACAAATGTTGAAAAAAAATGATAAGAACACAAGAGAAATGCAGTATTTATAAACAAAGCCTTCTGGACTACATTTTCAACAACTGTTATATATTCACAACTACTTCCTAACCATAGAACAATCTTCAGGTTATGGACAAATATTTCCTTAACATGTCAATAAAGAACACCCTCAATAATTGTTTAAAAAAGATGCTGTCAAAACATTGCAAAACCTTACACCCAGCTCAAAGCTCCAAGTTTCCAGATTTTGATTAAAAACTGTTTCTTACTGATGTGCCATCTGGGAATGACACCGCTCATGAGTGTCAGAGGGAAAATCTTTCCAAGTTAAAAAGTGGTCATGTCTATGAAGTTGCAATTTAATATTGATCAAAAGATGTAACCAATTACAATACATGAATGCCACAAATCTGTATCTTCAATAAATGCACTTATGGTGTCAATGACACTATAAGTCTTCATTAAAAGTGTGTTTTCTGCTAAAGTTGAATCATGAAATGCTTTATCCCCCAACTATCCAAATCTACATTTTAGTACACCTCAATTGTTTAACAAAGGTAGTAGTATTATTTAGGGCAAAACTGTGGCCTATATTCAAGAATGAGTCTTCAATTGGAGAATATGGCTTCCCACTGTCAGGGAAAAAGGAACCCTGTTAAGTTTATCGAGATCTTCCCTAGGTCAATGACTAACTGACTTCCAAAATGCAACCCACAACAGCTGACTAACTTTTAAGTACTGTACATATTTACTACTAGGTTAACAGAGGTAAAGGAAATGTACCCAAACTTCTTGTCCAACATGGAACACTTAAACCCAGGACCTTTCTGTTACAAGTTTATAGCCACATGAGAAATGTTCAATTTGAACATCGAGCCATGAAATGTCATTTTGATCTATGAAATTTTCATGCCGGATATCAATGTGGTACATCATAAAGCCAGCTACAAAATTTGAACCATTTTATAAAAAACTACAGTAATTTTGCAAATCACATGTTGTACCAAATCATATTTCCTGTCAGAATAATTTATATAAGTAAGTTTTTGAAAGTAAGTAATTATCAATTAAGTAATTATCAAAAGAAGGCACCAACCCAGACGTTTTTGAAAGCTACACAACCCTTTGAAACTTGGTAAACATAAATACATAATGCATATGTAAATATTTACCCATTAATCCTCAACATCTGGCCTTATTCCACTTCTGGAGATGACTAATTTCCTTTTAAATGTAAAGTGCTGCACTCATGACAAGCAATTATTTGATCCTCTATAAAACCCTTTAGCTAGCCTGTAGCAAAATCTAATAATGGAATAAAAACCTAATAATGGCCTACTGAATTTTATTAACCATTGTCAAAGATTTTAAAATAACAACACTGTTTTTGTTGCCATCCCCATCTTTCTATGTTAATGTAAACAGCAAGATTGCCATGGAAAAGACTGCACATTACATTCACGGACTTTACAGAAAACTGAATTGGCACTTAAACCATATCAAATATGAGCTCCAGCTGGTTTATTCTGAATTAAGCAGATGCAGTTAATGTATTCATCAAAAGAAAACACTAAGGCAGTACAAATAGAGGGTGTTAAAAATAAATATCAACATTCTCAAGTGGTATAAACCCCAAATACTGTGACCTTTAAAGTTGGATTATATTACAGTACTGTACCTTAATTACTATACATTTTAAATATCATACAGACAAACTAATATATAGGAAACCTTATGAAGGTAACACTCTTGTGTACTCAGTTTTTATTTGAAATCGCTGTGGTTCATTTATTCTTTATTGGATTGCTTAAGAGTAAAATACTGTAAATATGTAGCGAGATATAGTTCAGCAAAACAAAAAATTTCTTTGCACCAATAATATTCCAAAATTAATGGTAAATATATGCAACGAATATATCTGAGCAGCAGCAAAATTATATAATGAACATTAATACCCATCCATTTTGCTGCTATCAAATTAGGATTTGACCAAAAAGTTAAACTGTTAACTAGTCAGATATGAGCTATCAAACTGAGTACATGAGCCTGTAAAACACCGGTGAAAAACTAGAATACAATATAGTAAAGCTGTCCATAGTGACATACTGAATGGTACAGGTATCTGACCTTGCTGACAAATTACCATCTGCTTTTCAAGTAAGTGTATATGAAGACCAAAATTTAAGGAACAATTAATAATTGCAAGTGAATGATGCTGAATTAATCAATAACGTTGATGAAACTTTGTCAATTTTTATATTAAACATCAGTTCATTTAAGAACTATTTGAAGAAAATTAAAAAATATTGTGCTCTAAAAAAAAAAAATGAAACACATTATTTATGATTTTCCACTTGATATACACAATGCGTTAGCAGCAGCCCCCTAGCTAAAAACATATAGAAAATATATTTGCAATCATAACTGTACAGTTAACTAAAAATATATTAAAATTTAATATCAGTCTAATAAAGCTCAACACCCTCATAACAGGCGTGGGAAATAGTGTAGTACTGTGCCGTTTAAGAAATCATCTTCAAAGCTGAGCACACATTTTACCTACAGAGGTGAGTCATTCTTACACAGTGTCAATGCCTCCATTTTGTAATACATTTGCTATAAATTTTCATATGAGCAAGACCTGAAGAATGAAAGATAAAAGTAACATCAGTAAGAAAATGAGTTGTAAATGATTACATAAATGAAATGCTTACTTTTTCTGCTTACTTTTCTCAACAAGCTACTAACCCATACTGTTCACATTTCAAGGTTAAAAATCCCTAACAAGTGGTGCTTAATATGTCACAGTTCTCTAAAGGGCCTTTACAGTGCCATAAATCTTAAAAACCAGTCATTTTCATTGGAATTCACAAAATCTATACAGTTCACAACAGAGGCCGATATATACATTGGCTACTAGTGCTTGGAACCATGTCACGCCAGCTACCATCTCTAATTTAGCAGCGCCCAATACAAAAAATCTATAACTGAAAGCCTGCAGTGTATCATATAACAAAAAACTATAAAATATTATTTGACAATATCAACCAGATAAAAATATGTATTTCACACTCCTATTTCTGCATTTAATGGATATATTTGTAAAATGCCTGAATTGGCTAGACAACAACATTCCTTTATACAGAATAACCTGGGTATTATGACAGTCAATTGGTTGCTTATTTGGGTTGTTAACTTCTTTGAATGGTTGTCTACAGGTAGGCATACATATACAACTCTTAACAGTTTGACACATTACGTTGGTCATGAGTGATGTACGAGGAAGGTCTTGGGCTACAAAAGAGGGGTAACACGAGATTAATTGGCGCAAGATACGAATACACCACACGGTGCTACCTTAAATATATAAAATGCAGCAGCACATGTTAGCTCTCCTGTATAGTGACTAATAGATTACATCTTAGCAAAGCAAGCAGGATTATTATATACAGAGCCAAATTCTTAATTTTGGCAATCACAAATAATATACATACACAGTAGGTCAAATTAACCACAATGCTGCAAGTGCAAATGATAAAACTACACATGGAACAATGCTATGCATCACCAGACACAGCATTTTATTTTGAAAAAAAACAAAAAAAATTAAATATCTTGCCAATTCATGTAGGAATCAAAACAAAACTTTGACACGTTTCATACATAATCTCAAAAAACTCAAAATCTTTACTGTAATTCTTTAAAACTGTGTTAAACAATTAATAACTAAAACATCTGCATCAGACTAAACATAATGCAGTATTCCACATGTAGGTAACATCATTATCATGGTTACAGTATTGTAATAGCCTGGCCAGATTTACCTTCACTACAAAATGGCTTGGTTGTCATCTCAGCTAAAGGTAAAGCCAATCTTAGCAATTGCCCAGAATAAATACGTTATATGGCTGATATATGGTTGCACCGAGAAGCATGCAATAAACCGAAAGACAGGTAGTCTTCAAACTTGGTTACCGATTCTGGACAACTACCTCACTCTTTTTATTTTCAGTTTTTTCTATTTTTTTTTTTTTTTTATCAGCATTTTATCAGGCAGGCCGGGCAGCTCCCATCACTATCAGAGCTCAAGTCCATATTATCACAGATATGCAACTTGCACTAAATTGAGAGAAAAAAGTGTTAAAAGCACGTAAAAAATCTTTGGTGTTGGCAAGAGATACTAAAAGAAGAGATATTAAATATTTCAAAGTATAATAAAGATAAAGCCATGAGATAAATTGCAGTAGAAATGTGTGTATTTTCCCTTTTCTCACCATTTGGGTCAGTCACCACCATGCAAATTAGATATATTACCAGTTACCAGTCTCACCTTCTATGAACATAACCTTCTCCACATAACTAGTTCATTAGGTCTAAAAATAATATATCTGAGCAAATAACACAATCCGATTAATAAACCGAGATCCAAAAAGAACACGTACAGGCACTGACTAAGGAGAGAAGCTTAAGTCATAAAAATCACCTAATTTAAAAGGTAAGCTGCAATAAAACTTCATTAATCTGTAACAATCAAGGCCGACAAATCTCAGATTTGTGAATTATTCAGTAATTCAAATACATCGACACTGGACCGTTATTGATACCGACTAACAATACTGATGTTAATCCAATGTTTGGTCAAGATTAAAGACAACAAATCAGTGACAGCAGTATCACAAGAACAATAATGATACTGATCTGAATTCAATTTGACAAACGAATTTCTGTATTAAGTATGCCAAATTCAATCAAATATATTTTAAATAATTCCGAAATTTAAGTTTCTGCAACTTTTGTCCAGTTTTCAATGCCGTATTGTATTACATTTTCCCTGAAGCACAAACATCTCCCATTTATTAAAAACTGTTAATTAAGTGGTCCCTTACTGTGTACCTTTGAACTTTTATATTTTGAAATTAAATGTGAATCCTAACCAATATACTTTTGAGGGATTTTTCCAATTTTATCACTTCTTAGAAAAATTTTGCTACAAATCCCTAGCATATTTGTTAATTGCATTTTGGCAAGCAATTATGCCTTCATATCATCTATATTAAAAAAAAAGATTTATTTAGAATCCAACTTTTATGCAACAATGTCATTAACTATTGTAATGAAATAAAGAAATATACTCATTACCTTTTATCCATCACATGATATTTTGACAAGAGCAAGTCCAAGTATGCATGATCAGAAAAACAGGGCTAGACAATTTAGCAAGACCAATAATGTACTATACTCTATGAGGGAAATGGGCAAAGCTTGTGAGAAAGGCTCCAGGCAATTAGAATGCAGTCTTACATTTACACTCCTTAATATTTAATATCAATCTCAACATAGATCAAATAAAGGCGAAGATATATTTTATGATACCTATTTAAAATTTATATTTTCCTTATGGCAGATAGTAATTGCCGTGCCAATGTTTGTACAGTACTTTCTATTATGTTCCTGTTTCTTAAACAATGTTATAGTGTATTTTAATTCATTAATATCACTATTCTGTTGTGAAAAATGGATCTCTTTCAATCTCGGTAAATAACTCAGATCACATCTTTGAAGTATACCATACTAGGATAGAAGTGTTCATCACAAAACTAATCATCAATCAAATCAGCGGTAAATGTTTAAACCAAAAAGATGTCAGCACAAACATGTACATTAAATTAAGCAAAGAGAAAATAGAAAAAAAAAAAAAAAAAAACTAATTCTGGTGAGGCTAACAAACATTGATAAACTCTTGCTTCATATATTTTCACGTACCCATTGAACTTCATTAACAAAACTTCCAAATGTATTTTCAGGTTGCCTACCAGTTTCACAAATAAAAGTGAATCGGTAAAATATCAGAAAGAAAATTATAACAATCATGTTCATTGACTAGAATATTCTAACATTTTATTTATTATAAAATAACATTCACAACTTCTCAATTTAACAACTACAGCTGAAATTATTATCACAGTACATATGCTTTAAGATAACTTTACCAATATTAAATAGAGAACACACATGAATTTAACCCAAATTTATAAAAAAACAAATTAATATCCTTAGTTTGCTTTACCGAAGTGTCATGGGGGCAAATAGAGGGAGTCTGATCACTATGCAGTTTGGCTAATGCTTAGAGTAATTAGGCAAGTGATGTTTCTAAACAGGTCAGGATAGAATAATATAGTTTAACTGATCATTAACGTGATGTTCAGATATGGCAGTGAACAACTTAGAATTCATATAAAGAGAAAATTAATACAAGAGAATAAATACACCTGCATCTGATTAAAGATTCCAATAATTAAATTAATTTTGGATTCATAAATGCTCAGCAAAGTTTTTTTTTATATATAATCTCCCGTGAAAAATCCTCTGTAAAGTTATGTAAGGTGGTCACTGTCTGACAATGTTAATATTGAAATAGAATGGTCCATAAATTCATGGGCAAACATTGGCATTGCATGTGGTGGGCTTATAAAATAAAATTAACTTTTCAAACATATTTGTATATTAAATGTTCAGTAAATGCCAGTCACAAAACAATTTCTACAAGAACAAACTCCAGTTATATGTTGATCTGAGATGAAGCAATAAATTGTGTTTACCTCTTATTTTAAGTCTACCAAGAGATCCAATCCAGCACTTCTGTTACACAGCCACGTACACCTCCATACACACGACAAATAAATACCAATACACAACAAAGACATAGTGCCATCACCAAGTCTTCCCAAGCTCTCTCCGAGACACCATAACTGTCCCGACTTAAGGAATATACCATGCGGGATCCTGAGAGTCCACTAAATCGCCTTAATGAATACATGACTGGGGTGAGGAAGTGTAAGGCATCATCATCCTCAAAATCTATCAAACATAGTTGGAGCTGCTTCCAGAGGGAGGACGGTAGGCGCCATAATATTCTCTCGTAAGTGCACGGGTGCATAGAGGTTTTCCATTCAATATTTTTCTTACGCATGAGGCAGCTAAACCTATGTGCAATATTTCCTTCAAACATTCTTGAATTAACTTTTATGGAGGTGTGGCTATGATAAGTTCTACCAAAGTAATGCATTTTACTTAAACTCTTTCTGGGGTAACTTCTCTTATGGTCTGGTTGGGTTTTTTGGCATACAAGACTTGTAGAGGAAGAGTCTAGGAAGGAAGCCTGTTGTTTACAAACACAAGAGAGAGAGCCTGGTAGCACCTTTCTTAAAGGGGTTTTAAACAAAGATGTCACACAACGCTTGACTTGAGGCCTATAGTGATAGCAAGTGCGTCGAGCTCCAAAGGGTCCGAAAATGAGACTGGATCCCTTGTCCATGCTCAAGTGCAGTGATTCTTCAATACTTACTAGTTGTGCTTCTGAGCCACGCTTCAACTCCCGTGGAGTTGAATAATTTGTTAAACAATTATGACCTTTCTCATTATCCACCGATTGTGAAACTATATCTACAATTTTACTTTCAACACATTCATTGCTTATTTTCTTATTCTCTAGTTTCTTTGGTACATCTTCATCAATGACACTTTCCACAGTTTTTCTTGCAATTTTACCAAAAAATCTGGGATCCTCGTCATAAGTATACACAACGCTTGACTTGAGGCCTATAGTGATAGCAAGTGCGTCGAGCTCCAAAGGGTCCGAAAATGAGACTGGATCCCTTGTCCATGCTCAAGTGCAGTGATTCTTCAATACTTACTAGTTGTGCTTCTGAGCCACGCTTCAACTCCCGTGGAGTTGAATAATTTGTTAAACAATTATGACCTTTCTCATTGTTTTTATCCACCGATTGTGAAACTATATCTACAATTTTACTTTCAACACATTCATTGCTTATTTTCTTATTCTCTAGTTTCTTTGGTACATCTTCATCAATGACACTTTCCACAGTTTTTCTTGCAATTTTACCAAAAAATCTGGGATCCTCGTCATAATCATCTTCGAACACTGCAGAGCTTCTTGGAGACCACACAGGCCTGGTTATTTGGGAACCAGACCGCGGGACTTTGGGTACATGGAACTGTCCGACACCTGCGAAGGGGGGCGCAAGCCACTCTTGAATCTGCAAAAGGAGACCACAGGTAAACTACTGAAGAACTCTCTCTTATCTATAACCAAGATAAATCACAAAACACTACTACCTAATAATGAGGTAAATAATGCTTGACAATCCTTAACAAAATACGGGAAAATTGTGTTATTTTCTTATCAATTTCAAAAAGAAATGTCATAAGACACTGGGTAACCGATGAACTATACCTGCTGATTACTATCCACAAGACCTCTGCAAACTGACTCAGAAGTTAATAGCACAGATAGTTTTTCACACGGGGCATAACATACTGATGGTATAATTCTTATGCAATGAAGAACATTATCTACCACAACTGTGCTTGAAGTTTTAAAAGTGCAATAGGCAGAAAATGAAGAGGCAAATGTTCATCATTGACAAGTGGATAGAGTCAATAACAGACATGGGCACACAGAGGAGAGACTATATAAAACTAACCAGGATTCTCCACAAAGTATGGGCAAGTATGGCAGTCAATGAGGTAAACAAATTGTTAAATAACAAAGAATTAGAAAGATCCCTGACAACTTATAAAGGCCACCTTTCAAACCGATACCCCAGTGAAGTGCATACTGAGGGGTCCCCAACTTAAGAATGGCCTCCCAAGGCCTTGTATTTACACCTCCATCTGCTATACAAACCAGCTCCATAATGCAAATAATAATACTTTTATGTCCATACGAACACACACACCTGTGAGGTGCAACAAAACTATCTCCATGTACAAGAGTACCATATGGCTAACCCCTGCTGCCTCAGCCACCAGTATTCTTATACAGGTGTAGTCGCACTGTGCATTCTGTAGACTTTTCATTTGTTTATCAAGGAAATGAGTGCTAACAATAGCTGACTGGAAGAAAAGTGTGATGATGCACCAGTACCTAGAAATTGGTGACCCTATTAGTCTAGAAAGGAAACTGTGTTGGTGTTTCTTCCTTATCAACCACTCTGGTAAGGAAGAAACACCAACACAGATCACAAATGTTCAGAGGATGGACTACAGGAGAAAATGGGGAGTGTGGTAAAAATTTGTTTATAATCAGTTCTGTTTGTAGATATCCATCATGTGACAGGTTCACCAATAGTGTGGGAAAAAGATGTGAATGTGATCTACTTTAATATGGCTCCAAATGAAATTTGGAAATGTCACTGTATTATCAAGGATAAGGCTCAAATTTTAACACTCAACTGCATTCCTGACACTAAAGATACCCACCAATCTCTGCCTGCCCATGTATCACCACCATCTTCTGACTCTTCATTTATCAATTAGACTTCTACTCTCTTCAAAAAAACAAAGTCAGACAAGGTAAATAAAATAAAAAGTTTGGTATATTGTTTTCCAAATACACTTGCCTTTTACCTTTAGATTTTGGATGGTTCGAGAATATCTCGGAGAGTGGAATACCTCGGACATACCTACAAACAGCGATGAAGGTAATAAAATGAAATATGATTTTAACAGGAGTATTTCAGATAATCTAAATGAATGGAAGGCTAAAGGCAAAAAAGGAGTTGCTCTGTCACTACACTTGGCACACTTCTAGAGTGGACAGAAAAATGACTGCTTGAGTTCAACCCTATCAGTGTAAGATAATAAAATTGGAAAAAGGAAACTAGAGACGAAGGATTTCACACAAATGGGGGGTTGACAGCTACAAGAATAATAGACACATGCACTTTTAGTGGATATAATCCATAACTAATTCCAGAAGCACACACAAAAATGATAACATCAACACCATATGGGAAGCAGGTAAACAAAATAAAATTTGAACCCCTAAACCAGGACTCAAAGACAATTTTCTCAGCAACAGTCAAAGCAGTACTAAAATACATACCATCACCATGGAATCTGCACCTCATGAGGAACAAAAACACATTAAATTCAAAAGTTTGCAACACAGCTAGTGCCAAAAATAAGAGGTCAAAGTTATGAGGACAGGTCAATAGAAATGAACTTAACTACTCAAAGAGAAAAGAAAGACTAGCAGGAATATGACAACCATGTACAAAATACTAAGGAGAAATATATGAAGTGGACAAGGACAGCATTTTCCAAGATAGATTTTCCATTTTCATAGAAAAAGTGGACATGGAATGAAGTTGAAAATCCAGCTGTGCCACAGATGTAAGGAAGTACAAATATGCTGCAGGGGCAGGCAACAAGTGGAATACCGTAAAGGAAGAAGTCGTGGAAGCCAGTATCAAATAGATAATAAAGACCAAAAAATAATTTAATGTTATTTTTCAGAAGCAGATAGTTCTGCCAAGATGACAGATCACAGTAACTTAAACAAAATCTAAGTAATTTCAAGGACAAAATACTTCAGAAAATTCTTTAGATAGTTAATGTCAGTACAGACATATTATTATCCATTATACTGCACAATATTCACATTATATTTACATACATGTTCATGGTCCTTTATGTTAAGTTCAATAGAGATTTAAATTTAAGTATTATACTTATAATATCTTAAAATTATATATTTTCAGGCTTTATATACAATGCTGTTATTAAAGAAAGCTTTTCTTGTTAGTAATATTCACCAAGTGCTGTGGATTAATACAATATACTGCTAACTCTGTGGAAGAATCACAAGGCAAGCCTGGAGAAACAGAAGCAACATTAACAAAGCATCCTCTCCAGCAGCCACATTCTTGCTTAGCAGGAAGTCAAAACCATCAGAGAGAAGATGGATAAAATTCCCATTCAAAATATTTCAAAAGCTCCACCAAAATGATTCTGGTTTCCACTGACAATGTCCTGAAATGTTTACTAATGTAAAGTCATGGCTATATTAAAGAACTTGAAAGACAATATAATGTACTTCAAAACATGGATGATAGTACCACTGAAAGTAAACTGTAACGTAATGTTACGCTATGCCCTCTGTAATTAGAGATGACATCCAGATGACATCTCCAATTACAGAGGGTGAGTAAGGTTTAATTTTGTTCAGCCCATCCATGCAGGGTCACCTTGCACAGGCCAATGAAAAAATAAAGTGTATACATAACAGGTATCAAGAATAGGCATAATAGTTAAACAGATTCATATCAGGTGACATATCACACTAAACAGAGTACAAAAGCATATTGTTCTCTAATCCCATTTTTTTATCAAACATGGGAGATGTGCTTTTGCTACTTTATGGGTCTTGCAGCAGGCCAATGCACAAGTGACAAACATAGGTACATTGGGTACAAACACAAGTACACTGAGTAAGTTAGGAAGCTACGTCAAGACAGACGACAATTCATGTTATGCCATAGGAGTCGAGATTGAGTAGTTCATTCGGATTATTATTAAGCAAGGTCAAGTCACATTTCCAGATTACAGAGGAGGCTCATCAAATAACCGGGTTAGCTCCAAAGGCTCGGTGAGAAACTGTACATTTCCAAATTCCCAGTTTGGTTAGGACAAACGACTTAGAAATTGCAGTACCTCTGGAATGATTGTACTCATGGTCTGTTTGTAATTTTTTATTACAGCACCAATCTCATCATTAGCACATGGAGGCAACCTGAAAATGTTGGAAAAATTTTTTGTCAGCTCAGTCCTTGCTCAATTTTCAAAGCCAACACGTTTCTCATTCTACCCAATATCCTAAACAAGAAATGACTATGATTCGCATCAGGAATATCATCAGTTGTTTAGGACTACTGGGAAAGAATGCAGACTCTCATCTCCAAAAAACTTGGATTATTGCAGATTTCTGCATTGTATATTTGTTGTAATATATTATGAAAAGATTTTTCATTATATATAATTACAAATCATTTCATAATTATCTAATGGAAACTGGGAAGAAACAACTGCTTTCAATAACAGGCAATGCAGAAATAAAAATAACATTAAATAAATGATTAGCATTAACGACAACAACATTCAGCTTGTAAAGTGTGCCGAAGTGTGTCTCGATCAAAAAACATCTAAGCAAGACATTTGTGATGAATAAAATAAAACACATCTACATACAACATCAAGAACAAAAAAATCAATGTGCTCAAAGTAGTGTTACCATTTATCCGTGCATTTATGAAAAGTGCATAAGAAATAATGCATACGTAAGTGATGTGAAAAAGATAATTAAAAACAACTTGCAAGGGAGTATCACAAACAAAATGCATTGAGGAATGATGAATTTCATCTTCAGTTAAAAGTGAACTTACTTTCCTTTAGTCTTTTCTTTCCGTGTTGACCTGACTGCCTGAGAGCGATTTAATGTAGCAAGGGAAGCATCAATACTGAGGTCTTCATCAAGTGGCATTAGTGCAGCCTCCAATGCAGCAGCAACACGAGGGGCCACTAATGGACCTTCCCAGTCTCTTGTCGTACGCACCGCAGGATCCAACTCAACAACCATGATGTTTTCTCCCTGAATAACATTGAAAATTGTTCAGGAAAAAATTATTTACTATTAAATGATAACTATACTTACTATGCTATGTTATGTTACTATGTTATGTTGCTATGTTACTATGCTTACTATGCTTACTATACTTACTATGATATGATACTAAATGATAACTATAACTTACTATTATAATAACTATAATAATATCTAATATCTAATAATAACTATTCTTTAGAATCAAGTTCTCAAACATTAAAGTGACTGACATGCTAAAGAATTCTCACTTCCATCAACAGTAATCAACACTTTAGAATACCATAAAAAAAGGTTGGTATGGAGGATTGTATAAAATTGCCCAAGTAGAAATGCTTTGAGGAGACTGCAGCTGCAATGCTGCTCTTTCATTGCACTGATTTATTAGATATAGGTAAAACACGTTATTATTATTATTATTATTATTATTATTATTATTATTATTATTATTATTATTATTATTATTATTATTATTTTATTCCATTTTCCCACAATCTGGAGATAGAAAACTAACAGCTTGGATCTTCACAACACTATGTGTACAGCACAAACACTCATGGCCTCACCACACACCTCTGTAATTGCAATCATATTACCCATGCTGTCCACACTCAATACCTGCTATCTCATACACATACTCTGCCCAGCATATTATTACATATAAAATTGTCAAGACAAGTATCAAACACCGAATCATGAAATATAAAATCAAAGAATACTGAATAGAATTTTCATCAACCTTATATCTTGGGTTGTGGTCAACAGAAGCCTGCATCTTGGCATACTCAGAGGTAGGTCTCCGGGAGGCTGACGAGACCGGTCGCTTTAGAGTGCCACCCGTTTGGCGAACTACTGGTCGAACCTGAAATCAGCCCAGTGTAGTACATATTTAATATTTGTGAAATTTTAGTACTTGAAAGAACTATGAGGCAATATCCAAGTTGCAAAAGATGGTAAATTATAGTGGTATTAAGGAATATAATTTGCAATACAAAATCGTATTGAAATTTATGGAAAATTTAGTAAATCGTATAAACTGAATAGAGAGTTTACATAAACTAAAATAATAATATCCATAATTATGCAATTTGACACATTCAAGAAAATCTATGTCCAGAAGAGTTCACAATAAGTTCACAATTGTGCATTAAAAACTTATAGAATATACCACTTTTGTACAGTAATGAGAAAACAAAGACAATGATCCCAACTAAAATTACTGGTAATAAGACGAAATGAGAATATTTTAACCAAATTTAATACTGTACTACCTTGCATTGAGTATAATACACCTATACTCTTGATTCAATATTTTGGACTTTCATCTAGTCAGTGTCACAAATAGGGTCTTATATAGTGTCAATAAAAAAGGAAAAAAAAAGAAAGTCTTTCATCTTATATGAAAAGCTCCTTTCTGATCCACATAATAAGTTGCTCCTTCATACAAGATGATCCCACTAATTCCTGGAACATTAACCAATGACATCAGGTATGTGTTACATATAGCACTGCATAAAAAGGAATGTTAAAGCATCCTTCCAGAGTCAATGTGCTGAGATCTCTCCACAAAAAAACTAGAGCCATTTTAACCCTTGCACTGCTCACCTATTTTCGGCAAAAACGTCTTGGTGCAATTGTCAAGGACATATTTTTGTTATTTTTACAAATGTTCAGGTAAATTTAATGTCAAAATGTTTCCAAAGTCAACTATTTCCATTTCAAAACACAAATAGTAATGAAAACATTAAAAAACATTAAAATATAGCCAAATTAAAAAACAAAAAGCACAACTCTCTGAGCGCCTAAAGGCGCTTTGCGCAGTGCAGTGGTTAAGCACCTTATAGTAATACAGGTAACCTACAAGCAAGGGCCCTCATCACTTATTAGCTGGGGTACCTTGCCCAAATCACCACTTCCCCACCAGGCAGCAGCACTATGCTCACAGCAGAGTTCACTGACCTGAACCAGCAAACACACATGACCTGAAGAACTTCTCCCCTTACAGATTTGGATGAGGCTAGCCCCAAGCATCGGGCCATCTTTGGACAGATGGACAGACATATTGACATTTCTCTTATAGGTATTGATATATATATATATATATATTACCTTCCATACATCTTCATCATCGTCAAAAAACGCTCGAGACAAGATTTTCCGCTTTTCCTCCGGCGAAATAAAATTTTCAATTATGAGGGCCTTCAGTTTCAGCTCTCTGGAAGCAAAATGAAACTAGTCAGACATTTGAATATATATATATGGATACAAGAATCGCTAAAAATATTCTATAAAAAATACAGCATAACATACATGAAGTGATGAAAATAAAGTACTCTCACCACTCATTACAGTATACGCATGTCTAGTGTATGTAAATAAATGCTAAACAATAGGTAAGCAGGTACAGTAATTTAACTACAAAATTTCCTAAATATGAGCACATGGTGTTGATTTTGTGAGGGTTTGAAAAAAATTCTTTAACAATAATGCATCATTGCACATTCTAAACGCTGTCTGGAAAGCAAAGCGAGTCTTGGATAAGGTACTAAGGTGAGAAACAACCTGTAAGTACAATACTGGTGCGAGATTGTAATCACAATTCAGTTTAGAATGCCATGTTTGTTAAAACCTAAAGAAGTGCTAAACAATGAAGTACAGTAGTTGATTCCTATAGTAAGGAATTAAAGATCACGAATGCAAATTCAAGAAGAAGAAATTGATGTTGATAATAAAATAAACTCTGCAGTAAAACAAGTAAAAGTTAACGTTAACAGCACTAAAGGTAAAGCAAAATAAATTAACAAGAAATGACACTACACTCTTGAGTAAGTGTCAATGATGAAGAGTGACAAGACTGGTCCTGGTAGAAAGGAAAACCGAAGAATAACTGTATAATCAAAGGTTAGGGACCGTACATGAAAAAATTATGAAATAAGAAACGTAGCTGCACAGAAAAGTCAGCCCTCAATCTGCACATATATGAGAGACTTATGAAGGAAGGTAAAGGACAGGTGTCCTGTAGAGCACATTAAGAGCCTGTAAGTTTAAATGTGGCAGAGTCAACTGGCAGACACAGCACAGACTACTTTGAGATGAGTTAAACCTTGATGGATACTACTAAATGGACATGGTAGGTACAAGAAATGGAATTACTCCAATTTAAGGCTAATTGTAAAGTAGCAATAGTAGAAACTGCAAAGAAAAATATAAGACATGAAAGTAATATAATACATTAGCTTAACTATTAGCTATTGCTTATTAGTTTCTTGAATTATTAGCTTAGAGAAAGGAAGTGGAAAAATAGAAAAAACAAAACAAAAAAATTGTGGTAAGTTTCACTTCTAAGAAATGTGTGTTAACAAGATAAGAGAGTCTACATGTACGAGATGTATGAGCAACCAACACGACGTGAACAATTTGGAAGTAATCCATATACATCGATCAGACATGTCAACAGCAGGTGCATATACAGCACTGCAAGAACACAAATACCTGGTAAATACAATGAAATATTGTGTACTGGATGTAGATGTGATACAAGAACAAATGTACTAAAATTATGCAATGTTGTTGACAACAAGCCCAAGAAGGGCAAACTAAAACTGGTATAAATCATACAAATTAACAAATTAAAGAATAGCTCATTTTCTAGTTTATCTTAAGTAAATATAGGAAAGTCTAATCCACAGCTTATTAAACCTTGTGAGAACATCCTGCGTGTGCTGGAGATCAACTCGGTCTCTGCAAAATTCTTCGTGTAGATCACCCATTTCCTGTTTGACAGACTGCAGCTTTGCAAACAACTTTTTCAGTTTACGAGTTTTAGCTTCAACTTCTGCTTGCAGTGAAGAAAATGTGGATGCAATCTCACCCGATGACTCCTCTTCCTTTTCCAATAATTGCAGCATTTCTCGCTCTCGTTTCTGTTTTAAACAAAAATACCAAGTGAAAAATGTAACAATTTATATTTTTTGTTAAATGATCAATTAAAGAACATTTATTAAACAGCACAACAACTCAAATTAGGACACACCTTCTGTTCCATGAGCTCTTGAGTTCTCTGTTGTAATGCTCTCTGTTGCTCATTTGTATGATCAATAATATTTTTGCCTCCAGATAGAAGCTTTGATTCCATGGTTTGTATTCGAGTCATGAGCTTCTCCTGAGCCTCTCTACTGGCTATCAACTCGGCTTCTTTATTTTTCAGTTCTGATAAGAACCGCTGTTTTTCCTGGAGAACAATTTAACAAGGTAAGCAGGTACACTATTGTAGCACAATTTAAATACTGCACAAATTAATTTCCATAATATTAGGAAGCAATAAACTGTAGTTCCTTGGAGGAACACTGTTATAGAAATAGGGATAACAATAATTATTATTATGGAACCCCCAACCCCATTGGGAAATTAAGTTGAAACAAGTCCTGCTTGGGGGTACTATTGGTAACTTGTACAATAATACTAATACAGTATACAGTAATTGATTATACTGTATGGTAAAAACAGAATAAGTAAAAAATTACAAATAAATGACACCCTTCACCACCCCTACAGCACCTTCACACACACATCCCAGGTGGGACAGAAATGATTGGGCAGATATCCCTTCACTTAATGCATCTGTTCACCTAGCAGTAAGTAGGTACTCAGGAGTTTGTCAGTTTTTTTAACCCTCCCTCATGACCAAATGGACAGTGCTCGGGAGGTGTAGTCCAAAGGGCCCAGGTTCTTTCCCAGCCGAGGCAGAAAAAATAGGCAGTTTTTTTTTAGTGCTGGGAATATGGGACACCTCGAGTGTAGCTCTCATCTTGTAACTACACTTAGGTAATTACACAACCACCCCACACAAACCCCTCCCCAACCCTGTACCCCCCATATATACACACACACACACAACCTCTCCACACAAACCCCTCCCCAACCCTATATCCTCCCTTATATACACACATTCACACACACAAATCAAGAAGCACATCAATTGGAGAAGGTGAAAAGTCATTCTACAAAATGGCTTCCAGAACTGAAAAACAAGACATGAAGAAAGGCTAGAGGCATTAGATATACCAAAACTAGAAGATAGAAGAAGAAAGAGGCAATATATTCACCACTTACAAAATAATATTGGCAATTGACAAACCTGACGGGAATTCCTGAAACTGGCAACCTCAAGAACAAGTCACAGATTCAAGCCAAAGAAACAAAGGCACCAAAAAAATATTAGCAAGTTTTCTTTCGCAAACAGAGTAGTAGACAGTTGGAATAAGTTAAGTGAGAAAGTCATGGAGGCCAAAAATGTTAGTAGGTGCAAAGCATTATATGACAAAGAGTACCGGGAAGACTGGACACCATTAGCGTAGCTCTCATCCTGTAACTACATTTTGGTAATTACAAACACACTTATACATTAAAGAAATATGTATTCCTGAATAGAAGAAATGGTGCCCAACCACTTGGAAGATCGAGGATTGAATGCTGACCTGTATGAAGTGAGACCATCGCTCTACCATCCAGCCCAAGGGGTGTTTATCGCCCCGAGGTAGATGAACACACCACATAGTCTGCCACACATACACAAACTTGTACACAATGCTGCAAGCCCAACAAAAAGAACCAGATTAATGACCCTGGGAGGCTTGATGAGCACAGATCACAAAAACCCCAACCCGAGGTATCCATAAACACACTGAGTGACAGGAAAAGAAGGTGCCACACAACAGAACCCCAAAAAGCTAGAGGAGGAAAGTCAGTAAAGGTTAAACATAGCATGTACCCAAGTCTCAATGGTTGTGAAAAGTGCAGAAACAAAGGAACCAGCTTAGTGCCCAGAGCCAAACCCTGTTTAGGGAAAATCATGCAAGCAAAGAGCTGGCACCTGTACAACCACACGAGTTAATGCTGAGGAACCTGGGGTTTCCCAACACCAGTAGGGAAAGCACACAATGCACACAAAGACCAGAACCTTTGGCAGCAGGAAAGGAAAGACAACCGAGAATCACAGACCAGGTCCAAATCAGCAATGGAACCAACCGGTTAATCCACCAGGAACCCAAACCTGGAGAGCTGGGAAAGCAGCAGAACCTTGACTTGTAGACAAATGGCCAGGCAAGCTGCTCAGACCAGCTAGATAGAGAACTATAACCTCCAAAAATTGAGGACCACGCTTGTGTCAAAAGTTCGAGGAGCCAGAACAAGCTAAAAGGAAGAACACAAAACAGCAAACAAGACAGCCTTGATGAAAAGCAACAAGAAAAATCCGAGATGAACCAAGAGTAGGCCAAAAGCAAAATTAAAACTCAGAAAAGCTTCCCATCCCATAAGGCAAAGAGAATAGTTTGAAGGTTAAGTGAGAAGGCAGAGAAAAACAGAAGTAATGTAAGCTCAGAAGATGAAAATTAACTGCAGATCTAAAGAGACCTATGTAGGAAACAGAATGATAAGCCTCTGAAACAGAGCAAAATCCAAACTGCACAGCATCCAACTGAATCATATAGACCAAACAGAGCCACAATGGTGAGATCATCCCGGGACCAACAAAACCAAAAAGGAAAAGGGAGACTGAAGACGACCCCATCTTCACAGGGCAGGGGACACCACCCAGCAGACTCAAGCATTCTGAGGCCAAGAAGAAAAAACTGGGCTGGTAGAATTCAACGACAAATGTTTCACAAGCCCCCAAAATAAGAGCCATTTTTACACAAAGGCATCTAAAATATCTGCGGAAGATTTTAAATGCAGTCCGTTTCTCTTTCCCCCCCTCCCCTCCTCCTCCTCCTACTCCTTCCCTCTAGTATCAAAGTTTTCCTCAAAAGGATCAAAGAAAAAGCTTAGAACTAATAACAGTATCTCAACCTCTTCAATCATATGTTGGTCATTGAGAATGCGATTCCTTTCCTCATCAAGTTCATGCTGCTGCTGTAGTATACTCTCTTCATCAACACCCTCTTCCTCATCTTCTTCTTCCCCTTCACCATCCTCTTCAGCTCCTTCCACATGTTTCTTTTTCTTTTTCTTCTTCCCTCCTCGTTGCGTGAGTTGAGCCTGAAACAAAAATTACATAATGAAAAATAGGGGTACTGTAAATATCACAATATAAATCTAATTAAAGTACCACTTAAAATACTGACACGCAAGTGATAAATTACTGTTATTAAATAATGATACAAGACGGAGAGATCAGCCACCTCTTGGATGATGAGTCGCCAATAGAGCAAGGATCGAAGATTATTTAGTGAATCGCAAGACGTACATGGTGGCTAGCCTACATGGTGTTGGTATTACCTTAACAGATCCTAAGGAACTAAAAGATTAAGCAGGATACTATTCACTACAATACTCTCTCCAAAATTTTGCATGCTTTTTGAACAAGCACTCGACTATCCTCTCTGTACCCATACACTACTGCTATAATGAGTATATTGCAATATGGGAATGCATTTCTACAACCTTTCAAAATCCGACACCTATTGTAACATTCATAAGGAGACTGTTAAAGCAAAATAAAATGTGTATTTTCTATTTTTTAATGAATTAGTATTTTAAGGGATGATCTTGATATTAAATGGACCAATCAAAATTAAATGATTAAAATGTTAACACATTCCATTTTGACAAAAAAGAAAAAAGCTTGGGCACTCGGGAAAACTGAAGGTTAGTTCACAATGTTAACACACGAATGTCTCAACCCAAGGCACATAACTTGCAACTGTGAATACTACTTAGTCCTTTGGCTGAAGCATCTCTGTTCCAGCCCCATATTTTTCTCAGATCTAAATGGGGCTAAAATACTGTAATTCACTTTCTTATTGCACTTTATTTTCAAGTGAACCCGTAATATTTTTTTCCAAGTACTGTAAATAAATTTAGAAGTCCATTTTCTTATATAAAATATGGTCCAATTATCTGAATCCATGCCATAAGTGTTCCCAAAACTGAAATTTTCCATATAAATACAATCAATAAGTACAATTACCAGAAAACAAAGAATTCACTTTACTTACATGAGAGAAAAAAAAAAAAAGAGGAAAAAGATCTTGAACAGCAACAAGGTATTCTTTTACAAATTTAGATTTACTCCATTTGATAAAGCTATTTTTGCCGGGTGAGCACTACCACCTATCGCAGTCAAAGTGTTAAAGAACAGCTCTTTTCTACTACTATATAGAATCTAAACTATAATTACTGAGGATACTACTATACAGTACAACCTTGATTCAGTGAACCTTGCTTTAGTGAATACACACTTTGCATCCTACAAAAAAAATTGCAACACACACAAATGCCTCTTGAAGTCAACCTCAGTTGCAATGAACCTCTCACTCCAACAAATCAGGAATATACAGTTCGCCAATTCAAGGTTACACTGTACATAGTAATCTTAAAATGTCAATATTGTAATCTATTTTTCTCAACAACTAAAATGCATATTCATTAGTGCATGTAAAATTACCCAAATACTGTATAGGAGGAGTCCAAAATTTAATGACTAGGGTATAGCCCCATATAGCTCGTTAAATCGAGTGGAGCACAATAAATTACTGAATATGTACCTATCACTAAAAACAAAAATTTAACATTTTCACACCATGCAACATTACTAATTACAAATCTTAAAATCTACAAAAATCCATGCACAAAATAACCTCTTCAACATTAGACCTATACTGTATATTAAAAAAAAATTGGTATACTGTATTTGTTTAGTGGTTACCTAGTAAATAAAGTAAAAGCAAAAAGAGCACCGATTAAATAATACAATTTACTCTTATCAGTCTTATGCCCTTGTTATTTACTCGCTATAAAATGTAATTTGATGTATTTAAAGTATTTTATAAAAGGTCATCAAATGTCAGAAAAATTCACACACATAGAAGAGCAAGCAAAACAAACACAAGAACAGGAGGATAATGAACAGAAACTTATCAAGGACTGAGACTGCACGCAGCTTTAGAAAATGTAGGCCACGAGAAATGACGGTTCACAATTGTTTTTACAGTACAGTATTAGGAAAAAGAGAATCATAAATGAATGATCAATGTTTCCTTATGAAAGTTCTGAAAGCAGCTGATGCACCTGAAGCACATATACATGAATGGAATTTAATTCAAAACTATACGTATAAAAGCCCAACACTTCTATAACAGCTCCACTGCAATGACAATTTGTGTCACTCAATTTCTTTCACGGTGTGCTCAGTTTCTAGCTCCAACAAGTCATTTATTTTTTTCCAAACTCTGTATTCCGTCATGCAAGACCCCGTCTACATACCTTAATTACAAACACTAACATCATCTGTGACAAACAACACACAACATCCTCTTTTGTTCTTTAGCTCATCTAATTCCAGTAAGTGTTTTCCTGTATTCCAAATGATGGTGTCCCATGCAGGATCATCTGATACACATGTTATCCATGACCAGCTACATATAACACACACTTCTGTCCTCTGTTGAACAACTTCAGACTTTAGCATAACAGGTTCAACAAACTTAACTGAAACTCCAAGAAGCCAAGGAAATACAATACAATACTCAGCTACAGTGGTACCTCGAGCTCACACTGCGATTGTCCATTACTGTATGCGAGTGGTTTTGCGGATGCGAGGCGAGGTGTATTTACTCCAAAAATTTGTCTCAGAAGGCGAGGGTTACTTCGGGAGGCGAGTTTGGACGCGAGTTTGTTGATACGCGTACAGCCGACCTAGCGCGTTCGTCGCCCCTCCGCCCCTCAGTTTATTATTGTCTCGCGCTCAGTGACTACCCCACATCAATTCTTCTCGCGGATTTTCAGTGTTTTGTTGGATTTTTGGTGATTTGTCTATACAATTTGTTATTATATATCTCACCATGGGTCCCAAGAAAGCCAGTGGTAAGGATAAAGGCCAGAAAGCTCATGTGAGGATGACAATAGAGGAGAAACAAGAGATCATTCGGAAGCATGAGAACGGTACACGTGTTGTTGAACTTTGTAGGCAGTACAACAAAGCCACATCAACAATATGCACTATACTTAAGAAGAAAAATAAGATTATGGGTGCTAAAGTGGCAAAAGGAGTAAGAACATTAACGGCACAAAGACCACAAATAAGTGGTATCCATAGTGTTACAAGGCATGGGGTTATGTGATGTGATTATGGAAGGGGACTCCCCTTCCAAACAGTAACTCCTCTCCTCCTCCCCCCTCCTCACCATCTTCCATACGCCTACAGCACTCGACAGCAAGGTAAGTAATAACTGGAACACAGTTTTGTAGGTTTATTTAGATGAATTAGGTAAATTAGGTATAAAAATTTAGTTTGATGTGGGGTTTTTGGGGTAGTCAGGAACGGATTAATTCATTTCCCTTTATTTCTTATGGGGAAATTAACTTCGGAATGCGAGTTTTCGGAAGGCGAGGCGTCTCCAGGAACGGATTAAACTCTTATTCTGAGGTATGCCTGTACAACATATCTAATAAGTAATTAGGCACTAGTAGAGTCGAGTAACCAATGCAAATTTCCCCCATCCCCAAGATTCTGAGGAAATGTTCATTTTGATACACCCAACAGAAACAAGACTCAATATACTAAGGGTACGACTCTGGATATCTTGTTACAATCACACACAGTTATAATAAATAAAACATAACTCTTGCAGGCATCCCCTGCAGAGGACCTTCTAGGAGAACCAAGACGCCACACACATAGCCACTGGGACACACTCTACATATACTGTGTCATTCTTTAAAAGATAATAAAGCTATACAAGTAATAATTCAATCTAATAACCCTGGAAAAAACAAGGAACAGAAGAGAATATGATCAATCTAACCAAAATACTGAGGACAATAGGCAAGTTGGATAATAACAGCCTCTTTAAATTGTGAGAAAGAAGGTCAAAAGGACATCAATGGAAGGTGGAAATACAATCGAGTCAATGAAATGTAGGGAAATTCTTAAGCCCTGTAAGAGTAGTCAGAAAGTGGAAGGCACTGAAAGGGGTTGTAGAAGCCACTTCCACCGACAACTTCAAGAACAGATACTACACGGAACGTGAACGTCAAGAGATATAAAAAACAAGCCCCTCATTGTTAACACTTTCGCACTTTGGTCGAGCGAGCGCCAGACCACCACAAGATGGGCCGGGCATTCCACATGAGTGTGCGGTAATACTGAAAAGTGTATACTTTTTTAAATTTTGTAACCACAATTCTCATACTAGGCTTTTCATTTTGGTATTAATGGGTTCACAATAGAATTTCCTAAAGGAGTATATGCATATAAAGTCCAAAAGCCTGGCGTACCATCCACACCAAACCGAGAAATTGGCCGCGCATTACCCGTGAGCACGCAAGAGCAATAAAATGTGTATCCTCTTTTCACTTTGGTCACCTCAATTCTCGTCCTAGGTCTTTCATTTTGGTATCAATGTATTCACTATAGAATTCCCTACAAGACTATATGCATATAATGTCCAAAACTGCGGCATGCCCCACCCGCAGCCAAGCCGAAACTAGGCCGAAATTTGTTAATTTTTGATGCACTGATGTGTCATTCCCGCATATTCGTCTAATAAATTTTTTATGCCATACTGCATCGTCCCCGCACGAAAGTGTTAATGATAGGGAAGCTCTGACAGGGAGGCTCTCTTGAATGACTCTTGGACGAATTAGAGAACCACCCAAGACAAATCAACTCATGTATGACCTATCCTGGCTGGAGGTTTAAGTTCAACACAAACGTCAACACCAGAAAGCTGTCACCAGCTATACTTTTATATAGAAGACCAATGTCCTGAATGTTTCCCATCCATCCCAATGTTGTGGACACCAGTAGACAAGTGTAACACAAAATGCTCAGTTAACAACTTCTTCAATCTGGATATGCCATTCTCGAGAACATCGCTCATTCCTCAGTTGACTCAAATTTGAAACACATTCACCCCAGTTTCAACTTGTACCTAATATAATTATATCCTAACTTTATATAAGGAATAAACCTATTACAAAAACATAATAAACTCAATAATTAAACTACACCAGTTTCACAGGTCAAGCTCCAAATTGAACTAATTTAAGGTGACAACTCTTAGTTTATAGTATTGGGAAAACAAAAATCTATCACTAGATTTCATAAATGAACTGTAAACAAATATTGTAGATGGTACATAATAATATTAAAACAGAAAATCCTTTGAAACAATGCAGGGATTTGCACCAGTGTTCTAGTGCTCCCAGACACCTGCAAGGATCTGGGAGGCACTAAAATGCTGGTTCAAATCCCTGCATTGCTCCAAAAGTTTCTCATTTATTCATTCTGCCATTGTGATTTCTTTATTATTAAAACAGTTAACATTGAAAAGAATTGCTGAGTGTACTCAGATTATAGGGAACAATGAATATCAGTGCAGTATCGAAGGCTCTGATTAAGCAGGTGAAAAATGAATACAGTAATACTAGATTCACCTCTAATATTGTATAGTTAAATGATTAGTTCTTGCTCACACAGTAGTGAAGTGTTTCAGTGACTGGGCTAGCATGACTCAAACCAAACTTGCAGGTACAGTATTAAATTTGCCACTGAACTTGTACAAGATAAATGTCGTGAAATTCTATACACTGGCTTGCACAGTGCACCCTTGGCATTGACAGAATTGTAGTTCATGCCCAAGGGAATAAATAGTCAGTGATAATCAAAGAGATGCTTTAGCTACTATACAAAATTGATTTGAGATTGACATTTCTGATTACCATCCCGAGTTTGCATCTCAAAGCAAAATACATTACTGTTGTCGTGCCTGTAAAGAACAACATGTAACAAACCACGAGTAGAAAATAATGGAGGAGTTACATTAATCATGACTATAAGAATACTAAAAACAAAATGTCTGATGAAAATTATATCCAACAGACACAAGAGGTCCTGTAAGCTTCAGCATGAAACAATACGATGAACACTGTGAGGAAACTTTCATATACCCAGTATGAGACAATTAAAAAGCTCTAACTCGGCAATACAATATTTAGTGGTCAGGATACGTCTAGGACATAGATGTATCTGACAACATTCATAAGAACATAAACAAATAAAAAGTTGGAGACACCACAATGAGCCTGTTGGCCCATCCTGAGTAGTGCCCATCTAGATCCCACCCCCTCACCCCTATGAATCTATCGAATCTTATTTTTGATAGCTAACTATACCATTTGCCTCTTTGATGTTGGCACGTCAAAGGGGCAAATGGTGCCTCTTGCCCGTACACTGAAAATGGCAGACTGATGTGATTTTAACGAAAGCATGTTTTACAACACTCTACCTTAAGCCGTGCAAGTTCCTGCTGATATTCTCTAAGGATGGCATCTTTTGGATCTTCATTAATCTTCGGCTTATTTTTAATGTTCTTGGCACGGTTGGCATAGCGAAGGGTTGTTATTGTCTCATCATAATTGTAGCTTGCTGGCCCAATATTGGCAACCATGATAGTTTTAGAGTTTCCTCCCAAGGAATCTGAAAGATTACAAGAAAACAATTAGTAATAATCCTACCTGTATGTTTGCTTCTTTTTAATTGTCAAATTAGGAAAGGATGGTTGCAGCTGAATCTTTAAAAGAAATGAATATAGCACATTAAATCTAAACCTTTATTAACACAATTTTATTAAAGACATTCATGAATGCTTTATAAATGTTCATTCTGCTCATCAAGCTGGCCCCTATTGCATAATTTAATGCCAAGCAAATGCAGACCAGTCATGACCAGCTGCAGCATAGTATGTTAAATTCAGATTAAAATGACCAATACCTTGCAGAAATCAACCCGATACTGAATTAAGATTTTTCCTTAATACACATCCCTAGTATTACCTTCATCATGCAAATGAAACACAGAAATGAAAAGCAAAAATATAGAAAATAAATAAATGATAAAACTAGTACAGTACTTTAATATAATCCTGAGGTGAGATACTGACCCTTCCCAATACTTGGACTCAATAACATGCATGTGTATAACCAAATAAGTTTCTAAAATGTAATTACAAAATTACACACCATATAATCCTCTACTCATACCAGTCTACCTTTTAACTATTAAATTTGTTTCATTAGCATTTAGACTTAACTGAAATGACGTGCATACCATGGCCTGAGAGAAAACCAGTATAAGGCAAGAGGGAGGTGGGAGTGGTATGTGGTGTGATGAGGTGAGGTGAGATAGATGGTGGTATAATATGATGTGGAGTGAGTGAAGGTTGTATGAAGGTGGTAAAGTGAGATTATGTGAGGTAAGAAAATGTAAAGCATGAAAACTGAGCCAACTGCACCTCCCTTTCAGAAAAAGGGAAAAACTAAAAGCAAGCAGAATAAGGAATGAGAGTAAATGTGAAAAATAAAGACAAAATAATAAAAAAAACATGCAAAGAAATAGGGACAGAAGTAAAAAAAAAAAAAAGGAGAGCATTTAGATATGTACTGCAAAAGGCAAGAATGAACAACAACAAAGCCAGAAAGATCTAAGGTTCATTTTGAGCATGTTGAGTAAAAAGTTGATTCAATAATATTGCATCTATAGTGTGTAGAGATAGTAATTATATATTATTTGGGAAGAAAAACCTATAGGATGATTCGAGTCCCCGACATGACAGAAAACGGTATTATTCGTGTCGGCAAGTTTAACACTTTTGCTTTCTTAAAGTCTCTTATTAAGAGTACTGCCAATTTCTCCAAAGTCTCTAAAGTATTGGAGAGGGCAAAAGGAACAAGAAAGAGTATCAACACCAGCAGCATTGAAAGGAAGAGAAGCAGTGTGAACCAGATTGCTACACAGTGGGTTAGTTTGTCGAAAGGCAAGTTTTATATCATCAAGATGAAGAAGGGTATTAGTTAAATTTTTAAGTTCAGTTAATGGCATATATATATTGTAACCCTGAAGTCACTCAAAGACAGAAGTGATACTTGCCTTGCAAGAGGCGTGTGAGTTTGGAATCTCTGTAAGGAATGTGAGTACTCTTGCCATCAACTAATGCAGATATTACATTTCCCAATGCTGAGAGAGACAAATTAATTTTCGTGGCTTCTTTTAGTCTGTCGCCCTGAAAAGAAGTTGGTAACAATATACACTATGTTTCTAATATATCATATACAGTACTGTACTGTATTTAGAACATTTCCCTAATGAAGTTCGTATTTACACATGACAGCATCATAAAATGTACTTCTTTGTACCATCTTTCCAACGAACTGTCACTTCCACCAAAAGATTAAAAAGAGAATACAGCCTGGAGCTGTACATATTTAATCACGACACACACACACACACAAAAAAAAAAAAACTTTCCCACACACACTAGAAGCCTTTCCAATAGCAAATGGACTGCAAGAGCTGCACAAAGCATGAACCCACTATACAGTGTACTCAAACTTCAAAGATATGAAAACAAATCAGTAACTGAATTTAGTCTCGAGTCTGTCCAACAATTATGAACAGTACATTCCTTGTCAGTACATATCTCCTAGTTTTTAAGCAAGCTCAAGCTATGTCTCTCTTTCTTAATCTTTGTACCATGGTGCATTACACACAGGCCAATATCTCTGGCTGCTTTGCAGAGCAGTTTAGTCGAGTCAACTGCAGGTGAATAATCAGATGCATAATCTTCGAAAGATCAACTATCTCAATACATTGTTCTCATCAGTGTCCTCTTCCTACTTCTGTGCTCATGGTTTTTGTTGGTCTATTCGCACTTTCCCCATCTGCCGTTTACCAATGGTTTTCCAGTACTGTATATTCTCCCAAACTTGACATGTGTCAAATTTGAAGTGGTTGCATCTTACCAAAAGTGCATGGACTTAGACAACCCATATAACAAGCAACGCTGATGCTATTAGTCAATGGAGCACCAATATTGTGGTACTTTTAATTTCACTAAAGCATTGGAATTTTGATGTTGCCAATAATTTCACAATTATGGTGCATTAAGTTTGAGGACAGGTTGTTTTGCCTGCCTGCGGTGTCAGTGCATCACACTTGGACGGATCTCTTCCAGGTAACCTTCTCTTCTGGATGACCTGCGATGACTCTGTGGGGGTCCTCATCTACTTCCCACCCTCCAGTAACAAGGATTACACTCTGCAACTCAAGCGATTCTTCACATGGTTTTCTGTTTTGCTATAATATCTCACTTCTCCTATCATGCTCATCGTGAGAAGCATCCGAGTGACATAGTTCAAAAATTAGGCTCTGAGTGAATATGACAAGCTCCTTTCTGACCAATGTACCATAATCTAATACACGCAATTTTTCTGTATGTAGTTTTTTCTTTGAATCAGCCACAATGAGATTAGCCTTAAGGCAGGGAACTGGATGTTGATATAGACATTGCTATCTGATGGTAGTTAAAGATAGCATGCAGGTGAGCTAACAGATGGTCTGCAAGAGCCCTATTAAGGGGGTCCTCGTAATGCTAATAATGACTTGAAAAGGGTTGAGTGCTTTTGAGTATACTTTCAGTCTTAGCCAACTGGACATTAGAAAAAATCCCTAATGTACCAGTGCAGACTGATGCATACTGACAGACCCTGCACTGACTGTCATGCTCCACTTCACTGGGAACAGGATAGATCTTGCTTAGGTGGAATAGCTCAGAAATACCATTTTGTTGATGTTCAGTTCATAGCTTAAACTTAAAATGTAAAAGTATTTTGTTTTAGACTTGCAAGAATATGAAAAAGTCATTATCTACACAATTCTTTGCACACCTGCAACTGACCTTAATTAAAAAATTGCATATTTATCTTGTAATTACCTGTACATGCATTAACTGCCATATTATAATGCTTCATGTTTTCTACTTATGGAATAACAAATTACAAAATATACTTCCAAGCAATTACATCTCACCAAAATTTAAATTTATGAATATATATAAAACACAGTCAAATTATGCCATTACAAACCAAAGCTTTGGTTCCATTCACTCACCACAGTGCCAGTTTTTGATTGCCGTTCAGATCCTGCTAAGTCAACGAGGTTGAGTTTCCCAACTCTTATACGGCTTTTGCCTTTTTCATCAAGATCACTACATTCTATGGTGATGATGAAGATGGCATGTGATCGAGAGCTATGGAGGTTCATATTTGTTGCCCTGAAATGGTAACTGATTTTGATATTTGACAACATAAAACAGCACTTTTATAAATACCCTGTGACTTAATTTTTCAGTACAGTATAGTATATCATAACTACTTAATCTTAAGCCTTTGATCATCTGAATAAATAAGAATAAGGTCATAAATTAAGTACATAAAGTATATACATATAAATCAGTAGACCTACAGTTATAAGAACAATTGCTTCTACGAAGTTGAATATGCCAGTCACGTACAATTAGCTCCAAGTTTATGACAAAATTACTTGAATAACAATACAGAGCACCCATCAGTGCAAAACACTGATAATTTCATATTGATATATTGTATAATACCCTCAAGATGAGGACCTAATGGTGCACAAATTTCTTTCAAGTTCCCCTTTATATTAAATACTTAACTTAAACCGAGTTGGCAATGTATGAGACATTATAAAAAATTATCCTTACCCAACAGCTCTGTTTTGGTTCCCAACTGTCATGACGTGCTGGATCTCGTTAACACTTTTGCAGACAAATTGTTGGAGGTCCTTAACATACACCCCAGTGTCTGGTCTCTCCTTAAGCTCTAATCGTTTCTTTTGGTCCTTTCCAAGTAGATCTCTAGAGAATGTAGTACAGTATTTGTTATTCTAGGTTATCAGGTGTTTTAATTCATAACTGATAAAACAGCCTATGAATACAGTATTTAACTACAAACTTCTTTAAGAACATCTTTATCACACTATTAATAATTTTATAGGTCAATAATTCTGTGTTATTAATTTTTCATCTTCTTTTCATATAATTTCTTTAAATTCTTCCAACATAACTGGGTTGCCATCCCCTAAAATTGGGATAGGAGGGAATGAATAAAGTTAACCAATACGTTTTGATCATTATTAACAATGAAGATGACAAATGATGATCAATGACAACTGATAATTAATGAAAAAACCACAAGTACACTAATGTTTTTAGTCTGCCAGACTAGATTTTTTAAATCGGCACATATGAATGACAAAATTAATTAGCAGCTAACTTTCATACAGAAATACCCTGACCTATATTATCTATTTTCTTTCTGAAAAACATAGTTATTTGCTAACCTAAATAATTTGTTTTGCCTATAACCAGCCTTTAAACATCTTACTATCATTCTTATTCAATGACTAGCAATCAATTCTAGTCAATCACACACCACCACAGTTCATATAATTCTTACATATTCACTAATTAGTTTTGCTCATATTCAAAACCAGTCTGTTCATGTAACACACTTCAGCCAAGGATGTTCACTAACTCTCTCACATTTAATTGATCTTCTCCATTTATTCAGCCAAAGAATGAATTACTTCTTAAAAGCATCCCCCCCCTGCTAACCCCCACTTTCCAATGCAAGAACAAAAATACATAATGATTAAAGAACTTGCCTAATTTCTTCCTGATAAATTTCCAGATATGAGGCACGTATGAGGTACTGCTGGTTGATGCTGCGAGCAATGTGATTGAATATGTGTTCAAAGGAATTTGGAATCACACCACGTTGGTCAGGATCATCTCGAATACCTGCGCAAAAAAAGTAAAAAATAATTTCCCTAGCATCATTTCAAGTAAGTATCTTTAATCCTGAATTAATAATTATGGTACTGAAAACCATTTTCAAATTAAGTTATGTACATCAGAAACTTTTAGAGAATTACCAAGTTGAGGAGATTTATTAAAGATGTAATCACTACGGCACCACACTCATAGGATCTCACAGTACAGGCATTGTACATAAACTACCTCTCTTACATAACACACCAAACCCAGACGACTGTAAACATCTTACAGCGACTGATAAAATCATCCACTACCTCACTGGCTACTCTACCAAGACACAATACTGTATTATCAGATGGTAGTGTACAAGAATCTTGGTGTGTACAACATACATTCTGTCTAAAGAGGGTAACAGCAAAAAAGCTGTTCTTCAGAAAGATAAATGGAAAATAAAACTTCTTTCATTTTCACCTTACGATCTTCCTTGCTTTAATTTTACAGTACGATATATTCAAAATGCATTATTTGTATATTATATTTCTGTGTATGTATGCATAAAGTTGTGTTTTATAATTTGCTTTATTTATACATTTCCTATCTAAACCCCCAAGCAATTGTCCACAATTTATAGTTTCACTTTATTAGTACATGGTCTTCTTCAGGATTTGCTTCCTCAAACGGAGCACAGATTGTTACTTAAGTACGTATCGGTCCAGTGCGGACAAAAATGTCATCGTAGCTTCATTTTCTGATATGTGGTTTGGATATCTTATCTTCGGATATGTTATTGTGATGTCTGCACATCATTTCAACATGCATAAATCTTTGGCATTTGGCATAAACTAGATCTTGGGAAATAGGGGTCTTGCCGATCACCTTACTAAGCTTGAATGTCTCTTGACGGGGATGAAAAGAATTAAGTATCAGCATGTACCAAGGTGTATGATTCTTTCTACCATTCTGACAACTGTCGGAATGGTGGAAAAGGATCAGTTGTCCGCAGGAGTTATAGACAACTGATGTGTCTATAATTCCTGCTGACTGAAGGTGTTGACATAATTCTTCCATACTATAATATGTTTATCCAGGACCAAAGCACAATTGCTTCTCATGAATCATTTTGAATGTGGGGTATATCAGCCTCTGCAACCAGAAATAAATGCAAAAGTCTTGTGTGTCTGTCACTGCTCACATTGTCACTGTTGTCACAACAGGCATTTCTCATATTGATTAGGCTTGCTGGTTTCCCCACATTGCAAGCCTTTATATCACTGCATGCTGAAGACTGGTAGTTATCATCAAAATTAAACATTTCAACTGGTTGTTAAACAAAACTCTTGCCCTTGTGGATTTGTTTACCCGCAAGGGCCATTTAAACCAGTTAAATACAGCTCTTGTGGATTTGTTCACAACCTTAACCTTTACTCCCAGGAGGTTAACTTCCTAGTCACACTACTCTGCCTACACCACACCTTAGTAAACACTGGTTTACATTGGGATCGCTGCTACTGTATCACATAACCTGGCCACTTAATCTGCCGTGCCCCATTTTTGCCTACAATTGCTCGTTGCCTTCCTTCTACCATTCATGCTGGCATGTTCAGAGAATAAACGTGTTAATGTAAGTTTTACTTGCCTTTCTATCTATATTTATTTTTAGTGATAATTTTGAGGGAAAAAAGATTATGATACCTCACCTTCCATTGTGTACGTCTTTCCAGTACCAGTTTGACCATAAGCAAAAATTGTTCCATTAAATCCACATAGAACGGAATCAATAAGAGGTCGGAATGTTTCATCGTAGAGTTCTTGTTGCTTGGAACTGGTTGGAGAAAAATATATACCTTTAGTGACAATGGTACCTTATATTCCAATGTAATTATTATAATATGCTAGTACAGTACAGTACTATAAAACACACAGTATCTCAACTACACCACTACACTTTTATTTAATACAGTATAACAATATAACTGAAGTTGCAGTATCACAACCAATGATATTTTGAGGATGTCACAAGATCTTGTTAGAAACTCAGTGTGGGATACCATACCGAGGTCCCAACCTCAGTATGGTATCCCATACCATACTTGAGATAACCATATATCCCAAGTCTCAGCCTGCATTCTCACTGTGGCCTAGTTATTACACTAACTGTGGTGGAATTAAGGGAAAAGTTGGTATTTGCTATTTCTAGGTACAGTACCTTTTGTTTCTACTTTCCCTATGTTTTACTCATTTTAGTTGTGTTCTTTTAATTTATGCATTTTATCTTTTAAGATTTTAATATTGGACAAAGCCCTTTTATTTACAGTATAATGTGTTGGCAATAATACTGTTTGGGTTCCAGAGAATCATGTTAGTTTGTCATGAAGCATGACAACCCGACTCCAGATCTTTCCGAGATGCTGCTGCAGTTGGGTTACTACCAGCTACTACTACTGTTAGTGGTGGAGGAAGGGAGGGAATTATCAGGAGATAGTGCCAGGCCATTATGACTATATAGCACTTGGAAAGGATCAGGATAAGGATTTGGGATGGGACAGGGACAAGGAATTGGGGTGGAAGAAAAACATGCACAAAAGTAGACGGTATCTACGGAGTAGATGAGGACTTAAGGGAGAATGTGTTTAGTACTAATATCATAAATGAGAAGGGCAAGAGTGCAGCATTTAAAGTCCATTTTATAAATGGAAAGATAGATGTGTTAGGAGCGAGATGTATCTTACGTAGAATGGTAAATGGAATAATAGTGAGAAATCAAAGTACGTAATGGGAGGCTTTGAGGTTCCTAGTTATTAGTATGTGAATATATAAAGTTTAAAAGAATAATGAGAAGGAAGGGATACTGTCACTTCGATCATATTGGAGAAATGACAGTATTAGTGCATTGGATTCCAATACTGTAATAAGTTGGATTGAATGTAAGACAGGCAGATACTGCATATATATTTCTAAAGGAGTATGTTCTAGTATGGAAAGTAAATGTTAAAAAAATCAGATGGAGGTGCTCTGATATCAGCTGAACTACTGTGTGGAGAAGCTACAAGATAATGGAAAAGTTATTGTTTTGTGGGATATGAATACTAGGGTGGGTAATAAATGTGAAGAAATTGTTGGAAAATGAAAAGTGCCAAGTGTAAATAGTTGGAAATTTCTTTGCCGACATGTGTTCAAAGAGGAATTTGTCAAATAATTTAATTGAGCATAGGAAATAGAAACATACACAGAGGCATACATATGGAATGAAATTAGAGTACGGAAAGGGGCCGAAATACTGTACTCAAGAGAACAGTACACATAAAGGAAACAAGGTTTTTGAGAAAATTGGTGGTTTTACAAATGTGGGATTTGAACAACAATGAAGGAGTATATGAGAGGGATGGCATAATTTAAATGGGTAAGTGAATGAAATGTTGAATGGAGGAATAGAAGATTACACAAAAGACTTGTGCAGTGATAGAGCCCCCTGGAAAAAGCTTCAGGATGTGGCCTCCACCCAGGAGAGAGCAAGGCTTCTGGGTAATAGATACTACAGTATATGTGCTATCTATATACAATGTACTGCATTAAAAATTATATTAAACTACAGGGACAAACTAGATAATTCCTCAGATCAGCCATTTAGACTTAATTCATAAACCCAGAAAACCATTTTAATTATGAAGCCACATAAAATGCCACAGCATTAAAGAGTAAAGAAAAAACATTTCTTGAATCTTTGCTACTGCAATAAGTTATGGTACATAAATGGCATTGCTGACAATCACATAAAAGATTAATTACTCACTTCCAGTCGTAAACTGCATCAAAAGTAAACGTCTTTTTAGGATCAGTGTCTGGTGCCTTGATGTTGCGGAGTTCAACCACACCCCGATCAACATCCATATCAACCACCCTGATGAGTAGATTTATTATAAAAAGTAGGGAATCTTGGGAAAAATAAAGTTATCAACAACAGTAAAAACTCATATTGCCCACTACTGGTTTTATGCAAGGATATGTTTCTGGATACCTCATGTTTAAGTGATTTGTGTTGCACAGTATTTTAAATAAAGTATTTCATGGGAAAATTTATGCTTGAGAAAGAAACTGCCATTCCTAAAGGTTTACGATCTTCTATGCCATCATAGGATAGCTTGACAAAATTTATACATCACTGAAGTAATGGACTATGATGTCCCTACAGTACCACCCAAAATTAATTTTCTTCAAAAATGACTAATCACAAATACACGCTTTTAAGAGCATCACTGACATTACAAATCTTAACAGCTAATGATATAAATATATTAACTCAATAGCTAAATAAAACATACACACAACTCAAACCATCAATGAGTAACATTGTTGGTATTGGTAACATTGGTTTCATTGGTAACATCACCAATGAAACTTGGGCCCTGTCCACCCAAACCAAGCTCTCATATATTACTACTTCATAGAAAAAACAATTGTAAAATTATGCAGCACAGGAGTGTCAGAATAGTTTGCTCATAAATGAGCTTTTCACAAGCTCATTTTTCTGAGCTTACAATCTGCCACTCCCAAAGGTAGCCGCCTAGGAAAAGTCACCTCTTGTGGCCATTGGCTGTCTCCTGCTCATTCATAGGCCGACATCGCACCACCACCTTCACCGCCTCTGCTGCACTCCCCTTCATCTTGGCCTCGGCACCTTGAACCATCCCTTCCACCTGCAAATCATAATATAAATTAAAATTTTAAGTTGTCTGACCAATTTGCTTTTGTTTTACAAAGATAGGTTCTCATTATTGGGATCAGGAATCCTGTTAGCCTTATAAAGGTCCCCCTAACCAATGGATGATCTTTTATAGGAAGCAACTCACAACAGTTGACTAACTCCTAGATATCTATTTATTACTAGGAGAACAGAGACATCAAATTTAAGGAAACATGCCCAAAAACTCAGATCTGAGAGGCTGTGATCAAGCCAACTGTGTTAGTCAATGCAAGAAAAGTTTCCATCAATTTGTATTTAATTTCTTAGCAATTTCACAGAATATCTATATTAATTGTATCACCACATTATCCTATTTAATAAAGCAACCAGTACTTAATTGTCATTTAAAATATGATACAAAGCAGAAGGAATAATTAAAACCAAATAAAAATAAAAATTGCATTTCTATGAAGGAAAAGACCTGCTTTTTTATCACTATCATTAAAAATCCCTTTAAACAAAATTTGTTCAGAATAAAATAACTGTACCTGTATTTGTCAATTTTCCAAGAGTATGTTCTTTTCCATTTCCTCTATTTTCATTAGTTATCTAAGATTTTTAAATAAAGTTCAGTTTTTGCCCTTTCCAATGATATATAATTATATAATACACCACTTTCACTCCTGGTAAACTCACAGCTACTATAAACTCATTCTCTATAACTGTGTCTCCATAGCACTCTAAAAATGATATAATTTTGACTCCTGTGACAGGTGTAGCAAGCAATCCCGGCACAACCAAGGAGTAGAACAAACAAGATAACTCGGTCACCTGGTTGTACAACAAGATGACTCATACTGAGACCTGGCACATGACAGGTTTGAATTCTAAATGCATGAATCTGCACCTTACCCACTCAGTGGGAAAATCTGGTTGCTGTGTTATAAACAACATTCATTACGTATACTTTCCATTAAACATCTGCATAAATTTGGCACCAAAATTTTAAAAACATAATCACTTGTAACATTAATACACAGTTTTCTCACAATATACTAATAAGGGTTCTGTTGTCACTTATTTTGTTATATACCAGTTCATATATATAACTAAAATGCTTCCCTTGATGAATTTGTCAGTAGGAACTCTGTTGCCATTTATCTGGTATACTGGTATAAGTAGTATACCTCCTTTTGTGGATCTGTCAGAGTAAGGAGTAAAACCCATGACTCACTCGACTCTTAACTCAAAAAGGTGTTTCCAGAATCAATTTTCCGAATGTACAAGCTCCTCAAGACAGCTTAATAGACCCGTAACTTTACGGTTTATCTTAATAATACGAAATCATTGAGACCCAACGGAGACCCAAGCCCTCCAATGCCATGAGTCATAACCCAGAAGAGAAAACAGTTTTCTTGTTTACAACTTTCAATTCCGATTCTTTTCACGTTTGTCCAAAGATAAAGCCATAAATAAGCACAAAGACAGTAAGCTGCGGCGAGTTATTACCTTGATACTCAGGAAAATGGCATCATAACGAAGAAAAGGGCTACGTGGCTGCCCTATTTCCCATGAGAAACTGTCCTCTACTGCAGGCCTGGAATGTTTTGTTTTCGATCCATATGCAGACGACAGCCGCGAGGACCAGGGCTGCCAACCCTGCCTGTCACTCCTACTCTCTAATATTTTGATTTAGTAAGGTTATGTGGCTGCTTCTTTAAGTTACAATTGTTATTTTTGGTGTATATGTTGAGTGTTATTACAAAACGTGTTTGGGAACTGAAATTAAATAATATAAAGTTTTTATCTTTTTACGTGAATGGTAATGAGGAACCCAGCCCCGATAAATTGGTTCTTTTGTGTAAACAAATAAATATGTGCAAACATTATTGTTGCCTTGGCAGCGATAAGAAATATAATTAATTTAGTAATGATACTTTATTAGCTATAATTGGACATACAAATTATAGCACTAATAAATGCTATTTTCACTTGTATTAATTATTAAACTAACGCAGCACAGCAGCTGATGCTTATAAGGACACCTTTCCAATTACGTCCACCACTCCTTTTACAATCATTAGTCTAGTAACACCAAGTAACCTTTGGATTTGCTAAAAGAAATTATAGCCGTTTAAAATAACACGTGCGACAGAATTTGTGAACTGTATATTACAGGGATGCCACGCCTGTCATATACAGTTCACAAATTTGTGGACTGTATTTATACAATCCACAAATACATACAGGCTGCATTTAAACAGTCTACAAATACATACAGGCTGTATTTATACAGTCTACAAGTACATACAGTTCACTATGTCATACAGGCTGACTAGCTGACAGCTAGTGTTGTCAGGGCAACCGCATCATCGTTGATACTCGTAAATTTTCTTATCTTGGCAACCAACTTACACATACACACACACACACACACACACACACTCACACACTCACTCACACACACACACACACACACACACACACACACACACACACACACGTTGTTAATTATAATAACAAATTATATTATAATATTATTATAATAACAAATTATTATAATATAATAAACAAATTATTATAATAACAAATTACCAGTGGGGAAGTAAGGAAGTGTTTACTAGAGTTGGACGTGACGAAGGCTATAGGCCCAGATGGAATCTCCCCTTGGGTTCTAAAGGAAGGAGCAAGAGAACTGAGCCTACCACTCTCCATAGTGTATAACAAATCACTGGCAACAGGGGAACTGCCAGATACTTGGAAAGCAGCTAACGTAGTCCCGATATACAAGAAAGGGGATAGACAGGAGGCACTGAACTACAGGCCAGTGTCCCTAACCTGCATACCATGCAAGCTGATGGAGAAGATTGTGCGAAAAAAACTAGTGGAGCATCTGGAGCGAAGGAACTTTGTAACACAGCATCAACATGGGTTCAGGGATGGCAGGTCCTGCCTCACAGGGTTACTTGAATTCTACGACCAGGCAACAAAAATAAGGCAAGAAAGAGAAGGGTGGGCAGACTGCATATTTTTGGATTGTCAGAAAGCCTTTGATACAGTGCCACACAAGAGGCTAGTGCGAAAGTTGGAGATGCAGGCTGGAGTGAGAGGGAAGGTACTCCGGTGGATAGAGGAATACCTAAGCAACAGGAGACAACGAGTCTGTGTGAGGGGTGAGGTCTCAGATTGGCGAGACGTCACAAGTGGAGTCCCGCAGGGGTCAGTCCTTGGACCTATACTGTTTCTGGTATATGTAAATGATCTCCCAGAGGGTATAGATTCGTTCCTCTCAATGTTTGCCGACGATGCAAAAATTATGAGGAGGATTGAAACAGAGGATGATAGTAGGAGGCTACAAGATGACCTGGATAGACTGAGTGAATGGTCCAACAAATGGCTGTTGAAGTTCAACCCGAGTAAATGCAAAGTAATGAAACTAGGCAGTGGAAACAGGAGGCCAGGCACAGGATACAGAATAGGAGATGAAGTACTTAATGAAACAGACAGAGAGAAAGATCTAGGAGTTGATATCACACCAAACCTGTCTCCTGAAGCCCACATAAAGAGAATAACGTCTGCGGCATATGCGAGGCTGGCTAACATCAGAACGGCGTTCAGGAACCTGTGTAAGGAATCATTCAGAATCTTGTACACCACATATGTAAGACCAATCCTGGAGTATGCGGCCCCAGCATGGAGCCCGTACCTTGTCAAGCACAAGACGAAGCTGGAAAAAGTCCAAAGGTATGCTACTAGACTAGTCCCAGAACTAAGAGGCATGAATTATGAGGAAAGGCTGCGGGAAATGCACCTCACGACACTGGAAGACAGAAGAGTAAGGGGGGACATGATCACAACCTACAAAATCCTCAGGGGAATCGACCGGGTAAACAAGGACGAACTTTTCAACACTGGTGGGACGCGAACAAGGGGACACAGGTGGAAGCTGAGTACCCAAATGAGCCACAGAGACGTTAGAAAGAACTTTTTCAGTGTCAGAGTAGTTAGCAAATGGAATGCATTAGGAAGTGATGTGGTGGAGGCTGACTCCATTCACAGTTTCAAATGTAGATATGATAGAGCCCAATAGGCTCAGGAATCTGTACACCAGTTGATTGACGGTTGAGAGGCGGGACCAAAGAGCCAGAGCTCAACCCCCGCAAGCACAATTAGGTGAGTACAATTAGGTGAGTACACACACACACACACACACACACACACACACACACACACACACACACACACACACACGAGCGCGAGCGTAGCTCTCATCCTGTAACTACACTTAGGTAATTACACACACACACACACACACACACACACACACACACACACACACACACACACACACACACACACACACACACACACACACACACACACATATACACACAAAAGTGTTAGATCAAAGATGCTGACATAAATCCTCTGTTTCTCGTGTTCTTTACCTGGTAATTAATACTAAGATAAAGGACTAACTCTCCAAAGTTCACATAACACTTTTAATTGACCTTAAGTTTAAATTTGCATCCTCAGAAGCAGAATTATATAACGTAAGTACAAAGACCAAATATAGGCCACATAGAATCCATGCAGTAGCAAGTTAATGTATGAGGAGAGGTGTTTAATGTGAAGTGCTGAGGCTACGTCCTATCACCTATTGTCATCATAACAGGAAACTGCAAGGCAGCAATTAATTGATACACATTCTCTCAGTAAGATAAAAAACAAAAATTATTATTATTACAATTTCAAATTGTGATTCTTTTTACATTTCACACAAGGAGGAAATAGACAGTAAGCTGCAGCTATCTATTACCTTGGTATTGAAGAAAATGGTCTCTCTAAAGAGAGACCATTTTAGGCTCTAGAGAGGCTCATTTAGGCTTTAGAGAGCCAGAAAGCTCTCTAAAGAGAGCCTTCTTTGGATATTATCTAATATTGTAAAATTAGATTAGCTGTGGAGGTGTCACCAATTAAGAGCGAGAATAGGTAGTCTTTAAGCAGTGCACAAAATGTTTGGTGTAACACAAGTCACTTCAGCAGTTTACACACAGAGATCACACTAACGTGATGCATCAAATGAACAAATCCACAAGGGCCGTGACGAGGATTCGAACCTGCGTCCGGGAGCATCCCAGACACTGCCCAATAAGCATCCCAGTAAGTTCAGTAGAACTTCATTTTCAACCCTTTTTACCCTGTTGTAGCTCAGTCGATTAAGATAGTGTCTGATATGCTCCCGGACGCAGGTTCAAATCCTCGTCACGGCTCTTGTGGATTTGTTCACTTCAGCAGTGATAGGAGCAAATTATCCAGCAATATCAGGCTATACCATTTATCCTCTTGCAAAATAAAATTTTTGTTCCACTTGGTGTTCATCTATACTGTATAGTAATATATCTGGCGTGCATATAAACCATTTGGAGTTAAATTTACATACAAAGATAAAGAAGGGACATTAATAAACAGCTTTTATTAGATATTTCTTTATAAATTTGTTATCCTAAGCGAGAATTTAATCAGCTAGTTGATTAGTTTGGTGTTGGGCTTATGGCCTATATCAGCCTGTGAAGGGCTCTTAAGGTGTCCAAGACTGACCGACTGGAGAGTATGCTTGAGTCCTGAATATAGTTCAGAGTTAAAGTAAACTCTCAGAGTATACACACCGCGAAATGGGGGTACACCTTTCGGTGTATATTATCTCTGTATGCCATCAGTTAGTGGTCCAAAATCCGAAGGTTACCCGATACGATTTTGTTCTCCAGTATGGCGCCTGTGGGTATGTCAATACGGTCTCCATGGTTGGCGATAATGATGACGGTCCCCTGTAGGATATCAGAGTATTATACATATATACATATAATTCATTATTATATGTATATATATATAATGGCATTGGTAAACATTAGAAAGGGGTTAGCTACAAAGATACATGCGCATTCTTAATGAAGACACTGAGACAAATAGATGCAGGTCCCGTCTCATATAGGTCTTAAAGATTCTAGAACATTGGCGGGCAAACAGAAGCCTCAAGATTTCCCGAAACGCAATACATGTTAGCGGCTTCTCGAAAATATACGTGCATCCGACTTATTACCATATATCCATGTTAATTATATACTGCAGCTATCCACTGTACTAATAAGTTCAAGTTCAAGTATGTTTATTGAGACAAGAAAGAAATACATCTCAATGGGATAGAGTAGCTTAGGCTATTTCTATTCCCCTGGGTACTAAAATGAATGTATTTGAATGTGCATTCCTAAATATTTACAAAACTCAATGTATTTTCTTGAAATCAATAACTAAATAAAAATCAATATTAGTCGGAAGAATTTGAAAACAGAAAGAGGCAAACAGGAATTAAAGTAGATCCATTTATCACAAAGAAATGTGTCAAAGATGACAAAGAAAAACAAACTTTAGTCCAGCGCATGTTGTTACTTGAGACTACAAGAATCTCTACAAGTATCTCTGGCATTTCAACCTTACGGTCACATAATTTGTAAAGTGTGAACAAAGACTTGGTCGCACACTACTCACTAGACTCTAGTCTAGATTACAGTAATACATCTCAGAATGTGAACATTTGTGTTTAAAACATAGCTCTAAATTAATGTACATAAAGTTATGCACCACTTTATTGTTAATTATAAAGTCTGAATTGCTTGCTCTGAATCAACATTTTGATTATAGATCAAGGAAATTATGTAGAAAAATGATAGGGGTTTGTAAATCATAGCCTAGTCTCTGCTTCTTTATATGTGTGCTGTAATACTTCTATTGACTTTAGACTCCAATATAACATAACAACAAGAACATAAGAATAAAGGTAACTGCAGAAGGCCTATTGGCCCATATGAGGCAGCTCCTGTTTATAACTACCCAATACTACTCATTCACATGTCCAACCCACGCTATCAAAATGCTATTAGGTGATATAATGATTAGTAAGTTTGATAAGCGGAGTGGTTATTATGCTGGTCTCATATTGCAGGACTCACTTCGAATTCGATCCCCGTTGAGGAGGATATTATTTCTAATTCAGTTTGAAGCTATGTTTGTAAGTGCGTGCTTCTTACACAATTTAGCTCCACAAAGTATAGACGAAAGCGCGCGGCTAGCTATGCAGCCCTTTCTCAGAGTAAATCCATTAGATCAAGACACCAAACCTCCCGTCAAATCACTTGGATAGTTATCTAGGTATTTGTGATGGTCCGAACGCATATTGCGGTTGCAATAATAGTCTTCTTGTAAACTGACAAGTGAACCTTTGTCCTACCAAAGAATATTCTTAAGTTATAATTTAATTATATTATAAGTCACTGGTTTAAAACAAAATTTATATGCTGAACATGTTTTCTATCTGAAGAAACGTTAGATAAGTTCTATCCACCTTTGGTGAACAAGCTTCAGGAATCAGTATATAAAGTTGTTGATTTAAGAACGACGACGATCCTAAGCTCGGAAGCTTAGGTTGATTAGAAGCTCCTCGCCTACCCGGAACGGCGATACGGGATTGGATCCCCCCTACAGCTTTTGAGAGACGGGACGAAAGAACCAAAGCTCAACCTCCGGCAAGCACAACTAGGTGAATACAGAACATATTTTCCTCTCCCCGCCCACCCTTCCCCACCTTCAGGACGACCCCCTTGCCGAAGGTGACGTCACCGGAGACGGTCAGGTGGTCCAGCTCCAGCATGTCTGGGATGGAGGAGAACCGCCCCAGGAAGTCCTGCAGGAAACAATATTATAAATGCCGGTGGAGAAAAACGGACAGTGGAATATACAGATCACCGTGTGTGTGTTTGCTGGCACAGGAGATGAGAATTATAATGTAAAACTGTTTCAGAAATATATTTTTATACAAATCTAAAATACTATGAGAGACATGATTCAAAATGATAAAACTGAATCAAGAAAAAGTAAACAACTCACTCCAGCTCTTTTCTCCTCCCCCCTTGTAAATCCATCCAAGCTCCTGTCTTACCTGCTCTTATTACCACGCTTTACCGTCGTCTTTACTCCCACCAATTACCTTCACCTCATTTGTTGTTCCAGATTTAGCTACTCAGAACGGGCTAGAGTGAGCCCGTAATTGAGTTAGGCTATTCGCGATAACTTTGTTACTGTCCTCCACCGTTGTTGTTGTTTTAGATTCGGCAACTCAGAACAAAAGTTCCAAGTAGCACGGGCTTACCTGGCACAGGAGAGAGGCTATAACTTTTTGTCCTCCACTTGTTGTTGTTTTAGATTTAGCTACTCAGAACGAAGTGTCCATGTAGCATGGGCTATGGTGAGCCCGTAATGTCCTCCACTTCTTTCCTCGTCCTTTTTATCCAGCCTCTTACTTCTCCCCACTACCTTCTTAATCCTCTCCGTTCCTCAATTCCTCTTAACTCTATCCCTAACCAAATACTATACCTATCCCTGAATATCGTATCACTCCACTCCTTCTGTGGTCCACCGTCATGCTTCTCCCACCCCTTGGTCCACTACCTCCACCCTCAGTAACCCCGACACCACCTGACCTTCACTCTGGTGAAGTGTGAGCCCAGCTTGACCAAGGGCGTGGTATCGAACATGCGGAGCGGCGACATGGTGAGTGCTCCCTGCTGCAGGCGATACAAGTTGCTCATTACCAGCAGCAGATCGTCTGTCTTCTTCACCGGCAGGAAGCGAGAGCGGGGCACGTTGATTCCTGTGGTAGGAGGAGAAGTTAGGGGAAAAAGGATCGAAGGCTTTGTGGGATTGAGGACTTATAGGACATTATAGTGTTCCATATTTATTAAAAATCGAGTGTGTAATGTGGTCAGAGGTTTGGGTGGTTCTGGCTGAGTTGAAACAATTATTTGGGAGGATCAAATACTAAGTAACCACAACTATACCACGAACACGGAGGTCAGAAAGCACCTGTACTGTACATAAGCTGGGCTAACACTTCACTAACCAAGATGTTATGAACTCAGAAGAGTATACCTGGTGTGAGGAAAGGACAAGAGAAGTATAAAAAGAATAAATGACAAATCTCTAGATTTCAAGCCACTAGTTCATTCATTCTGATGAGTGGTGAGAACTGACTAAACTTCCAGTCACAAACACTAAAACCTCCATCACAAATTAACAAAATTAAAGTAGCCCCCGTCCTAACAACTTTCCCCGCCATACTGCAATAACTAACATACTTTCAAAAGGGCAAAACAATTCCTAATACTCATACTTATAAAACTAATACCACACCGATATATACCAGGATATTCCTGGAATGTATTGTCAGTTACAGGCGACAATTTGTCCTAAATTCGAGTGCGAAATTTGTGAAAAAGAAGAAAACCTATTTCCTTGAACATTATATTGTAAATTGTCACATAATGACTATTTTCCACTCCCCCTGGGTTAGGATATACTTGGCATTATATATTATCTGCATAATGGATAAATTAATTACATACGTGGTCAGGAATCAAAATTAGTTTGCAATACAATAATTATGCAATATATATTATATGTAATTGTAAGTCGAGCTGGTAAATTACTTAAATAACTTATGGTTGACTGCATAATAATTCAATATTCAACTTTGTTCTTAAACAGCTCTCTAAAACACCTTTCCATGGACAACATACGCTAATGTATTTTTCGCTAATTAACACTTTAACATTGATTCAACGTTGATTAAACGTTACGTTTAGATACTGACCCCACTAGGAGTGGTCACATGTTAGGCAAACAAAGTTACTTTGTCTAACCCTATATGAAAGACAAACGTAAAATGCACATTAGGCTGGTTAGAACTGTAAACACCTGTCTGCGGTAGGAGCATGAACTAACCCAGAGCGCCTGAGAAGCACTTCACGGCGGCGCCGACGGCCTGCTCCAGCTGGATGATGTTGAGGCCGTTGTCAAGCGTCTTGTTGTTGACGATCACTTCCATGTCCAGCGTCCCGCCCTCCAGCACCTCCTTTATCGCTGGCCGCACAGGAAGAGACACGGAGATCATCTTCATATGCAGGTGTAATGGCGGAAAAATTCTTATGGGTTATAGCTGGTAATTATATGAATCCCAGTGAGCATGAAAATGGTTTCACAGTTTCTGCGGTAGGAAGAATGTTATACTTATCGGTATGCTTAGGGGGGCCTTCTCGCCATGCCCTGTGACTGAGGGGATTGGTGTCCTGAAGCTACATAAACACCCTATACCCCCTCCGAAGTGGCAAGGGGAGTTAGAGGACAACAATAGTTTAACGCCGAGACAAACTGTAGGAGAAGCCTAGTTACCTTATTTATGCTCATTATTTAAAATGTATTTGTGATTCGTGTTGGTGCTTCTTATCTCCCACTGGGGTTATGTCAAAAGAAGCCAAATGGCTTAGGTTAAATCTGTAAGATAATACATTATAGATAATATTACATTTCAGCAATTATAAAACGCTTATGGTTATTTAACAAGAGCAGTTTACTGAGATCGTTCTTACTCCTGACGCCGTTTCAATTGAAAAAATGTGACACAAGTATATAACCGTGTGAAGAGAAGAGGTCCGCATTGTGGTTGCCGAGTGCTGAGGCGCTAGAGACAGTCACGAAGGCTTTACTGATAGTAGTAAGCCTTCGAAGTCGAAGAATGCGTCTTAAAGAACGTGGTAACGTACCACTGTCCTGAGAACAAACATTTGCAGCAGTTGATGAATTATTTTTGTATTTCTATTTCTATTTTTTTCCCACGGAATAGGTATGGAGTGCGTGATAGACACATAAATATAATATAACTGAACCGATTATCTGACCGTGTAATCCTTCCACCACCGCCCACGGCACTAACATGGGGATCATAATAAACTAATGAAGCGCAGTTCTCTCTCCCACCCATCCACTTACCACTCAGTTTAATCCAAAGGTTGTTGGTGTTGAAGATCTTGAAGGTTTTGACGGATTTGAAGTCGTCGACGTGTTCCTTGGGCACCTGAGCTATCTCCAGCAGCCTCATCTGGTTCTCGTACCTGATAAGTGTGCCTCCCTGTAGGGGAGGAATACAAAAAAATTAAAAGATGTATTGATCGCTAATCCGATGAAAGTTATATCCCATGTCTTAATTTTGTGTAATCGTCACAATACTCACAACTCGGCACGATTCCAATCTTTTTCTCGGCTTTCATGTATTAAATATGTAACACCAGGGCTCACTAAACTTATCCTTACATTCTTTAAGAACCCCGGCAAATACTTCGTCTGCACTGGGAACTTGGTGGACTTAAATTTGTTTGTTTCATTAACAGCTGCATCCTTAATAAAAATTAAACTATTCTACTTGTCCTTCTCAACACATAGACTGTTTAACTACAGGTAAAATATTATGGTGTTCTGTAGTAAATACAGAGCCAGAGAATTTATTTAGAATATCGTCCATCTCTTTGTCATTATCAGGTACTTGATATATCTGATTTTTCAATGTTAGAAATATGAGAGAACATATATCAGCATTTGTCTTTACCTGTACTGCTATGCATACTTCGTAATTTTTTATTTTTTAGCTGTTCTCGCTACTTGATAAATTATTAATTTGGGTAAACTTCACCATTCATGAAGGCTTCAGAACTAATATATATATACACAAACATGACTGACCTCAATAAGACATTCAAGATGTTGAATAGATTAGAGAACGTAAACCCAAGCCACTTCTTCGAGAGGTCCAATATAACTCAGAAAATATAACAATTTCAAGATTGCCAAGCCCTATAGTCGAACAAAAGTCAGAAAGATCTTCTCCCGAAGAGTATTAAAGTCAAGGAACAATCTACCCGCCTGAGCCGACCTCGCTAGGACAACGATCTTGTTTAATACACAGAAGTCAGTGGCTATATATACATATATATTCACTTTAAGTTCAAGTATGTTTATTGAGACAAGAAAGAAATACATATCAAAGGGATAGGCTATTTAATAGCTTAGGCTATTTCTACCCCCCAAATATTCACTTTAATTATTAAAGCCGTGCTTGGACCTGGCGTGGCCTCACCTTGACATCAGCTCTGGTCTTGTCGGTGACCTCCATGAGGAACGGACAGTGGTCCGAGGGCTGGCCCCTCAGCAGGAAGTTCAGAATGCCAAGATCGACGGTGGCGCCCAGGTTGTCGATGTTGCTGAGGAACACGTACTCCTTCCCCTGGAGGAGAGCAGTCGGCGTCACGCACCAGTGTTCGCGGCACAACCTCATCCAATATTTTGTTGATATGGGTGAGGGAGTGGAATTAAGTACGAGGGAATTATCAGGGGGGGAAAGCGCCAAGCCATTACGACTATATAGCATTTGGAAGGGGTCAAGATAAGGATTTGGGATGGGACGGGGGGAAGGAATGGTGCCCAACCACTTGGACGTTTGGGGGGGATTGAACGCCGACCTGCATGACGCGAGGCCGTCGCTCTACCGTCTAGCCCAAGTGGTTGGGCGAATTATGTACTAAACTAGCATCGCATGGGACAAGAGGCCTAGCGTGGTGCTCCACAATTTTTAGCTTCAAATTATACGAAATGTTATACTAAAACTGGCAGTGTTTTGTATTTCCCTCAAGCCTGATGTCACACCCACCTGAGATGGCGTTGAACGTTACCTCTATGTCGGTCATATAAGACGTGTCCGAGCCTGAATAAACTCATTGGTGCCTAGTCACGTTACCTGGCGCCCATGGTGACTGTCTGGTCCACCTTACCTGGCTGATAAACCAGTCCAATAAACCGCAGCTGCGGAAGGATTGATAGAAGTCCCCGTGACCTGGTGGATACCACCTGAATAGGATGAATATATATATATATATATATATATATATATATATATATATATATATATATATATATATATATATATATATATATATATATATGTCGTACCTAGTAGCCAGAACGCACTTCTCAGCCTACTATGCAAGGCCCGATTTGCCTAATAAGCCAAGTTTTCATGAATTAATATATTTTCTATAATTTTTTTCTTATGAAATGATAAAGCTACCCATTTCATTATGTATGAGGTCAATTTTTTTTATTGGAGTTAAAATTAACGTAGATATATGACCGAACCTAACCAACCCTACCTAACCTAACCTAACCTATCTCTATAGGTTAGGTTAGGTTAGGTAGCTGAAAAAGTTAGGTTAGGTTAGGTTAAGTAGGTTAGGTAGTCGAAAAACAATTAATTCATGAAAACTTGGCTTATTAGGCAAATTGGGCCTTGCATAGTAGGCTGAGAAGTGCGTTCTGGCTACTAGGTACGACATATATATATATATTAAATAAATATAAAATAAATAAATACTTATGAAGTACGAAGGTCTAATTATTATGCATTTTCTGCCATGAAAATGTTCTAAGTCTTCACCTATATGCATGATCGCTAAACACTCACCTTCTTGAGAGAGAGAAAGAGAGAGAGAGAGAGAGAGAGAGAGAGAGAGAGAGAGAGAGAGAGAGAGAGAGAGAGAGAGACAGACAGACAGAGAGAGACAGAGAGAGACAGAGAGATAGAGAGAGAGAGAGACAGAGACAGAGAGACAGAGACAGAGACAGAGAGAGGAAGAGACAGAGACACACACACACACACACAAGACACAGGGACCCACCCCTCGAGGTTGTCGTCAGCGCCGCAGGTCTTCGGGACCGGCATGAGGGACTCCTTGTTGATCCTCGGGTAGCGAGACTGGTTGAAGGTGTGCGTCTCCACCTGCACAACAACACAAGTCACTAAAACCATTTACTTACAGAAGCAGATCTACGTGGGGTCTGTATTTATGTAACAAAGCTGAAATAAGTGAAGGACATGTAATACAGGAAAACAGTATTCTGAGTATTCGTATTCTGAGATATAATGACTCTAATCAAACTTGAGATTTTCAAGAAAACTTTGTATTTAAGAAACATCGACTCCTATATCAATTTTTTTTATGGAATCCCTCATACTTGGGAAAAGGCAATCCCGTCTAGCCTGAAATGGTCAAAGATTACATGGAATTTTACGAAGATTAACTCTATTTTACACATAACCTCTTTGGAAACAACGAACCTCATCCGGGGAATGAATCCTTCATACACTGGAAACTACGATACGGATGAAATCCCCGACTCTAATCTACACTCCTCTGATCTTTTGTAAATAATAACCATATATATAACAAGGGGGAATCATGGCCCTTGGGAAACACTGAGCCGTCATCTGACCTTGACTGACCTGAAATCCTTGGTATTTCCGGATGACCTTCTGGGTTTCCTCGTCGGTGTTGAAGGAGTTCATAAGAACGAGCGGGACCTGGCAGCTGTAGGTCTTGTTGAGGTGCTGTAGAGAGTGATAAGTGCGAACAACGAGAAAATTTGATTCCGGGAATATAGGCAAATAGCACTCAGAGATACAGGTAGACAGAGACGCAGAGATACAGGTAGACAGAGACACAGGTAGGCAGAGACACAGAAATACAGGTAGGCAGAGACACAGCCCGGATACAGGTAAACAGAAACACAGGGATATAGGTAGACAAGCACAGGGATACAGGTAAACAGAAACAGCCGAGATACAGGTAGACAGAAACACAGGGATACAGGTAGACAAGCACAGGGATACAGGTAAACAGAGACACAAGGATACAAAATATGAAGAACGAAGTCACGGGTTTCTCATTGTCGGGGAAAAAGGGAACCTGTTAGACGCACCGAGGTCCCCTACTCACCAAAGCTTGTAAACAACTAACCTTCTCTACGATGCAACCCACAGAGTTGCCAAACTCCCAGATCATTGTTTACTGCTAGGTGAATAGAGGCACCCTGACGAAAGGAAAGGTTTCCAAACGTTTTCTCCTGCCCGGAAATCGAACCCAAGCCCATTCGGTTGTGAGCCGATTATGTTGACCACGGCGAAAAATTATCCCATTCATGCATGTCATTCTAGGCTAAGGAAAACAGGTAGTTAGGAAAACAGACATTATTCGAACATTTAGAAAAACTCTAGAGAACATTTAGAGAACACAAGAACAACACTTAATGAAAACAATAACATTTTGAACAAAATATCAGCATGAGTTCAGAAACGGGCAGATCCTGCCACAAAAATCGGATAATGCCCAATTGCCTAAGCGATTGGGCATCATTCCGTCACTCTGTTCTCATATCCTTCTTCTTGAGTGTCCTCATATCCAACCATGGGCATAGTAATTCAAGGACATAGTGATATATTTACTGTGTATCACTGTGTCCATGTAAATGAACATAGAGATATAGGAACAAGGAAACGATGTTATTGCAGAGTCACAATAACGTGGCTAAAGTATGATGACCAGACCACACACTAGAAGGTGAAGGGACGACGACGTTTCGGTCCGTCCTAGACCATTCTCAAGTCGATTGTGAGAATGGTCCACGACGGACCGAAACGTCGTCGACCCTTCACCTTCTAGTGTGTGGTCTGGTCATCAAACGATGTTATTGTTCTGCAGGAACATATACATATATGGATTTAACAATTGAGGAATACTGCATACACTAATTCAAGGGCACAACGGTGCAGGTATACAGCGATACAGGGACTCTCTAATACATGGATACAGTGATACGTGAACACATTGACACGGGAATCACTGATAAAGGCATATTGGAACTCTGTAATATAAAAACAGTGTGATTGAAGAACACTGTAATACAGTGTCACAAGATTCATGGAAAATGCGATACGGATATGAAGTGATACAGGAAAACTGATACAGTTCAAGGAGATACATGAATACAGTGGTAAAGAAACACAGTGGTCTCACAGAGACGGAACCAAAGAGCCAGAGCTCAACCCCCCACGCAAGCACAAATAGGTGAGTACAGTATATCAGGGAAAGTAGTGATACATAACTAAAATTATGAAACTATACAATGAACAAGTGTACAGTAATACAGGGACACAACAATACAAAAACAAAATGATACAGCGATACAGGAACAGATACAATGACAGTGAATTAGAGCAAAGGAATACGTGAGCTCCGGAAAGAAAATTTATAAGGATACTAAACAAAAATTTCCAGAAAGTGTTTAAACTAAAGTCTGAGCAGCTGTGAGAGGTGAAGGGAGGAGAACAGCCTCGAGTGAGTGACAAAGCCGCTTGGAAGTTACGACAGATGATGTGACGAAACAATCCTATCGGAACACAATTGGACTGTTTTCAACTGTGTTGTCCCACACAATTGCCTCAGCTCCCTACAACCGGGAGCCTTGTCGTAACCCCACCCACCTCGATGTGCTGCACGGTCAGGTCCATGAAGGTCAGGTCTGAGCGGACGGGGATGATGGACTTTGGTCCCTGGCAGCCCATGGAGGTGCCCAAGCCACCGTTGAGTTTGACCACCACCAGCTTCTCCAGCATGGACCTCACGGCGCTCACCTCAGGGCCTTGGAGCTCAGAGTACTCCCGGACCTGAAAACGAGCAATTAGAGCCGCGCTTTATACTTGATTAAATATTTTTTGTAATAGCAATTAATGTTTTTAATTTAAAAAGTAACAAATAACGTGCATGTACACCACTATTTATTTCCTTATTGAATTGTTTCTCCAATATTGTTTAACATTAACAACTATAAACACATAAAACATTATATTAAAGCAAGTTTTTTCTTCTGTTCGATGACACTTCTCGAGAGAACACTGCTTCAGGAAAGAGAACATCGGGCAAAGTGATGACCTGCATATTAGAAACAGTTAATGACAGCAGCTTCACCTGCTGTTGAGCAGTCTGCCAACACTTGTGTCTCTACAACAACGAGGGAAGACGAGGAAAAAAAGATAAGAGTTGAATAAAGGTGATGAAGTAAAATATAAAATATTGTTTTAATATATCAAATAAACTTTGATCCAACAGTTTTTGTTTACTTTTTTTCATCCCAAGGAATACTCTGTCATCACCACCACCACAACCTCCCGTGTCACTACAAGCACTAGCACCACCACAATCACCCGTGTCACCACAACCACCGCACCACCACTACCACCAGCACCACCACAACCACCAGCATCACGGGTGGTAGTGGTGCTACCTTTAACACCACCACAACCATTCTGAGCTTCGTCCCAATCACCAATCCATTCACCATCCCAACTTAAACTCACTGATCCTTCTTGCAATTTTTCGATCCTCTCCCACTCGACGGAGGGCGCGGACTCGTTGATGAAGCGCGCGAAGAGGTTCTCGAAGCTGCCAAGATCCCTTTCAACGGCCTCCTTCAGGTGCCTGGGACACGTCTGCAGCTGCTTCTGCAGCTCGTGGGCCAGCTGTGTCTGTGCATCCCGTTTGGTCAGGTTCTTGAACTCGAAGGATGTCTTCCGCTGGAGACCGAAGACCTGACGAAGGGAAAGAAAGGTAATTATCAGAAGACAGCAAAATCATTATGAGGGACAAGGAGTTAGGATACGGGGACAGACTCGGAGAAAGGATATGAGGAGGAAGTGGAGGAACGGGGCTAAATCACTTGGGCTATCAGGGACTCTAATAGTCCAAGTGATGTCTTTAAAGCCGACCAGTTCAGGAAGTTAGGTATGGCGGCGGAGTGGTCATCGGGTAATTTGCTGGAACACATTGTTTATACTTGGTACCATGTGTGGTATCAGTCGTGTGAGTGTGTGTGTGTGTGATTGTTTGCACTATGGCAGTTTGACGAAGGTTATATATATATATATATATATATATATATATATATATATATATATATATATATATATATATATATATATATATATTGGTGTATACTGGCAGCAGGTTTTCTTTCAAACATGTTTCATTGAATATGACCGCATATTCTGTATTTATTATTTTCTGGTTTAGGGCTTCTATCCCTCTAACTATTTTCTTAGCATCAGGGCTTAATTGGAATAGGAGTTCTCCAAAACTCATTTTCGTACTTTTAAGGTGAAGAAAAGAAGTGATTTACTATAGAGTGTATTACACTTATTTGTATAATTTGCACGACGTTTCGAACCTCCATGGTTCATTCTCAAGTGAACAGATCTTACAATACTAGTTGATTTTATACCCGCATTAGGTCAGGTGATAATACAATGAAGGTGAAAAACATGGGGGGATACATAAGGGATAAACATAGGGGCTGCAGAAGGCTTATTGGCCCATACGAGGCATCTCCTATCTAAACACAAAGATTAATCCAGTGTAATTGGCCTGTTATGTTGGACATTGTCTTCTGTGTTGGCATCGATATGTTCTTGTCATATATATATATATATATATATATATATTATATATATATATATATATATATATATATATATATATATATATATATATATATATATTATTTATTTATTAATTTCTCATTTACATTGATACATCAAGATAATGTAATTTTTTTGGGAAATAACAATAGTGTTAATAACAACAATGTTTTTAATAATAAGACGGTTGAACGGCCTTGAATGACGGAGATAACTCAGGTGCCTTCCACTACATTCTTGTTTCAAGCTGTCATGGAAACCTTATCAGTTCAAGAGCTTGTGGTTGAGAAGCCTCGACACACGTCTATATTGCCTCTTCCTGGTATCTCTCTGTCTGCCTCTCTCTCTCTCTCTCTCTCTGCCTCTCTCTCTCTCTCTCTCTCTCTCTCTCTCTCTCTCTCTCTCTCTCTCTCTCTCTCTCTCTCTCTCTCTCTCTCTCTCTCTCTCTCTCTCTCTCTCTCTCTCTCTCTCTCTCTCTCTCTCTCTCTCTCTCTCTCTCTTTAACTTTATTAGAAATTACATATACTTTGAAATGAACGACTTCAGTGATTCTTATGTTCTATGGACGTTAGCTAAAAAAAACGAATTTTTATATCAAGGGAGAAATATATTGAATTTGTGTATCTTATTTTCCCCTGAAAAAAGTTTCGAAGGTTATCGTGTTTCAAGACATTATCACGGAAATGATCCTGTATTGCCTTGATAATGTGTTGAAACACGAAAACGTTCGGAACTTTCGTTTAATTTTCCTAGTGGAAAACTTACACATAACCGATTTACGTGTTTTTGTGATTATTCTGCATATAAGGCCAGATGTTTGGGGCTAGCCGCACTCAAAATTGCACTGTGGTTCCTGTGGGGTCTGGTCCACTTGATGGAGTCGGGGTTGGCTTTAGTGAAACGAGTTCCACTTGACATGGTGTCAGTTAGAGCCCCACAACGATTCATGGAATATATTAATTGGGAGGGAGAGAGAGAGAGAGAGAGAGAGAGAGAGAGAGAGAGAGAGAGAGACAGGAGGGGGAGAGAGAGAGAGAGAGAGAGAGAGAGAGAGAGAGAGAGAGAGAGAGAGAGAGAGAGAGAGAGAGAGAGAGAGAGAGAGAGAGAGAGAGAGAGAGAGAGAGAGAGAGAGACTAAAAGATTAACTAATATTATATACAAACAAATCTCTCATACAAACAGGAGAATTTTAAAATCCAAAAATTATTCTGAAAATGATTCAAAATATAACACCGGGAAGATTAATCGCAAAATATTTATGCAAGCCTGAGAGTATGCATACGTATGTATGCATAAGTAAGCCGAAATTTCTGTGGAATAGTCTCCCAAATACTAACCACTAAATATGGTAAGTGAGAGAAAGCTTAAACGTAAATATAGAGGGAAGAAAAAGGGTGATATTCTCACCAAGGACCGTCAAGTTCCACACCTCATTGTAGCGGTCGAAGTTACGAGGGAGAGAGGTGGGGAGGGCGCTCATCATAGGTGAAGCCGAAGCTGCCGTCGGCGCTCACTTCAGCTGGTGGTGGTGGTGAGAACAGCAGTGGCCAAGAGGGACAACACTGATGCCGATTTTCGGAATAGCTATGGTGGTTGTTTCAATGGTAGCGGATAAGTCGTGATGAGTAATAGGGAAAGGAGCACCGCGAGGAGAGGAACTGGGTGGAAGAGAAGTAGTCGTGGGTTCCAGACAGCAGTAGCAGCAGCAACAACAGCCGGAATAAGGAACAGGAGGAGAGTCTGTATCAACAACAGAAGAGAGGAAACACTGGCCCATGCCTCATGCATGGGGGTCACCACCTCAACATGATGCTTCTTATCTTATCTTGCTGATTATTTAGGACGTTATATAATTGTCTCCCTTCTCATTATAGAGAAGGATAATTTATGTAAATATTCGTGGTTTTTATCATTGAGTTCTTGTTAATGAGTTTGGTTTCTTCAACTTTAAGTCGACTGTACTAGAACCGCTTCCATGGGTTCTATAAAATTTTTGCTTATGAATTGATCAATAGGGCCTTCATTACCTCTCTTCTTAACTACATCTACTTATCTGGCACAACAAAAATTAACGTCAAGTCTCATTGGGAATTTAGCATCCGTCTGTGACCCATCGGTCTGGTTCCTCTTATGCCAATCACGCATAACTATACAACTAACTATAAGATTAGAGAGAAGGCAACATAACAAAATTATTACAAATATTATTGTAAACAAGATTGTGGTATGACGAGGTGGCCGAGTGGTTAAGGCGTTGGACTGCTAATCCAATAGGGTCTCCCTGCGTGGGTTCGAATCCCATCCTCGTCGAGTATATATTTTCAAACGCTTAGACTTTGGAAAAGTTGGTGGCACTGCCCCTGCTGTGTGTAGTGTCCCAGGTACCTTCCATATCCCTTGTTAAAGCTGCGGCTTTCCCCCAGAACGCACTCATTAATTTTTCTGTATTGTGCATTAAAAAAAACCTTTGTTTTCATATAGAAATTAATATTATTCTATATTAAAGTTTTATGTATAGTTAGGCATAGATTAGGTTAGGTGTTTAGGTTCTGTTGGTGATTATTTGTATTTGAAGTACGTGCGTGGAGCATTTACAGACAAGATTCGAACAGAGGTCGTCAGCGAAGTACTGTTCAATAAATGTTCGAACATCATCCAAACAAAGACCCAAAAGTAATTCCATGCACCTGCCAAACCCCCTGTTTATGAATGAAAAACTGTTTACACACGACTCACAACTGATTTCTTTTGAACACTTCCGGAACAAGTGCTTCACTGACGAATTTTGTTCGAACTCCAACGCTGTAAATGCTTCACCCACGTACTACAAATACAAATAATCGCCTACAGAACCTAAACACCTAACCTATGCCTATATATGCACAATATGCTAATATATTATACTATTAATTTATATTTGAGAAAATTCCTGTAATGAATGAACAGCATGTAAAAATTTATGAATGCGTCTGTGGGGTTGACCGTTGGTTGTAATGGATTTGAATCTAGGACGGGTTGTATCATCAGTTGTGAGTCAGCCCGTCCTCACATAAAAGATCCAAGCTCGTTAATCCAGCCGCCAAACCCAAACTGTCCAGCAGCCAAACTTTCGAAGGTGAAAAATAAATGATACAAATATATATGGGATTATCTGAAAACCTCAATTTTAAATTATTTAGTTATCTCCAGCCCTGCACTTGCCTGCACGTTAAAAAGAAATGTGTTACGCCCTCACTCTTGACCCAAGATGAGCCCTCCTTGACAACCTCCTTGTTCCTGGCAACTGTTCCTCTAGGACAGGTTCTGTCTTATAACACTATAACGACATTATATTATTATAATTATATTATAATAATGTATATTATAACATTATGATGACAGGTAACTGTTCCTATATATATATATATATATATATATATATATATATATATATATATATATATATATATATATATATATATATATATATATATACTAATTGAATTCCTCAGATAAGGCAAAATTGTAATTAATTTCTGTCAGTAAACATGTTAATAATAATAATAAGAGATTGGTAGCTTGTGAGACACGACCATTAAGTGATAATTAGACCTTTAATCGTATGGGAGCATGTTCACTTAGCCATACTTATCTCTAGTGAGATTAGGAAAATGGTTAGGAAAGTACTTTTTTAATTATTAATTGAACTATGCAATTTGTAAAATAAGTCTCATAAAAGAGGAACAGGAAAATTGCAGTTTAAATATACAATTTTATTCAATAAAGAAATAGGAGCATGGCTAGGATTACACTCCAACATGCTTGTTTAAAAGTAAAAAGTTTGAACTTATACATAGATACTCTATCAGTGAAACCTCTCTTAAATTATCACATAAAACTTCGCAATTATATACTTCATCAAGAGAGAATGAACTCACAGCGTCGCTGTAACATTAAAGTGGCGTTGCCATCACTTTATGTACACTTTTAAAGTGGTGCTGCCATCACATTAATTACACTTTCACATTACAGTGGTGTTGCCATCACCTTAAGTACACTTGTATTTTTCCATGCGTTCACATGAATGACTAGATATTAGGTATGATTGGATTAAGATGATTGACACAATGCCCCAGACTTGAGCGTGTCACAATCACGTGACCGGACCAAATAAACTGTAAAATTGGCTAACATACGAAATATAAATATAATTATCAGAATTTAATAAGTAAATTTAATTTAAGAATATATAAATATACTTACGAAACCTGTACATCTTTCCTAAATCACTGCGGCCTTGTTTGTATGTCTTCCAAGACAGCTTATGAGCTCCGATGAACTACGGGATTGCTCCATAACAATAAATAACCATGGGCCAGATTCACGAAGCAGTTACGCAAGTACTTACGAACGTGTACATCTTTCCTCATTCTTTGACGGCTTTCGTTACATTTATTAAACAGTTTACAAACATAAAAACTTCCCAATCAACTGTTGTTATTGTTATAAACAGCCTCCTGGTGTTTCGGAGCTTATTAACTGTTTAATAATTGTAAACAAAGCCGCCAAAAGTTGAGAAAAGATGTACAGGTTCGTAAGTGCTTGCGTAACTGTTTCGTGAATCTGGCCCCTTGAATCGAGAACGACCTCGCAGCATTTCTAAGCTCGTAAACTGCTTCATGAATACAAGATTGAGCCGCTATGACTGAGGTAAGATGTACAGCTCTCTTGAGTGAACATGTAAGTCTTGATAAATGCTGACCCCTGGATTATTATTATTCAATACTAATGTATCAAGAGAGAGAGAGAGAAAGAGAGAGAGAGAGAGAGAGAGAGAGAGAGAGAGAGAGAGAGAGAGAGAGAGAGAGAGAGAGAGAGAGAGAGAGAGAGAGAGAGAGAGAGAGAGAGAGAGAGAGAGAGAGAGAGAGAGAGAGAGAGAGAGAGAGAGAGAGAGGGAGAGAGATAGAGATAGAGAGATAGGTGTATTTTCTCGTTGCCGAGATGTGATTTTAGTGGGCGTATATATGGCCTTAGGATAATTTTATTAAAGTATTATATGATGAGGAATATTTTCTTGAAATGCCAATAATGATCCGTAATTGTTAATTATATTAATATACCTACAAATGTAGCATAATAAATAAATAAATAGATAAATAAGTTTTGATTGAAGTTAAGTTTCAAGCTCGTATATCTCAGGATACAAACACAGAGTATAATAAATATAATGGTGGCAGGATATATAATATAGGGAGTAATGCATATAGAATTTAGTCTGGTGTTTTGGACACAGGCTGTTGTAAGGGGGAAGGAAGGTGGTGTTGTGGTGGTAGTGATGTTGTGTTGTGATGGTGGTGGTGTGATGGTGGTGTTGTGATGGTAGTGATGTTGTGTTGTGATGGTGGTGGTGTGATGGTGGTGTTGTGATGGTAGTGATGTTGTGTTGTGATGGTGTTGTTGTGATGGTGGTGTTGTGATGGTAGTGATGTTGTGTTGTGATGGTGTTGTTGTGATGGTGGTGTTGTGATGGTAGTGATGTTGTGTTGTGATGGTGTTGTTGTGATGGTGGTGTTGTGATGGTAGTGATGTTGTGTTGTGATGGTGTTGTTGTGATGGTGGTGTTGTGATGGTAGTGATGTTGTGTTGTGATGGTGTTGTTGTGATGGTGGTGTTGTGATGGTAGTGATGTTGTGTTGTGATGGTGGTGGTGTGATGGTGGTGTTGGGGTAGCGTGATGATGATGTACTTATCTATCGGTAATTGCCAACCAGTGTCTACGGGAAAGTGAGGTCTAGCTCCTCATGCCCCGCCTACTAGCCTTGTTGCGTTTCCTTTCTCGAGTTACGATTGAACTATTCTGACGGTCCAACTCTTTATCGAATCTGGCCTTAAAAGTTGTGGCTGGAGGTGGCTTCCACAACTTCTTTCAGCGCATTCCACGTGTTGACCACACGCTGGTCAACACCATAACCACTTCTTACTGAAGCGACCATACGAGTCATAAATACTCATACTCCGCCCAAGTAAAACAGAAACAAGCAACACTTAGTGGGCCAGCCAGAGGCTTAGGGCCCGCGCAGGAATATCCCTGCAAAAAAAAAAAAAAAAAAAAAACACCCATCCTTCTATTATACAAGTATAATACTTGTATACTCTGCTGCCAGAGTATACAAGTATTTCCCGACATTTCTTCGATTCATTTGCGTTTCTAGCGTCCACTCGTCCTATGTTCTCTCAATTTAAGGAGGCTATCCATGTCCACCTGATCTATTCCCCCTCAGTATCTTGTATATTGTGATCATATTCCATGTGTTCTCTAGGGTTATGAGATCGAGTTCCATTCACCTATCCATAGCTTAACCCTCTTTTCTCTGACATTAATCTTGCTGCAAACCTCTGTAATTTTCCAGTTTTGCTTTTATGCTCTATGTGGGGCAGACTCCACGTCGGTGCTGCATGTTCCAGTATTAATATGAAAAATGTGGTGCAGATTGGCATGAAAGTCTTGATTTAGGTTTCTAAATGACGTTCTTATGTTTGCCAGCGCTCCACATTCTGCCGACGTTACACCTCTTATCGTGTGAGCCTCCGGTGTTAGTGTTGGAATTGTATTCGCTCCCAGATCTTTCACTCTTTCTGATTTTCGCCGCTGCGTTCCCTTTAAGGTGTGGGATAACTCCTGGTTTTCTGTCTCCCGCTCTCATCTTCACAACCTTACACTTGTTTCGATTAATCTCCAACAACCATTTGTTTGCTCACTCTTGGAGTTTGTCGAGGTCGTGGTGGTGGGAGGATCGAGGAACGGGCTAATTGCATTAAATGCAAAACTTCCTAAGGTATCATTTGTAAAAATGAGTACTGAAATTATTCCTTTCATTAGTATACATGTGTGTGTGTGTGTTTGTGTGTATGAACCCTGGAGCAGCTCCCTAAAGTTCCTTGTTTGGTACTCTGAAAAGCTGCTCCAGATATCCATGAATACCTTTCCCCGAAGGATTTATAAAACGTTTATAAAATCTACTCGGGTCAATAACACAGGAATCGTCTTGGTCCTGCCATACATCCGTCTTGAACGTTTCAAAACGGTACAGTAAGGATCTAGAGTCGAGTCGTCAACCAGTCTTCTCAACCAATGCGATGTTATGGCACGTTACAGTACCCCAACGTACAAGTTACAAAGTACTGTATTATGAAAAATAGTGGCTCATAAATATCCACATTTTCTATGTAATAGTAGATTAGGTTAGGTGGGTGACTTGGGTTCGTGTATTTCTGGTTCGGTTAGCACTCTGCATTTTATACGTTGTGGAAGATCAAGAGAATGGGCTACTGAGTGAGCTAATGATCAAGTTAACTACAGATCCAAGTGTGTGCACTCGCCTAGTTGTGCTTGCGGGAGTTTGGTCCCGCCTCTCTACTGTCAATCAACTGGTGTACAGATTCCTGAGCCTACTAGGCTCTATCATATCTACATTTGAAACTGTGTATAGAGTCAGCCTCCACCACATCACTGCCTAATGCATTCCATCTGTTAACTAACAGATGGACCCTGAAAAGGTTCTTTCTAACGTCTCTGTGGCTCATGTGGATACTCAGCTTCCACCTGTGTCCCCTTCCCCCTCAAGGGAAAGACGACAATGTATGTGTGTGTGTGTGTGTGTGTGTGTGTGTGTGTGTGTGTGTGTGTGTGTGTGTGTGTGTGTGTGTGTGTGTGTGTGTGTGTGTGTGTGTGTGTGTGTGTGTGTGTGTGTGTGTGTGTGTGCGCGCGAGCGCGCGCGTGTGTGTGTGTGTGTGTGATGTTAATTCAGACTTTTGGCTACTTTAAGAAAAATAAATGTACAAGGGAAAATAGCACCGTATGGACGGAAGATCCATGATTGGCCCAGATGATATTATGAATGAATATTAGGCGATATGTTTTGGCACTGAATGAATGAATGATAACTTTACGGCAGATGAACATTCTTCCGTGGAATGTTTACCTATGGAGGATGTGAATATTGACATTGTGTATGAATGAATAACATCACAATATATAAGTAATGTTAATGTCTACTCGCAGACAGGTATATAGATAAAAATATAGATATACAGACAGATATAGGTAAAGAAATTACATCAAGTCTTTCGCCCTCCCCTGAGTGCTTTGTCAAGGTCTGAGTGTGTGGTTAGGATGAGACTTACATCTCAGCGTCTAATCATATTAGACGTTGAGATGATTAAACATTGAGATGTAAAGCACTCAGGTACGTGCAAAAGACTTGGGAGTAATTTTTTTACCTAAATCTCACAAATACACAAGTGTGTGGGTTTTTATCCTATCACAAATTATATTATTATTTAAATACAAAATTATCAAATATACATAGAATTGTTACTATTATGTATCAGGTATGCTTGCATCGCTTTTTTTCACTATCCTTGTGATGGAATGTATTTTGCAGTGTCGAGTCTGACATACATACAACTCAAAATCCCTCCATACATACATATGCGTTTGTGAAGTCGCTCACATGAGCTTCCCAGCAATCACATATTTACCTCCAATCAGCTACATACAAACCTTCAATTACCCCACATATGAGTTTGAAAATATTGGCTTATGTGCCTCCAAACACAGAACATACGAGCCTCTAAACATCTGCATACGAGCTTCCAAACATCAACAGGCAAACATCCTGTTGATGTTTTTTGCCTCCAAAATGCATTCACTTAGATCTAAGAGTTTGTGTGTTATGGAAGACGGTGGGGACAGCTCCTGGTGACGTCGCGGCGGGTGTGCTACAAGAGACCCAGCTCCCCGAGCACCTTCTCCACAGTGACCCTCACTGCTTCCTCGTATCGAAGTAGCGTCGAGTCTTCCTTCAGGTACCCTTCCTTCCTGCAGGTGTCTCCACACGTCCTGGTGAAGTGGCCCAGGTAAGCTATCTTGGCGTCTACTCGCTTCACGTCTGAGTGACATTTACCTGTGAATAATTAATATATTGAATAATTCATCCATTTTTCTTATGCATAATATTTAGCCAATGAGAGAGATTAAGTCCATCTTCTGCACTTTTGATGGACATCTGGCTGAACATTATCGGGTAAAATGGAGCCTAACATGTCAATAGATGTATGATTTATATATTTTTTTCAGATTTTTTAAATTAAGGATTGAAGAGTTCCTTCCCCAGAGCACATCACGATGATTTTAAATAAGAGCTCTCAGGTGCAGGATCAAGCAGCCAATGACACAAAATTAAGCAAATTTATACATATCAACATTTACCCACATATAAATGATAAAACAGGCGATTTTCCACAGACCTGGATCATTATTTAGTCAGGCTTGTGATTTTATAGTGATTTTCTTGTGTGCATTTGTTGATGTGACTTTTATTCCCAAGATTACTTCATTGATAAAACACTTCATTCATTCCTAAAACACAGTAAACACTTCATTGGTGAGGATAAGATCGTCAATGACATGAGATAGAATTGAGGATTAAGTACACGAGAAGAAGGAATTGAGGTTTAAATCATATTAGAGCAATAGATCTTGATAGTTTATATAAGAAACAGAATTTATGTTGAATCTGCTGTAAACGTGAGTGGTAATCAACCAGTATCCCTTTATCATCCTGCATTTACATATCTCTCACTTTCATCTTCCTTCTCTTAGCTTCTTACTAAGAGAAGGAAGTATTCACTTCTTTCACAGTGTCTCATAATTCCTCTTCTCGTTCTCTTCCCCTTTTTCCACCTATTCCGTGGCACCTCTCTTATCTTTCATTCCTGCCCCTTTAATTACCACTTCCACCTTTCCTGCTGTCCTACTATCCTCATCCCTCAACACTTCTTACCTATCATCCAACATTCCCCCCCCCCCTCATCCTTCACCATCCCCCCCTCATCCCTCACCATCCCCCCTCCCTCTCATTTGCCCCTCTCACCAGAGCCGCACACGATGGGGCCATGGGAGAAGACTCCAGTGACGGTGTTCATGTCGTAGATGGCCTTGAAGGTGCCGGGAGACTGAGGGAAGTCCGCCTTGGGCCGCAGTGTGTGTCGCAAGGCGTGTAGATACGGCGGAAGGTCTCTAGTGCTCTGAGGAGGCTGGAGGTCGTCGTAGAAGATGTTCCACTGGAGCTTATAACCCGCTGGAAGACTCTTGGCCTTCTTGCCCAGCTCCATATGCGACCTAGAGGGGGATATTGTGCAATTATATACGCAGAAAATGGTAATATGAATAGAGAATATGGTCTACTGATTTCAATGCATAGGAATACATTGTTAATCTTGAAAATATTGAATACTAGCCATGTACAGACATCCTTCTTCAGCATTACCGACATTGAAGTTAGACTTTCAATACTTGCTCTGAGGTTTTTTAATGTTTTATTTGGTAAAAATTTGGTATTTTATTTTTATTTTAATGTGAAGGGTTTAGCTACATTTTGGTGATTTAAAATACCAGCCGAAGAAAAGTTTGAGGAACTTGCTGGCGATGAGTCACAATAACGTGGCTAAAGTATGTTGACCAGACCACACACTGGAAGGTGAAGGGACGGCGACGTTTCGGTCCGTCCTGGACCATTTATTGCCTGTCTCTACTTCCTCATCACAATCGACTTGAGAATGGTCCAGGACGGTCCGAAACGTCGTCGTCCCTTCACCTTCTAGTGTGTGGTTTGAGGAACTTCCTGAAGCTTATTTGCTGTCGTTCATTCACTCTCTGATCACTGGAAAGGCTGTTTATGTGTAAATGTATGTCTTTATGCCGGTAATATATACATATATATATATATATATATATATATATATATATATATATATATATATATATATATATATATATATATATATATATATATATATATATATATATATATATATATATATATATATATATATATATATATCTACAGACTCAGAATTTCGAGATTTCACACCTCCCCTTCCCCTTTCATACTTGTTAAGCAGCTCGTTGATTAAGTGTGTGAAGTTATCGTGGTGGAGGAGGAAAGGCACTTCGTCTGGGTCGAAGTGGGCGATGAAGCGGTGCTGGTGCATGTGCCGCAGGAGGCAGTCGCTGAAGTAGATGTTCTCTTGGGCGAACATCTGGACCCGGTGAGTGTTAGTCCATAACCTGCACACGAGCAATGTTGAAAAGTTAACAAAAACCAACTGAAGTATGTGGTGCGTTGATATGTATTTTGTGTGTGTGTGTGTGTGTGTGTGTGTGTGTGTGTGTGTGTGTGTGTGTGTGTGTGTGTGTGTGTGTGTGTGTGTGTGTGTGTGTGTGTGTGTGTGTGTGTGTGTGTGCGTATACATACAAGAGGACACAGATCGAAGCTGAGTACCCAAATGAACCACAGAGACATAAGAAAGAACTTTTTCAGTGTCAGAGTAGTTAGTAAATGGAATGCACTAGGAAGTGATGTAATGGAGGCTGACTCTATACACAGTTTCAAATGTAGATATGATAGAACTCGAGAAGCACAGGAATCTGTACACCAGTAGATTGACGGTTAAGAAGCGGGACCAAAGAGCCAAAGCTCAACCCCCCCGCAGGCGCAACTAGGTGAGTACACACACACACACACACACACACACACACACACACTTGCCTCCTCGTGCTGGGTTCGTTATCGTAGGGCGGAGGGTAGGAATACTTGGTCACTTCCACAAAGCCTTGACTCTCGTAGTACCGCAACACCTTCTCCATATTGGGGTGTACATCTGTCTCATAAAGGAACACCCTGCTGATGCCCATGGCCCGCAAGAGCTCCAGCCACTCCACCAGACGGAAGGAGAAGTCTTGGTGGTAGTAGTAGAGGGCTGGTCCACACACGGCTACCGTGTACTCCGCATGCTTCCTACACACACACAAAATCCCTTGAATTATTTTAGGTTTAGTGGAAATTTCCATAAAATATAATTTTTTATGGTTGCATTTATTCTTAAATTATAGTAACACTAAAAAATAATAATCTGAAAATTATTTACTTGCATAATATATACATATAAAATTTGTTCTTAGTAATTTGTTCTTAGTAATTTGTTCTTAGTAGTTGCCAAGCAAAGCTCTCAGACAGCCTTCACTTAATTGCATTCTGTTTTTGACAGAGGTGAGAGAGCTCATCTTAGAACCTTCGGCCTTTCACGACCTTCGAAAGCAGTGTAAATGAATGAACCTTGATCTGTAAAATTTGTTTTTGACACGTGTGTGAATGTATACAGAGCGTAATACAATGTGCGGCCTTATTTAATCTTCGCTGAGCAAAGTATGACGAATGAAAAGGTAAAGTATGTTTGGTATGACAAATTCATGGTATGATAAAGTATGCTTAGTATGACCCCTCTTCCCAGCCCGGTCTGGACTAAACTAGTCAACCTGTCCTCTTAAAAAGAACGTCGCTTTTGGCCGTTTACCCGTATGGCCGAATATGGACGTAATTTGAAAATGAAAAAAAAAATGAAAATAAATTGGAGATTTTTTTTTCAACAACAGTTAGTTAAGGGTCCTCTGATAGGTTAGGTAGACAGGAAATTCTCATAAAGTTTCAAAACGGTATGAAAAACGTTAATGGAAAGTTTCATTTTCTAAGCTTGCCGAGTAAGGCGGACGACTCAAACAGAAAACGGAACAGTAACGTGTCAAGGCAAAGTTGCTGACACAGCTTGAAAAAATATATATGACAAACAAAATTCCACTTGAAGGTGGAGAATCCAGTCCCACACTTGTCAACGTTTTTGATACATAAATTATTATTTGATACGTTGAAGAAGCTGTCATCTGCTCTTCAGATGATATTTGTATTATTAGAAATAACGTTAAACTCGCTGGAAACTCTACTTGATTCTCTTGCTACTTGAGGCATTCAATGTGATCGTATTATCTCTATAGAATTTATTTATTTAATTTAGAATTTATTTAGAAAATTTAAAACAAAATCTAGAACAAATTCCTCTTTAGAACAAAAATTTAGAACAAAATCCTCACAAAATCTCGAATGACTTACTAGTTTTTAAAGTAAAGAATAAAAACACCCAAGTCCATGAACAACATAAATATGACAAATTATTTCACACGATGTTTGTTAGATTCCTAGTTAATTATAGCAGTTCACTTGAAGGGGGGAGGGGGGAGGACAACTCTCTAGGAGGGGTGAGTGAGGCAGGACAACTCTCTAGGAGGGATGAGTGAGGCAGAACAACTCTCTAGGAGGGGTGAGTGAGGCAGGACAACTCTCTAGGAGGGATGAGTGAGGCAGGACAACTCTCTAGGAGGGATGAGTGAGGCAGAACAACTCTCTAGGAGGGATGAGTGAGGCAGAACGACTCTCTAGGAGGGGTGAGTGAGGCAGGACAACTCTCTAGGAGGGGTGAGGGAGGCAGGACAACTCTCTAGGAGGGATGAGTGAGGCAGAACAACTCTCTAGGAGGGATGAGTGAGGCAGGACAACTCTCTAGGAGGGATGAGTGAGGCAGGACAACTCTCTAGGAGGGGTGAGGGAGGCAGAACAACTCTCTAGGAGGGGTGAGGGAGGCAGAACAACTCTCTAGGAGGGGTGAGGGAGGCAGGACAACTCTCTAGGAGGGATGAGTGAGGCAGGACAACTCTCTAGGAGGGGTGAGGGAGGCAGGACAACTCTCTAGGAGGGGTGAGGGAGGCAGGGCAACTCTCTAGGAGGGATGAGTGAGGCAGGACAACTCTCTAGGAGGGATGAGTGAGGCAGGACAACTCTCTAGGAGGGGTGAGGGAGGCAGGACAACTCTCTAGGAGGGGTGAGGGAGGCAGGACAACTCTCTAGGAGGGGTGAGGGAGGCAGGACAACTCTCTAGGAGGGATGAGTGAGGCAGGACAACTCTCTAGGAGGGATGAGTGAGGCAGGACAACTCTCTAGGAGGGGTGAGGGAGGCAGGACAACTCTCTAGGAGGGGTGAGGGAGGCAGGACAACTAGGAGGGGTGAGGGAGGCAGAACGACTCTCTAGGAAGGGTGAGGGAGGCAGAACAACTCACCTGGAGGAGTGTGGGAAGCGGCCATCGACAAACGCAGACTCCTCCAGCGACCCCGACCCGGTGACCTGTAGGGAGAGGAAACACCACAGATGTCATCACTGGTTGCATCACCCACACCAAGAACAATAATTACCCCGTGAGTGCGCCATCTGAGATAACCGGGGAAGCAGCTGGCACTCACTCCAAGTTAGTGCACTTGTTACCTCCACCAAGTTCAAGTATGTTTATTGAGACAAGAAAGAAATACATCTCAAAATGATAGAGTAGCTTAGGCTATTTCTACCCTCCTCCTCCTCCCTCTGTCTACCTCTACCTTCACCAAGTATTTGCAAATGATACCCAAAATCTCTCTTTGAGATAAATAAAAAAAATAAGGGTCGTATCCAAGTGGGATTTCCTGCATTTAATAAGGGATTATCTAAGGGATTATCTCGCATGAGGCGTTAATCAGTATATAAATTAGCGTCACTTCCTTGGAATTACAGACTTTATGCCTAAGAAATTAGTCTTAATTGCCTTCCTTCCCCCGCCCCTTCCCGAAGCCGTAAACACCAAGACAGTGCTTCAGTTCAAAATACAACTGGGAAAAATCCTGGGAAATATAGAAGGGACCTTTGGCAATATATAACAGTTGTTGTGTAAGAAGTCTGCTACTGCCTGATAAAGGTCTCCACATGTCTCCAAAATCAGCTATTGATACTGGTAATGGCTCAAAAGGGTCAAACCTTACGGGCTATTCATGCCCGTGCCATCTTTTGGGTGGCTTAATCTTTATCAATCAATCATCTGGGCTCTCAGGCCGTGTGTGGTTGCTAACGAACATATATATATATATATATATATATATATATATATATATATATATATATATATATATATATATATATATATATATATATATATAACTGAAAACTCACACCCCAGAAGTGACTCGAACCCATACTGCCAGGAGCAACGCAACTGGTATGTACAGGGACGCCTTAATCCGCTTGACCATCACGACCGGACAAAAAGAAGTGATAGCCGAAGCTATTTGAACCACTTCCCCGCCGGCACTATATATAGTATATAGTATATAGTCCTGGGCACCATTCAGGCTTGTTTGCATTTGTGTTCCTCACGTGTGCCCCAAAGAATGAGGTGATTTGATAAAATGCTATGCCCAAGATTACCATCGGAGTGCCGGCGGGGAAGTGGTTCAAATAGCTTCGGCTATCACTTCCTTTTGTCCGGTCGTGATGGTCAAGCGGATTAAGGCGTCCCTGTACATACCAGTTGCGTTGCTCCTGGCAGTATGGGTTCGAGTCACTTCTGGGGTGTGAGTTTTCAGTTGTATATAGTCCTGGGGACCATTCAGGCTTGTTTGCATTTGTGTTCCTCACGTGTGCCCCAAAGAATGAGGTGATTTGATAAAATGCTATGCCCAAGATTACCATCCGAGTGCCGGCGGGGAAGTGGTTCAAATAGCTTCGGCTATCACTTCCTTTTGTCCGGTCGTGATGGTCAAGCGGATTAAGGCGTCCCTGTACATACCAGTTGCGTTGCTCCTGGCAGTATGGGTTCGAGTCACTTCTGGGGGTGTGAGTTTTCAGTTGTATATAGTCCTGGGGACCATTCAGGCTTGTTTGCATATATATATATATATATATATATATATATATATATATATATATATATATATATATATATATATATATATGTGAGAAAGCTGCATGAACGCGCAAGCCATATATCACTAAGAACTCTTTGGTTCGAATCCTGGCCGGGTCAAAGAGTTCTTAGTGATATATATATATATATATATATATATATATATATATATATATATATATATATATATATATATATATATATATATATATATATGTCGTACCTAGTAGCCAGAATGCACTTTTTGGCCTACTATGCAAGGCCAAATTTGCCTAATAAGCCAAGTTTCCTGAATTAATATATTTTCTCTAATTTTTTTCTTATGAAATGATAAAGCTACCCATTTCATTATGTATGAGGTCAATTTTTTTATTGGAGTTAAAATTAACGTAGATATATGACCGAACCTAACCAACCCTACCTAACCTAACCTAACCTATCTTTATAGGTTAGGTTAGGTTAGGTAGCCGAAAAAGTTAGGTTAGGTTAGGTTAGGTAGGTTAGGTAGACGAAAAACAATTAATTCATGAAAACTTGGCTTATTAGGCTAATCGGGCCTTGCATAGTAGGCTGAGAAGTGCGTTCTGGCTACTAGGTACGACATATATATATATATTATATATTATATATATATATTATATATTATATATATATATTATATATATAATATATATATTATATATATATATATATTATATATTATATATATATTATATATTATATATATATTATATATTATATATATATATATATATATATATATATATATATATATTTATATATATATATATATATATATATATATATATATATATATATAACTGAAAACTCACACCCCAGAAGTGACTCGAACCCATACTCCCAGGAGCAACGCAACTGGTATATACAAGACGCCTTAATCCACTTGACCATCACGACCGTCTTGTACATACCAGTTGCGTTGCTCCTGGGAGTATGGGTTCGAGTCACTTCTGGGGTGTGAGTTTTCAGTTGCATATTGTCCTGGGGACCATTCAGGCTTGTTCGCATATATATATATATATATATATATATATATATATATATATATATATATATATTATATATATATATATATATATTCTTTCCTCTATGGACAGGGTTAAACATCTGTTAGACATATAGTTCAGTGATTTATTGAACAATCAACCACCGACGGTGATTGTATGGAAGGGTAGGTGTTAAGCACCAGTAACTTACAAGGCGCGACCTAAGTTTGGTACTTGGACTTAATCCTAATTACAGTATTCTTCATAGAGATTCGAACATTAGATAGTAAGTATTCGGCTGTGTGGACTCAGCTACGTCCCGTGACATACTTAATATAATATACTGTAAACATTATATAATGTATTATATATAATGTTTACAATCTACTGTGTGAGATTGGTGCAAGAACTCGCCTCTTAGGAAGGAGAGTATACATCTAGGCGCCTCTATAATATACCCTTAACTGCTTATAAGAACAAACGCTTAAAAGGTTTAGGTAACCATCTCCTGTTAACAATTGTAAACCATTACCTCTGTTAAAAAGAGACAATTTCTAAAACTTAACGATTGTCAACGGAAAAACTTAACAATATAAGACAGTTGCGCGGAACGACACAGCTCCGGGAGTGTAAAGGCACTACGGGCTCACCATAGCCCGTGCTACTTGGAACTTTTTATTCCAGGTAGCGAATCTTTAACAAACATCCGGTAGTGTTTGGGCACACACAAACCTCACAAGATGGGGGTATACAGCCTGATGGGAAGCCTTCCCCTTCTTGTCTTCCTTTCCCGAGAAAGCCCGTCAAGTATACATGACGGGGCCACCGTCAAGTATACATGACAGGATGAATGTATAATGTATATACACACCAGCAACCCATCTTGTCGGTGCCGGAGCGAGCACCCAGACTGTATAACCCCGTGTTTGATCCCAACATTGACGTCATTTGTTTCACATAGTGATTACACAGAGTTGGGTGTTTTATAAATATCCGGAGCACATTACTCTTGAGTAATTTTTTTTTTGTGATTAATATCGTGTTGCCATATGCGCAGTATTCTTTATTTTGGGCATAATATATATATATATATATATATATATATATATATATATATATTATATATATATATTTAATAAACCTAGAAGGGGTACCACCTCTGGTGCAAGTGTAGGGACCCATAGCCTCGGAGAAGAATATAAAGAGTACTCAGAGAAGACCTTGTGGATCCTCACTGAACACTTTGATATTTTCTTCTCCTACCACCCCTATTCTTTTGGTATGTGTGTATATTTATCTAACTTTATTTGAAAATGTCATTACACAAAAAAAGTTACAATATTGATTACATGCAGGGTACAAGGCTGCTTGTCACAAGTTGAACAGCTCCTCAGATGGCGGGCATATATATATATATATATATATATATATATATATATATATATATATATATATATATATATATATATATATATATATATATATATATATATATATATATATATATATATATATATATATATACCCGGACCTGATATCAGTATGGCACGCAAACATTCCCCTTGTATATAAATATATCTGCCAATCAAATTTCTCCCCCGTCCCCTCTCTCTCAAACCCCATTTATTCCCCCCTAACTACCCACGGGAGACGTGCGTGTTCCTGTACAACTGCGCAAATGATTTTCTCAGACTGTCCGATAAGGAGGCGCCTGGCAGGTGTAATCTTGACCTAGCGCTCCCTACATGGTCCAAGGGGGTGGTGGTAGGGAAATACCAGATAACAAATGGCTACAATAAGAGAGGTAAAGGAGGGAGGGAGGGACGGGGGAAGAGTAACGGGAGAAGGAGGGGGGAAAGAGGAGGAGTTACCTGTAGGAGATTGGAAGTGTAGGTACATGGTTTTGGGAGGAGGGAGGCGGCGATGGGCTTCAGGTGGGCGTACTCCTGAGGCAGCGGGCAGGTGACCAAGAAAGGCATGCTGGTCTCCGAGCTCGGCTTGTGGTAGTCGAGGTACTCTGGCAGAGGGAGAGCACGGGTGAGATGCAGGACATTAAAGGAAGGAAGGAAGGAACGGGGAGGGTGGGTAGGGCGGAAGGGAACGTAAGGAAAGGGTAGATGCAGATTGGAAGAAAGAAAAAGGTAGAGGTAGATGTAGAGAGAGAGAGAGAAATTAGTTAATGTCACAAATTTATTAATAGTAACATTATTCAAATTACACACACACACACACACACACACACACACACACACACACACACACACACACACACACACACACACACACACACACACACACACACACACACACACACACACAATTAGGTGAGTACACACATTGATAGACGGTTGGAACAAGCTAAGTAAGAAGGTGGTGGAAGTAAATCTTTAGATTTACTTAACTTTTATTTAGTTAGATTTTATTTAATTTATTTAGTTAGATTTAGAAGGTGGTAAATCGTTAGTAGTTACAAAGCGTTATATGACAAAGAGTACTGGGAAGACGGGACACCACGAGCGTTCCTCTCATCCTGTAACTGCACCGTTACGCACCGCTCCTGTGCCAGGTAAGTTCACTACGTAGCTCACCATAGAATCTATAACAACAACAACTGCACTTAGGTAATTACACACACACGCGAAGAGAGGAGGGGGGGAGGCTAACAGAGAGGGGGACGACGAGAGAGAGAGAGAGAGAGAGAGAGAGAGTGTGTGTGTGTGTGTGTGTGTGTGTGTGTGTGTGTGTGTGTGTGTGTGTGTGTGTGTGTGTGTGTGTGTGTGTGTGTGTGTGTGTGTGTGTGTGTGTGTGTGTGTGTGTGTGTGTGTGTGTGGTGTGTGTGTGTGTTGTGTGTGTGTGTGTGTGTGTGTGTGTGTGTGTGTGTGTGTGTGTGTGTGTGTGTGTGTGTGTGTGTGTGTGTGTGTGTGTGTGTGTGTGTGTGTGTGTGTGTGTGTGTGTGTGTGTGTGTGTGTGTGTGTGTGTGTGTGTGTGTGTGTGTGTGTGTGTGTGTGTGTGTGTGTGTGTGTGTGTGTGTGTGTGTGTGTGTGTGTGTGTGTGTGTGTGTGTGTGTGTGTGTGTGTGTGTGTGTGTGTGTGTGTGTGTGTGTGTGTGTGTGTGTGTGTGTGTGTGTGTGTGTGTGTGTGTGTGTGTGTGTGTGTGTGTGGTGTGTGTGTGTGTGTGTGTGGTGTGTGTGTGTGTGTGTGTGTGTGTGTGTGTGTGTGTGTGTGTGTGTGTGTGTGTGTGTGTGTGTGTGTGTGTGTGTGTGTGTGTGTGTGTGTGTGTGTGTGTGTGTGTGTGTGTGTGTGTGTGTGTGTGTGTGTGTGTGTGTGTGTGTGTGTGTGTGTGTGTGTGTGTGTGTGTGTGTGTGTGTGTGTGCGCGCGCGCGCGCGTGCATGCTAACTACTAACAATATAGGTACTAAGAGACGAGTAAGGCACAATATCGTGGGGGTGAAAATTTACACAGCCATCACATAAGTCTTAAAATAAAGAGTGAGTGACGACGTTTCGAGGAGGGCCAAGACGGCCAGAAACCTCGTCACTTCCTTTATTTTTCCACTGCGAGACTTGCGTACCCAAGGCCCCGGGCGGAGGCCCCAGGTGGAGACTCCGGGTTGAGGCCCCACCCGAGGCCCTCCGTCCAACACACACCGGGTGACTACGATTTTGTGGACATGACGCAGGAAAAAGGAAGTTATTCACAACAGTTGTTTACAATATTATTTACAATAGCTGATTAAACATATTTCGTTACAGGAATAAAAAAAATAACAAAAAAATAAACGTTTCCACTGTCAAGATTAGATTAGGAAAGATGTTTGAGTCAGACCGTAAACCAACTTACGCACGAATTGATCTGCCTTAAAAAAAAAAATGTTGATATTTATTTACATAATATTGAAAAAAGGGAGTAAACAAGTTTAGGCTGGATTTAACAAGTATACAACATTCTGGCTTGTGTCAGCCACACTATCGTAAAGGTATATCTGTCTCCCTCACAAATACGTTGATATTCCCAGGAAAGACAGTGACTTATGACAAGCGTGTCTGAATAAAGCCAATCCCTAGATGAATAATTAACTCTCTTACATGTCAGCACTGTGGAGAAATGCCCGACAGACCACTGGAACATTATCTAACACAGTGCACAGTTACAAACCCATTAAGATTTACAGAGCAGAAGACGTTGTTAAACACATATGGCAAAATCTTACTGAAGCGACCATACGAGTCATAAATACTCATACTCCGCCCAAGTAAAACAGAAACAAGCAACACTTAGTGGGCCAGCCAGAGGCTTAGGGCCCGCGCAGGAATATCCCTGCAAAAAAAAAAAAAAAAAAAAAAAAAAAACTCTTACAAAAATGAACAAAGACAATGTGTGGAGAATTCCAAGACTCACAACACGGCTTGAACACACTGATCTACATAACTAAGGTTCCATATAATTCCCAACCAAGATATTAGCAGTAAATTTGTCACCTTTCGATCGGGGGTCTTAAGATGGTAAAATTCACTGATTTTGACATGATTTTGATTTAGAGGACCTATGGCTTTGAAACAGTTGACAACAAACACTTCTAAGAAATATGTCTCAGATGGGATCGAACCACCGAAAAGGAAGATATCTTAAATCAGAAAGAATAATGAATCTTACGAATGTCTTGTCAGTCTGTCTCTTTCTCAGTCTCTCTCCCCTTTCCTGTCTCTCACTCCCCCTCCTTCACTGTGTCTCTCGCATCATGCCTTACCTACTCTGAGGGCCTTCACGGCTTGGGGTGGCTTTGTGGCGTTGAACCACAGGTGACACCAAGGTCTGGGTGGCTTAGTACTCCTGCTGATCACTAACACACGCACACACGGCTGCACGTCTGCTGAGAAATATAATTGCATGAGTGAACATATGAGTGAACATGTGAGTAACATCAAGTATATCAGTAGATTATGATAACTTCAGGCTGCTGTAATCCCGTCTATGTTGGCGAGGCTACGGATATCTTGCTTCCAAAAAAATGCACGTTACTCCCAGAATTTTAGCCATATATATATATTACATTTTAGTACTGTAGGCAGCACACACACACACCCTGTCTAAGCTCACGTGATAAATAATAAATAAATAAATGTTTATTCAGGTAAGGTACATACATACAAGAGATTTTTACAAAAATTGATAGGTTTATAGATAGAGCTAGTACATACAATGCCTAAAGCCACAAAGCTAAAGCAATGCCTAAATATGGTATGATATCATATAGATATGATATTTCCGATAGATAGTTGCTTTCCGCCGCCACCCTCGGGAGGGGCCTGGAGGGCGCCGCGATAGACCAAGCTAATCATATTTTCTGAAAAACGTGTAGCGATAAATTATGCCTGTGACGCCACGCAGGCGCGATATGTTCGTATCTCCCATATTTTGGGGGTGAGCGTTGGTAGGTAACGCTCTCAGTGTGATGAGTGATGAGTGCGACTTAAGCGTTGAAGATAACTGTATAACATCAGCTCGATTATTCTTAAGAATTATTACGAAATAAGAGGCGGTAATCCAGTATGAGGATGCAACGCTTTGGAAGTGATGTATGGATAAGGAGGTGTTTATGAGGGAGTGTTGATGAGGCAGTGCAGAAACGGTGTAAGATGCAAGGCCATCGCTCTACCGACCATTCCAAGTGGAGGGAATTGATAAGGAATGCTACATTAAAAAAGTGTCGAGATATCAGTATGTGTGCATCTCGTTTTCCTGAATAGAACATCGCAATTTCGACGTATAATTTCCGTAAGGCCAAAATCTGATTTGTCCCAGTTCATGATGAATCTTTTTCACCTTGAGGGGTACAATTTCGACGTCTATTTTCTGTACTTTCCAGGGAGAAAATCTGATGTACTAAAAATGATAGCGGCACGTAAAATTGACAGGTCCCGTTTTCTGCTCGTGTGTCCTCGCTTAGGTTAGGTTCGGGCAATTCAGGTTCAAAAACGTTTTATATAATAAAATACATCCTAAAGGGATAGAGTAGCTTAGGCTATTTCAACCCTCCTCTATAAGGTCCCTCAAAGGGGCCCACAATTGCATACAGTAGATAAATAATAATATATATATTACATATTTACCTTAATTTAATAGTTATCACACAGTATATACATATATACTCCATATGTAGACGAGGAGTCATAATAACGTGGCTGAAATGTGTTGACCAAACCACACACACTAGAAAGTGAAGGGACGACGACGTTTCGGTCCGTCCTGGACCATTCTCAAGTCGATTGATTCTCACAATCGACTTGAGAATAGTCCAGGACGGACCGAAACGTCCTCGTCCCTTCACTTTCTAGTGTTGTTGTTGTTTTAGATATAGCTACTCAGAACGAAGTGTCCGTGTAGCACGGGTTATGGTGAGCCCGTAACTTTATAGTGTGTGGTTTAGTCAATATATATACTCCATTCTCTTCCTTACTTTCTTCCTCTTCCGTTTCACTCCCCCACTTCACCCCTGTCATAGCCAACGTTTTAAGTGTTGCAAATCCTCTTGTCTAACTTTCTGAGATATTCCAACATCTGTGTATGAACCTCTGAACGTGGTCCTGCACCTCATCACCGCGAGGGTTCAACAGTCTGCCACCCATCATAGTATGATAAACTGCCACAATGTCTTCCCAAAATATTTGTATATTTTGCTTAAACTAAGTTAGTTTAGTTCATGTCTTTTGAGCCCAATACTCATCCTGCGAGTACCCACCCACTTGGGCAGGATGGCAGAGCAACGGTCTCTCTCTTCTTGCAGGTCGGCGTTCGATCCCCGACAGTCCAGGTGGATGGACACCATTCCTTTCCATAGTCCCGTCGCAGATCGTTATCCTTTTATCCAAGTGCTATATAGTCGTAATGGCTTACTGCTTTCTCCTGAAGCCTCATCCTATGAGTACCAATATAGAAATTGTTAGCGGCACACTGTACGCGTTGGAACTCAAGCCCCGGTATATATTTAGCTGAGCATTGAGGAGCTAGATATAGAGTTTAACATATACATCAACAATCTGCTAAGTTTAAATGACCGGTTTATTTTCACTCAAGAAGTTATGAGACAATGTTTAAGCGTGTGTTGTTGAACTTGCGCCAGACGTAAGGTTACGCATGTTATTTCGGGGTTTTGGCATGGGACCAAGCGCAGCAATCGGTTTGGTAATTCAACACCTTGTGTGTACTTGTGCATCTCTACACACACACACACACACACACACACACACACACACACACACACACACACACACACACACACACACACACACACACACACACACACACACACATTCATAAGTGTAGATATGATAGAGCCCAATAGCCTCAGGAATCTGTACGCCTGTTGATTGACGGTTGAGAGGCGGGACCAAAGAGCCAGAGCTCAACCCCCGCAAACACAACTAGGTGAGTACAACTAGGTGAGTACACACACACACACACACACACACACACACACACACACACACACACACACACACACACACACACACACACACACACACACACACACACACACACACACACACACACACACACACACACACACACACACACACACACACACACACACACACATATTAATATATATATATATATATATATATATATATATATATATATATATATATATATATATATATATATATATATATATATATATATATATATATATATATATATATATATATATATATATATATATTCTACGGTAAGCAACACTAGTTAAAGGTTACACAGAGAGAGTTGTCCAAATTCCTTCTCGTTGCTAACTAGCCTCACCTTCCCTAGCGTCCTAGACGAGTCAGGTAACGTCATGCTGGCTTTCATTAAAAAGCACAGTAACTGCTACGTTAGTATGTTGAAGCTAGGAACATGCTGGGGACACAACTTAGCGGGTTTTCTTCCTATTAGGGGATGGGGGCGTTGTACCTATGGCGGTGTGTCCACTCACAGGATGAGTGTCGCTGCCCATTATTGTCAGTATGGCGGTGTGTTCACTCACAGGAAGTGACGCTGCCCAATACTGTCTCTATGGCGGAATGTTCACTCACAGGAAGTGACGTTGCCCGATAAACTCGTTTCGGGGGGAAAAAAAGAAAAAAAGAGGTTCCGAGAGCAAGAAGGAAGACAAATAACTCTCCCTACATATATTAGGATTCGTCACGTGAAAACTGTACCGTAGAGGTCAGGGGCGTCGGGTCGTAACCCCAAGATTCTGGTTAAAAACTTGTTCCGCTTCAGGAAAGAAGATGATGGGCACGTTTCCTTCCATGCATATGATACCCCTGTTCACCCAAGCTAGCAGAAAGTAAGCACCTGGAAGTTAGGCAACTGTTATGTGTAGCATTCTGAAAAAGTACAGTCAGTAGCCTAGAGAAAAGGACTTCATTTAGTCTATCAGGCTTCCTCCCCCAACAACGGGTGGAGGAAGGGTGGCTGTATCCTGGCGCCTCTCATTGCTATCCTGCCAATAGATAAAGCTGTTATGGCGGTACTTGGCACCTCGTCAGGCATATAATTTTGTTTATGCTGAGGGAGAGCTTTCCTATATTCATTATAGTTTGCGTACGCATAGTAGATAGACGGATAGATACCTATATATAGCACTGAGTGGTCTACACCATGCAATCAAAGAAAATTTAAATAAATAAAGAACAAGGGTAACTGAACCAAACCCGTTTGCCATGACGTTCTTACCTACAGTGACTCACGTCCATTCTCATGCAGTTAACAATGCATTTGATTTCTATGTCAACCTTTTCTCCAGTTTCCCTTTCCATAGGCCAGTGAAATTTCAGATTATTACTAACGAACAGAGACGACAACGAAGAATGAAAACATACAAGTGGTGTCAGGCATAGAGGGGTAGGAGTCACTGGTGCGCGCCGAGGCTAAACTGCCAAGCAACAATAGGCGACATTAATAAGGAAACCTCTTTCCAAACCCCAGTAATCGTTTATCTACTGATTTAAATTCAAATACATAAAATACATGGATGTACACATAACTATGAAATGTATTAAGGTGCAATGTGTGTGGAAAGTCTGTAAAAGTGCCTCAAACAACATATATTCTGAATTAAAATGGCGATGATATTCTGTGCGTGTATATATTTAGAAATAACTTCATTGATTAATTGTATTATTCACGTGCTAAAAGCAGCTATTGTCACGCGGGTATATTGAATATATCTGATTTCATTTTGACCTTGACTTTTACACTGGCCGCCTCGTGGTAACCTTCGTTTATGTATGAGTGTAAACTAGATATTACAAGCCAGTGTTAATATGCTAGTTCCAGCTAGTGGTAGTTCCAGCTAGTGGTACTTCCAGCTAATGGTACTTCCAGCCAGTGATAGTTCCAGCTAGTGGTAGTTCCAGCTAGTGGTACTTCCAGCTAATGGTACTTCCAGCCAGTGATAGTTCCAGCTAGTGGTAGTTCCAGCTAGTGGTAGTTCCAGCTAGTTGTATGACAAACCCGTGGAATAACAAGTCATAGTTGTGCCAGCCAGTGGTATTACATGGAATTGGTAATGCAAGTCATTAGTATTGCAAGTACACTGTATGGAAAGTCTTTCATACTGCAAACCAGTGGTACTGTAAGCCAATGGTATTGCAAAACTAGTTGTATTAAACGAAGGAGGCATTGCACTCAATCAGAAAGACCGTCTGTCTACTGTTGTCATCCAGAGGCGAGGTTATCTTACCCCATCTGTCTCATGTTGTCATCCACAGGCGAGGTTATCTTACCCTATCTGTCTCCTGTTGTAATCCAGAGGCCAGGTTATCTTATCAGTCCAGGAGGGCGAAGAGTACAGGGGAGCGTATAAACAAATGGAGGAACCGAAAAATTAACCATGAATTCCTTTTATTAATTAATGGATATCATAAAACCCATTCGACACCTATTACAAATCAAACACCTCGAGCTCCTCCGGTGGCTGGACGCGTGCCCAAGATGCAGCAGGCCTTTTTTCCCTCTGAACCTCGACACTAAGGCGCTGGAACAAGAAACTGGTCTTTTGTGGCCCTAATTAGTTTGTCGTCCAATTCTTTCAGAAACTTCAGTGCACATTTGCCCCACGGACCAAGAGGGAGGGGGTTTCCGAGCCAATCGGGCCAAAACTTTAGCAATGTGTGTCACACCTCTGTAGTTGGTGCCTTTCAGAGTTTCCCCTGAAAGCAGCAGCGCCACCCCCTTCGCTTGCACGGTATTGAAGGTAGGTACTGGCCAATGTGGATGTGCATGCATGGTTCCACATCACTAGCTTGCCATCCTTCCAGGTAAAGCATGGTCTGGATGCTTCTCAGTGTCTGTCTCTGTCTGTATAGGTCTAAAGTTGCAGATATTCGGGAGGCTCTTACATGTGAAAAGTGTCCTGGAGGTCAAGTTATCCGTCTTTTGTTGCAATACACAGCCGAGGTTATCTTACCCGTCTGTCTACTGTTGTCATCCACAGGTGAGGTTATCTTACCCGTCTGTCTACTGTTGTCATCCACAGGCGAGGTTATCTTACCCGTCTGTCTACTGTTGTCATCCACAGGCGAGGTTATCTTACCCGTCTGTCTACTGTTGTCATCCACAGGCGAGGTTATCTTACCCGTCTGTCTACTGTTGTCATCCACAGGTGAGGTTATCTTACCCGTCTGTCTACTGTTGTCATCCACAGGTGAGGTTATCTTACCCGTCTGTCTACTGTTGTCATCCACAGGCGAGGTTATCTTACCCGTCTGTCTACTGTTGTCATCCACAGGTGAGGTTATCTTACCCGTCTGTCTACTGTTGTCATCCACAGGTGAGGTTATCTTACCCGTCTGTCTACTGTTGTCATCCACAGGTGAGGTTATCTTACCCGTCTGTCTACTGTTGTCACCCACAGGCGAGGTTATCTTACCCGTCATACTCCTGTTGTCATAGACAGCAGAGTACAGGTAGAGGGTGACGTCCTTCGTAGTCGCCGCCCGCTGCCAGAATGTGTTGACCCAACTAATGCTGTTCAGAAGAAAAACACTCGCTTTAGTTCCCATCTGTTATTTCCTAGTGGTAATTAATGCACTATTTTCACTAAAAAGGTTCGTAATTATTGTAGAGTTCTGAGACAGATAGACGGAGACCCGGGCATCGCCGGGTACACGTAAAAAGTATCTATAAAATAGATACTTTTTATACGTATGAGTCACAGCCTGGTTGATCAGGTATCCTTTGGAGGGGCTTATCCAGTTCTCTCTTGAACACTGTAAGGGGTTTGCCAGTTATGTCCCTTATATGTAGCGGAAGCGTGTTGAACAGTCTCGGGCTTATATATATATATATATATATATATATATATATATATATATATATATATATATATATATATATATATATATATATATATATATATATATATATATTAGTATATTTTGGTAGCAGTCTGTCCTGTAGACATATATTATTAAATATGACCGATAAAGTAAGATTAATAATTCTAACACGAATTTTCTCAATCTTTCGTACATTTCTTTTCACTGTTGGAGGTAAATCAAAAATCAATTCTCCAAAATTCATTTTTATTTCTAGTTACTAAAATAAAAATGAATTTTGGAGAATTGATTTTTGATTTACCTCCAACAGTGAAAAGAAATGTACGAAAGATTGAGAAAATTCGTGTTAGAATTATTAATCTTACTTTTTCGGTCATATATATATATATATATATATATATATATATATATATATATATATATATATATATATATATATATATATATATATATATATATATATATATATATATATATATATATATTATCGAATTATGAGGTTTCATCGTTTTTAACAAAAATTAACCTTTAATTTAAATTGTTTCATAATATTTTAAAATCTAATATAACATAATTATTCAATTTAGGTTAATATTACAAAATTAAGATTAAATTAATAAAACATATCGATGCCCTTTAATTTTGCATGCTATCAAATTTCAGTGTTAAACAAGAAGCGAGAAACTTTCACGAGTCATGTTGAGCCGAGGGCAGAGTTCTGGGCTGATAGCAGCCGTTATCGAATAATAACTGTATGGTTCCCCATTGTCAAGGGCTAGATATCGGTTGGGCTTATCGAGGCTCCCCCCCCCCCATTCCCCTCTACCAACGACTGGTAATTACCCAGGATGGTACCCACAACCGTTCACCAAGACCACATTCAGCCCCGTCAATGTGCCAGGTAAGTCCACTACGGGCTCACCATAGCCCGTGCTACTTGGAACTTTTATTTTGTTCCGAGTAGCTGAATCTAATACAATAACAACAACAACAGTTCATTAACTCCCACGTAACTAGTTACTGCTAAAGTGACCTGTTGTCCACTCTTTCTCTCAAATAGTGCGTCTCATTTTGTACCTTATGGTCCCCAACGTACAAATTACGAAGTGCTATGAACAGTAGCGTCTCACAAATATCAATCCATTGGTAGGTTAGGGTAGGGTAGGGTATGTTAGGGTAGGCTGGGTTAGGTGAGTGGCTTGGGTTCGTGCGTTTCTGGTTAGGTCAGCATTTTGTATTTTGTACTTGGGGAAAAATCAAGAGACCTGATACGCATCCTGCCTGGAAACTGAATCAGGTACCACCTTTGCAGGCGATGAGTCACAATAACGTGGCTGAATTATGTTGACCAATCCACACACACTAGAAAAGAAAGGGACGACGACGTTTCGGTCCGTTCTGGACCATTCTCAAGCCGATTGTCACAATCGATTTGAGAATGGTCCAGGACGGACCGAAACGTCGTCGTCCCTTCATTTTCTAGTGTGTGGATCGGTCAACAGGTACCATTTTTGATTGCCGGAGTCGGCTAGTTTATTGTGCACCCCATACTCATCCTGTGAGCGGTAGCGCAACAAAAAGCGATTACAGAGGGCACAAAAGGTCTTTATCAGACCTCAACGGAGATTATTACATTAACAATTTCATCTATCCTTCACACTTTATAATTATACTGTCAGCTAGTTACAGAAAAGGTTCCATTTCCATAGCTATGTATTTACAGTTAATCATTATACATTAATGGAAGGTCTTATCGCTAATACATAATTGTTTGAGCTATGGAGATATTGCAGGGTCATAGAGGAGGTGCTGTTTGTTATTATTAGTCTTCACAATACACTACTTGCTTCTCAGTTGTAAGCCAATTGCGCAGGCCACTGCGCTACAAGTTACTAATATAATGGAGGCAAGAAAAACAACTGATGACCGGGCAATAAGAGAATCAGGCAATAGTGACAGTTGTCACTTGATAAATAAACCACTTTAAAAAACCAACCACTTTACCTCGCGTACTCAGGTAGCAAGTGACACTTAATATTTCGAGTCGCCATGTCCATAACAGCATCTACAGGGAAGTTAGGATGCTGCATCTTGAGGTAATCTGAGGTACTTCGGTTCGTGGATGGATGTATCTGCTTCAAGTGACCCAAGATGGTGTTCGATAACTTGGGATGCACCTAGTGGTGGTAATGAGGCTACTATAAGATCTGCTGCTGCTACAATTGAAACTTGTAAAATATATATTGTTCAATACATCAAACATATAGAAAACTATATATACATATATATATATATATATATATATATATATATATATATATATATATATATATATATATATATATATATATATATATATATTTTTTTTTTTAGTTTGTGAGGGTACCACCTCTGGTGCCAATGTGGGGACCCATAGCCTCGGAGAAGAAAATAAAAAGTATTCAGAGGAGACCTTGTGGTTTCTCACTGAACACTAATATTATCTTCTCCTACCACCCCCATTCTTTTGTATGTACACATATATATTTACTTTATTTGAACTTTGTTACAAAAAAGGAGTTACATATGGGTATATATATATATTATATATATATATATATATATATATATATATATATATATATATATATATATATATATATATATATATATATATCTTACCTGACGACAACTACAGGTTGTATTCATGTTCTCTCCCTTTGACGTTTCGGGGCCCGATTCTCTTCTCTTATTGTCCTCGAACGAGATCTCGTTGTCGCTCGCTTCTTCATCCATCCCCGTTGGTGTTTGATTCTTATCGCCGTCCCCGAGGCTCCCGTCGGGCCGACACGGGAGTATACTGTTGGTGATGCCGATGGAACGATCTAAGGAGAGCAGAATGAGCACCGCCACCACAATGGCGATGCTAACCTGAACCAGCCGGAACGAGCTGTTTTTGAAGACCCACCTTAACAAAACAGTAAATAAATTCATAAATAATTTATTGATTATTTTATAAATTAACGATTATTACACGACTATGTAAATGATAAATTACATGACAAAAATAAGCAATTATCATATAAGTTATATCAAGTAATTTATATATAATATATTTTAAATATATAGAAATACACCAACATAGTCATGATACGTATTCGAAACATCTTTACCAAACAATCAGTGTTGGTTCTTTTTATACCAACATCAGTGGTAATAAATAATTACTCGGGCATTCAAATAAAATATTAACATAATACATTAAATATTAAACTAATTACAGTCGAAATATTACTATACGGTTATCACGTTTATTTAAAACTGTTGGCGACTAAAAATATACTACAAAAGGAAAGACCAACCCCTAATAGCTTAAAGTCCACTCAAATATCAACATACAGTTTAGTGTGAATCGTGTGTACAGCTTAGCGTGTATTTAGTGTATATATTATTTTCATATATATAAATGTAATAATCTCTGTAAATTAATGTAAATATAATCTCCAATATTGTACAGTTTAGTTGGATCGAGGAGTCTTGAGCTGTTCGAGTCAGGCTTCATTTTACAAATTTGAAACTGGTTCTAACACATCAGGATGGAAGCCTGGAAATCATAACTCAGAACGGTGGAATAAGAAGTGAAAGGGCGATTAGTTAAAAAGGCAATAATCATGGATAGGGAAGAAAGCAACTTGCCTTAAGGGTAATATACATATTTACATATATACGGTATTTAAAATTCCAATAATCGCATCGCATCGCACTGCTCAACTCTAACGCTTGAGATAAAAGTCCAACGGATCTGCTTTTGTTTATATAAGCGCCAATAATACGTGTGGATTAGTAAACAAACTGGATAATTATCTGTATATAATTACTAGACAAAATATTATTTTGGTATATTATTACCGAAGTTGCCATACTTGTGTTATATATACTAATATTCTTTGCTAATGTATAAATTAAATTAGTGAATATTTAGAAAAAAATTATTTGTAAGGTATTTATTAAAAATCCTTTAATAGGATTTAATAAAGTATTTATTTAAAAAAATATAAATAATAATTGCCAATAGAACCTAATCACCTAATCAAACGTAAGTTAGACATAACTCTTCAACACGTTTTAGAATGAAATAATGTTACCTTATATTTGAAAAAAATACAAGTTTTAAACAGTACTTAAAATTGGCGACTGCGTCCTTGGGTTCACCGACGCCTGGTGGAGCCTAGCCCCCGAGGACAGGTTGTGGGAGTTGTGTGTAAAGCGTTTTTCAATCATTAATTAACGATTAATGAGCATTAGGCCCTTGTTGATATGAGGACGGGCTGCCTTCTGTACCTCTCATGTGTCCAACCTATACACAACCCGTCCTCTTAAAAATAAATTCGCTTATCGCTCGTATGCGCGCTATGGGCAAAATTGGACGGAATTTGAAATGAAATCGACTCACAAAAGTGACGTACTGTCCCGTTTTCTGTTTGAGTCGTCCGGCCCACTCGGAAAGGTTAGGAGAGGAAACTTTTACTTAACATTTTTCATAAAAAATTGAAACTTTATGAGAATTTCCTGCCCACCTAACCAACCAGAGGACCCTTAACTTACTGTTGTTGAAAAAAAAAATCCCAAATTTATTTTCATTTTTTTTCATTTTCAAATTATGTCCACTTTCGGCCATACGGGCAAACGGCCAAAAGCGACGCTATTTTTAAGAGGACAGGATGGTACCCCGCGCGTCTGAACTTCACAAGCTAACCAACACTTTTTAACATCAACATTTCATGAGTAGCAATCTTACCCATTGTAGCTTTTGTAGCACGTTTCGGATAGAAGATTCTCTGTCGACACTGAAAAAATACAAAAGTATAAATTAATAATGTACCAGTATAGATATCAAGCATCACAAAGTATAATTGAATATGGAAAAGCAAATCTCAGATCACAAGAAGGATTAACGTTTTATATTTTTAAAGATTTGGGATTTGGAAAAACGATAATCCCAATTAGACAAGGAATTTATGTAGCTCAGCCTAGCATTTTAATGCATTTAGGACTAGTTTTAGTCCTAAATACATTAAAAATCTTAGTCCTTACCTAGAAACCTAGGTTAAGAACCTAGTCCTAACTTTTGTCCTGACTCACGTTCGGGACTTGATGGTTGGACAGTAAGCTAGTTCGCGGCCTTAATATCAACCCTCGACGCGCACGTACGTTAAATCTAGTAATGCGAACTTCATTATGTTAAAATGTCATGAAGTAAACCTTCACAGGTATTGTGAAAGTTTTCGCTTTTATCACACATCTTATGTATACATCACACGCTTTCTTCTGTGATGTATACATAAAAGCAATCCTTGTGCCAGGTTATACAATGACTTGGTTGTGAGAGAGAGAGAGAGAGAGAGAGAGAGAGAGAGAGAGAGAGAGAGAGAGAGAGAGAGAGAGAGAGAGAGAGAGAGAGAGAGAGAGAGAGAGAGAGAGAGAGAGAGAGAGAGAGAGAGAGAGAGAGAGAGAGAGAGAGAGAGAGAGAGAGAGAGAGAGAGAGAGAGAGAGAGAGAGAGAGAGAGAGAGAGAGAGAGAGAGAGAGAGAGAGAGAGAGAGAGAGAGAGAGAGAGAGAGAGAGAGAGAGAGAGAGACAGAGAGAGAGAGAGAGAGAGAGAGAGAGAGAGAGAGAGAGAGAGAGAGAGAGAGAGAGAGAGAGAGAGAGAGAGAGAGAGAGAGAGAGAGAGAGAGAGAGAGAGAGAGAGAGAGAGAGAGTGAGTGAGTGAGTGAGTGAGTGAGTGAGTGAGTGTGTGTGTGTGTGTGTGTGAGGGGGGGTGGGGAGGGGGGGGGAAGAGGATACGAGTCTAAACAACTATCCACTGTTGACGCAGGTGATGTTACCTCATCACTATCTTCCTTCATCCTGGCCTCCATTAATAGTGTTATCTCTGAATTCCGCGATTTGGTTCTCATTCTCCTCCTCTCTCTTAGTCCACCCATCCTTCACCTACTATTCCCACTATTGCGTCGATAAAAAGCAACAGTTTTCTACGAAATCGTCGAGGCCCGTAAAATTTTTGAACCGGTTTCTGCCCCTTAGTTAATCTCCAATTATGGAGCAGAATTACACTTATGTTAAAGTAACACTTATGTTAATATTAACACATATGTTAATGTAAATTAATTTACCTTAGCAGAGAGTGCAATGCTGTATTATTACTTTTTTGCTTCTCTCTTTATAAGGTGAACTAGCCGCAGCGAGATTATTTAAACCTTATATCTCATGGTATTAGTTTTGAAACTCATTTTCTCGAACATGCCGACTCATATTTCATAGGATATTTATTATTACTAAGCGTGAATAACTTTCTTTAATAATCTTTTATAAGTTCCTGGACTCATGTCTTCCATACAATCTTTTGTTTCCATCATAGTCTTCCAGTCTTGGCGCCTTCTTTTGATTACTTGCCATTTTCGAATGAAATTATTTGTTGATAAAATAACCTCGCGGTCTTCATGGTTATAATAATCAGCACACATGAGCCAATGTAGTATTTCTGTAGTGATAAATAATTAAAATAATATTTTTTAAGATCCCCTTATGTTTTTGTATTTTTTGTATTAACATACTCCGGTATATACGTATTTAATTTTATAATTCGTTGTATCGGGGGACAGGCAGTCAGTTGATACATACTGTACATGTTAGGCTCAAATCGAGGTCTCAATAGGGTAGGCTTTAGTTAGGTTATATATATAGAGTTATGCAGTTGCCCGAGACAACATAGTTTGTGTCAAAAGCTAACTATATCATATTAAAAAAAAAATCCCCATCTTGCAGGAAGGTTAATCTACAGGAGCATGTGATCCTGTAGATTACCTCAATATCGACCACACCTATAAGGTTTGTATCAGAGTAATACGCCTTGGGATTTACCAGCCTGCACTGGTAAGCTTAGGGAGCATTATGAGGATATCCTCAAGAACACCCGGGGTGAATATACTGACAATGATACTCCAAGTTTCACCTACAGCAGATGGTCCACTGTTGGGGGGGAACATAGTGTAGTGCGGAATAAATATGCCACGTATTTTACAACTATGACAAGTGTTGGACAACCATGGCAGGTGTTGGGCAACTATGACAGGTGTAGGACGAGGGTGGCTCATAAAATGTTGTAGGCGTTGTATATCTAGTACTTTCCTAGATGTACTCGCCTATGATAAAGTAGACTGCTCTTCCAATTACTCTGTGTAGTTGAGGAATACAGTCGTGAAAGAGTGCACGAACAACGTTCCAGGACGTTGCAGTGCCAAGTCGAGGCACTGCAACCCGCCATTCTCAGCTAATACATCTCATTTTGTATATTATAGTCCCCAACGTACAAATTTCAAAGTACTATAAAAAGAGGCTGCTCACAAATATCCACGTTTCCTATGCGTATATTGTTTAGGTTAGGTGGATGACTTGGGTTCGTGTTTCTGATTAGGTTAGCATTTTGTATTTTGTACGTTATGGCACATGATGAGAACAGGATGGGGGACTGAATGTCACGTATATTTTTATGCTACACGCATCCCGGCCGATAAAAATCTAGATTACACAAGGGGCGAACGAAGAATATGCGATGTAATTCGTTTTCCTGGCTTGGAATTTGACGGCAATATTTGGAACGTCCGCTCAACACTTAACTCGCGCGAATTATAACAGGAGGTCAACAAACTCGAATCAAATCAGCTCGTATTTTCGTAGACCAAACGCTAATTAATCCTGGAACCGTATTTCATGTTTAGGAAAATACTTACAGGGTTTTCAACTCGACCTCTGCAATGCTCGTCCAAGCTGCGGTCGACTCCAAGGACGCATTCGTCAATTTTAACGTACTGTGCACCCATTTTTTCAAATATAAACTAATTAAAGTAAATATATTTTACTTTTGTGTATAGTTAGGCATAGGTTAGATTAGGGGTTTAGGTTCTGTTGGCAATTATTTGTATCTGGAATACGTGGGTGAAGTATACAAAGAGAAGCGATTCGAACAGAGGACGTGAACGAATCACTGTTCGAGAAAAGTTCGAACGTGATCATCTGTGAGACGTTAGTAAATTGTTAATTATCTATACAGCCCGTCCTCATAAACAAAAGTCAAAGTCCATTCCATGTACCCGCCAAACCTTCTGTTATGAATGAAAAACGGCTTACAACTCAGAACTGATGTCCGAACAATTCCGGAACCAATTCCAGGTGTTGCTGCGGCTTTGTGAGTGATACTGTAGCTTCGAGGGTGTTACTGCGGCTTTGTGAGTCGTACTGTAGCTTCGAGGATGTTACTGCGGCTTTGTGAGTGATACTGTAGCTTCGAGGGTGTTACTGCGGCTTTGTGAGTCGTACTGTAGCTTCGAGGGTGTTACTGCGGCTTTGTGAGTGATACTGTAGCTTCGAGGGTGTTACTGCGGCTTTGTGAGTGGTACTGTAGCTTTGTAGGTAATAGGCCTTTTTGACTGTAATAATTACATCAACTGTTACTGTATCTTCTACAACACTTTCACTTCCAATTCTACTGCTACTGTCTCATCCCCTGTCGAATCTCTACATTTATTATAAATACATCTTCTACATCTACTAAAACTATACGAAGGACTACATCTACTTCCTCTGCTAGTAGTTTCAAGACTACTTGAACACTTACAGCTGTTTCTGATGTTTCTTCACCAATAACTCAAAAGTAAAAGTTTTGATTGGAGGTTATATTGGAGGATTGGAGGTGAGCGATCCGGTCGTGCGGATCGCTCACGAGTTGAAAATGGTATCTAAGATTACCCTAAGAGCGACCGAAAAATATGAATGGTAATCAGACACACCGGGATGGAATTTAACGCTAATATATGAAACGTTCATTCCATATTTGCCTCACATGTCGCAAATTATAGCAAGAGGGATACCTGTTCAACCAGGCTGTGATTCGTACGTCAGGCTGCGAGCAGCCGCGTCCAACAGCCTGGTTGATCAGTCCAGCAACCAGGAGGCCTGGTCGACGACCGGGCCGCGGGGACGCTGAGCCCCGGAAGCACCTCAAGGTAACCTCAAGGTAGGAGGGGGGGGGGGTGGCTGGGGCTGCACGCAAGATGTGGGTCTTACGGGGGGCTGGGGCTGCACGCAAGATGGGGGTCTTGCGTGCAGGAGGGTCTATGAGAGAGAGGTGGGGAAGGGGCTACCGAATTAAAGGCAAAACAAGTATAGCTGTGCAGCCCGTCTCCTGGAGCGTTCCCAGTACGTCACTAAACTGATGTATTAAATTGCCCGAACCTAACCTAACCTAACCGAAGACCCATGAAAAAGAAAGCGGGACATCCCGTCAATATTGCGAGCCGCTATCATTTGAGTACATCAGTTTTTGGCCTTTGGGGGGGATTTATACGTCAAAATGAAGGGAATTTTACGTCAAAATGGGGGGAAGGGGGGGCGTGGGATTTATACCTTATACGTTTGTACTATTCGAGAGGACGAGTAAAAGCCAGCTATGAATTGTACAATTTCTATTGAATTATTCCTAAAGTGTTGTGCATTAAAACATTCAACGCGGGAAAAGGTCACGGATGTCGTCATAATGACAAATGGACTTTATACCAGTATGAAGTCTTTTCCAGACACTTCCACTGCTTTTTAGAAGTTCTTGTTGTTGTAGATTCGCTACCTGGAACAAAAAGTTCCAAGTAGCTGGGAGCTAATCGGTGTGTGATATGACAATTGGTTCTCATTTTCTTCTTTTTAGGAGAAAATGAGAACCAATTGTCATATTACACACCGAATGCCACATGAGACTGATATTTGATAACTTAGGTTCGGGAATGTGCGGAAACGTTCTAATGAATATCGTCGAAGAACAAAATAATAATTTCAACAACAAATTAACAGATGTGCATGAACTGAAAGATAAGGAATAAGCTAAGAGATTTAGCCATAATGGTGAATATCACAAAAATACTGATTAACTGAGCACAAAGGTTCAAAGACGTAATAAATTGGTCTACAAGAGAGTTTTATCACTGCACTCGTGCCTTGGAGATGAAACTTAGGCTTTTACGGCAACTCTGTGTTAGAGATCAATTTGTTTACACACATTTGCTAACCTTGACCGTCCTTCAAGACGTAACTGACTTTGTATGATGATACCCACATATAAAATTACTACAACATGATTTCTTAGTTAAAATTATGAGTTCCACGAAAGACTCGCTGACTTTAAATAACATGAGAAGGATTTCTCTGTTTTTCGAAACATATTCTATATTCTCGTTCAAGAAATACAATGCTTATTTTCCACTTCATTGAAGGGGAGAAAAAAGTTATCGAACGTTGATATTGACACATTTTATCAATTATTCAGGAATCTCGTCCATGTTTGGAAGTACATGTGTCGGTAAACCGCCGTTTTCCGCAGTTTATGACCATAAACCAATCTCAGCATCGTGGCATACAAGGGGTGTTCACAAATTTTGGTTTAGAGTTGAATGTAAGGTTTATCACCCGCTGGAGGGTTGGTTAAGCCCATCACAATAGCTTACTGACCAACCAGCAAGTATATATGCTACAAGGGTGAGAGTTCGAACTTACGTCCAAGAAGATCCCAGACGCGGCTTAATCGACTGTGTCGTGGCACAGTCGATTAATGGGGAAAATTAAGAATAATGTGTCGTGGCACAGTCGATTAAGGCGCGTCTGGGATCCTCTCGGACGTAGGTTCGAACCCTCATCACGGCCCTTGTGGATTTGTTCATGTATACTACACGTCTTGAACATAATCTAAAGTAAACTCGGTGTATATATATACACCGATAAGTTGAGTACACCTCTTGCTGTATATATCTTTTTTCACCTCTTTTGTGAAGACTCTTCTGAAACATTTAATTCCATTTGAATTAAAAACAAGAGTTTAATATATTTTTATGTGAACCTTGGAATTATAATCCTTTATTTTATTTAATTCTCCCCATTATTCCCTGGTTGCCAATATTTAGTTTGCTTGTACCGTTTATCATTTATACAGTAAATTATCGAGCATTAGTAAATAATATACACTTCTATAATATAATAAATTATAAACACATTATGAGAACTAGCAAAATAAATATAATAATTAGAGTTTAACTGTAGCCAAAGTGAGGTGTTTGCTTCGTGGAATTATTGCGTAAACTTAATTTCCTAGTTTACATCAGGACAAAACTGAGGTGTGGTTTACAGGGTGATCAGGTACTGACCGAGCTGTGCTCACCTAGCTGTGCTTTAATGGGCTGAACTTTAGGTCTTGGGTCTTGCCTCTTAAAGCTTTCAATGAATTTGTTCCAGATACACAAGTTTTAAGATTGTATCACATAAATACATAATAAATAAATAAAGACATAAACACATACATGTCAATAAATAAGTTAAAAATAATAAATTTATTAAATAAATGACAATAAATAAACACATAAAATACATAAATACATAAATAAATAATAATAAAATAATAAATATTTTAACTCGTGGATGCCTCCACGCCTTTACTCCCTCGTCGTCGTTCCTCTTTCATTTGCGTGTTCCTGTTCCTCCCATTTAAGTCTGTCTGTCCTAGTCTTCCCGGTTAACTCCCCCGGGTATTATTTATGTCGTAATCGAGCATCTTCTGGTTCTTCTCTCTGCCTGTGAAATGAGGTTTTGTTCCTCTAATTTGTCCTCGTAACTTATACTTCTGAGTTTGGTGGCATAACTTTGGATTTTCTCCAGTTTTTTGTGCTTCACGAGATTATGACTCCATGAGAAGTCAAATATATTTCATAACTGTAGGTCGGACATATGTGGTATACACTTTTTACTTTGCTGCTATTTGAGTACTTCCTTACCCACAGCAGAATCTTTCCGGTGACTCCCACCTGTTTCACCAACTTGTGCACTGGTCTCTTCTGGAATACCACGTCAAAGCCAGTCTGACGGTCCAAAAACATGCAGCCAGGGAATGTTATTAGGTTTGTAAAGCTGGTTTTCCTGTTGCTAAACCAATGCTGGAGCTTCATTTATGTATGCTCTTCTCTCCAGATGTTCTTATCTTGTTCTTATGATATGTTCCCTGGCCTTGAATGTCATGCATGGAAGAAGCACTGGATGTATTTTAGCGCCCTCTGTTTCCCATTTTAGTTTATTTGCAAAAAATTCACCACCTTTTAGCTTTCTGATTTGAATTGAAATTGAAATAAGTTTATATCGAGGCGAAATACGCACAATGGGATGAGGTAGCTCAAGCTATTCTCACCCCGTTCAGTATAACGTGTTCATACATATATAGACACATCACAAACAATAAACATATTACAGAACATTCTGAGTGATAAACATATACATTTCTTCCTTTTCAAATGTAGTATGTGACCAGACGTACATACAAATACCTTTATGACTAGGTATACAGACAATTTGCAATAGACATTCAGCCAATTCAACAAAATGTTACAATCTTGGTGCAAAATTCTTATAGCTCTCCAGAGCTTTCTGACAGTTCTCTTGTTTTCAGTTACTTCTTGTATCTGTTTTTAGGTGCCTAACACAGATTAAACTCCTCTTATGTTTCCGAATGGGATCTTCTCTGGTCTCGTGGCTTATATCAGGTAATCAGAAAATTCTTCCGTGTTGCTTGGTTAACAGATCCTTGTCAGTTCAAGCAACTATGTTTGCTTTACAGTGAAGACCTCTTGGATTCGTCTTTTGAGTTTCTCATACACATCTTTAATGTGACAGTGTCTACTTTTTTTCTTAGTTCAATAACTAATCACTTTATTGTTGCTTTCCATCCGGTGTGGCGATGACACAGTTTGGGAAGGTTCTTAAAGGAATTTGCTTTCTCCGTTTAAAACGAACTTTCTGCTACTGTCCTCATGCTGATGTGGGCTACTCATTCCTGGCCCTCTGGAATTTCCCTCTCTTTTGTGCCTTTGGTCTACTTGTGTTCTGGCCTCATGCTGGAGAGCTTAGGTTACTGGCATCAAGGATTTAAACCACGGTTACTCCTATGCCATCCATTGTCTTCTCTTTTTACAGGGACGCAAGCTCATCACCTCAGCTTTTCTGTGTGAGAAAGTTTATCATTCATTGTGGGGGGGGGGGGGGTCTTCGTACTGGGTTCACTGTCCCATGGCATTTAATAGGTATTATTAATTATATATTTATATGGGTTGTGCGGGTCTAGGTGAGGATCAGTCATGTGGTAACGAGAGGAACGGGAGGAGGAGGTGGTAGAGAGGGGAACGTGAGTGGATGAGAAGAGTCACTGTTGGACTTTCCCGCCAGCCAGCCACCCGCCCCACCGGCGCCTGGAGGACCACGAGGTTGCTATAGGCGAGTTTATTGTTCTTGATGTTAGTACAAAGTGGCCTGACCTGCGGTTGGCATCACATACACACGCTTCCCACAGGGACAATATATATATATATATATATATATATATATATATATATATATATATATATATATATATATATATGTATGTTAATCCTATAATAGCAAAACTAACCAATGGGAGCAATATCCAGGAGTGGCGTTGGTTCGAAGTTGAATCGACGATGATTACATTGATTCGTCGATGAATTGGTGTTGCTTTTGGATACTGTTACCATAGGGGTAGCCTCTTCCGTCTTCACGTTAACCCGGCGGTTTACATGATAGGTATACACTGAGAAGCAGGTGGGTAAACTCCACTACGCTATAGTCTGCCTTACGTCACATTGCTTAATAGTCGTCGAGAGCATTACACGAGTTGAAATTCACTCGTGAAATTTTGTTGTTATTCACCAGCTCGTGTTATTGAAGGGACTCTGCTGCTTGGCGCGCTACTGTTTTTTGCAGGGATATTCCTGACAATGACGATGTTGACTGTGTTGACGCTGTGTCGTAAGCTCCAGGTACTGTGTTGACGTTGTAACGTAAGCTCCTGGCACTGTGTTGACGTTGTAACGTAAGCTCCTGGCACTGTGTTGACGCTGTAACGTAAGCTCCTGGAACTGTGTTGACGCTGTAACGTAAGCTCCTGGCACTGTGTTGACGCTGTGTCGTAAGCTCCTGGCACTGTGTTGACGCTGTAACGTAAGCTCCTGGAACTGTGTTGACGCTGTAACGTAAGCTCCTGGAACTGTGTTGACGCTGTAACGTAAGCTCCTGGCACTGTGTTGACGTTGTAACGTAAGCTCCTGGCACTGTGTTGACGCTGTGTCGTAAGCTCCAGGCACTGTGTTGACGCTGTAACGTAAGCTCCTGGCACTGTGTTGACGCTGTAACGTAAGCTCCTGGCACTGTGTTGACGTTGTAACGTAAGCTCTTGGCACTGCGCTGACGTTATATCGTAAGCTTCTGGAAGTGGGCTGATACTGTATCGTAAGTTCCACGAAAGATTGCATCCTGTGGAAGGTATGATAAGGCCAGATCCCAAGACTAGCGGCGGGCGAGTGAGAGTGTGTTTACACACACTCGTGCCTAAATTGTACACAAATGGGTACCTGTTCTTCCTGCTGTAACTGAAAGAATGTACGAATGTGATCTGCAAGTCAGGGAAGAGATCAGCATATACTTTAATGTCTGTTGAAGAACGAAGAACATTAACCGTAATCCACAAATCTTTCATTATATAGGAAGTTAGGATAGAAAACTAGAAGGATAGGATAAAAATTCCCAAAATCGCTCGCAATAAATGACACGCAAAATAGCGAAGCCCGAAATGCTGTGCGTATTAGTGGCTTTAGGCATAGTCTGTACTATCTTGAGGTTATCTTGAGATGATTTCGGGGCTTTTTAGTGTCCCCGCGGCCCGGTCCTCGACCAGGCCTCCACCCCCAGGAAGCAGCCCGTGACAGCTGACTAACACCCAGGTACCTATTTTACTGCTAGGTAACAGGGGCATAGGGTGAAAGAAACTCTGCCCATTGTTTCTCGCCGGCGCCTGGGATCGAACCCAGGACCACAGGATCACAAGTCCCACGTGCTGTCCGCTCGGCCGACCGGCTCCCATGTCTAGCTCTATCTAGAAATCCAACATATGTTTGTAACTCGTTTTGAATGTATGACCTTTTATACCCGAATAAACATTATCTTATCTAACTAGAAATAGAACATTCTCCCCTCCCCCACCCTCCATGCACTCGCTCTAACAGAACAAATAAGAGATGCAGTACTGTAAGGTTTACTAGTATTTGTTTTTATTATAGGAAAGTACCAATATAGTACCTAATCCACCCTATTCCTTCACAGAATACACGACAGTTTACGAACAAAATGAGGTAAGAGATATAATATTATTATACATGAGGCTATGAAAGTGATTAGACCCCAAGACTCCCATGTTATCAGTATATATATATATATATATATATATATATATATATATATATATATATATATATATATATATATATATATATATATATATAATGTGTGTGTCTTTATTGCAATAATTAACTTAATGCAGGGGACACATACCCCTTAGTTCAGCTTGTTCATCATATTGTAAACTATATATGTTTTGATCGTTGCCGATAAAGGCAGGTGTTTCGAGGTCATCAAGTATTATTACACGAGGAGAGTGGCGTAATGAGTAGCCTACAGAGGGAGCGATGATTACAGCGTTTCTGTAATGACAGGGGGGGTGGTGGTGGTGGTGATGATGATGGTAGCGGTGGTGGTAGTGGTGGTGATGGTAGCGGTGGTGGTGCTGGTGCTAATGGTAGCGGTGGTGGTGCTGGTGGTGGTGGTGGTGATAGTAGCGGTGGTATAGGTGGTGATGGTGGTGGTGGTGGTAGGAAAAGATTAATGTGTATACATCATGTAAAAGGGTTGAATGACGTATTGAATGAAGGGGATGCTAGTCACTGATATTGTATGACATTTAAAGCAACAGAACCTGAGCAGAATATTTTAATTAACACATTTAGGTACATGGGTAGAGGGTTGAAAACTAATATGTTTAATTTTAAAATAAATAAAACCTATAATTATTTTGAAGTCATTATTAGCCTAAAAATAATTCTAAGATGGTGATAATTACTGCCATCTTCCTACCACTGAAGACGTGAAGAATTTGCAACTTTAAAACTAATAGTTTTCAAGAATTGAAATTTATATATTATTTGATATGGTTTAGTTCTAAGATAAATAATTCCCAAATATAAATTAATACCATGAAACTGTCCTGTCTTGAATCTGACCTAAATCTTGTTTTATATACTTATTTATCAATTCTCTAACACTCTTGCATTACATCTTACAAGACGTGCACTGGCTGTCTACTTTATTCAAATGCTGTCCGTCCATACAACATCAAACATGATAATTGAAATTTCATCTTAAATCTTTAAGGAATATGTTTCTGGCTTGGCAAGTTTCTGGCTCGGCAAGTAAACCTATTGTGGACCTCCACAGGACAGTCTTTATTGTATAGGGACCTCCTGTGGAAATAGACCTGCAAGTGAAATTGCACGTAGGTCTATTTCCTTCTGCACAACTATAAGTGTCAATATTTGTGAATGTCTTCTACAAGGCACCCGCTGACGAAATTTCATCGGGTATCGTAAACATAATTGGAGTTCTTAAACTCAATAAAACTAACACTTATCCTTCCCATTATTAAGCGACTTATCTAATGGCAGTTTCAGAGTGTGACATTGACGATGCATTATAATATACAGACTGTCCATTAGGCACAGCCAGAACAGCTCTCAGTGATGGAAGAGAGAAAAAGAAGGAAATAAACGTACATGAGAGACTGATAAATATTGAAGTAACAGCACAGGACGTAAGAAAACAACTAGGATTACTAGATGATTGTCAAGCTCTTGAACAAAATCGTGTATTACCATGCATGTTAAAATAAGTGGCATAGGCCCTTAGCATACCTCAAGCATTGATCTTTAATGATGTAATTACAAAGGCAGGATTGCCCAGCTGCTAGAAAATGGAGACAGAAATGCGACTACAAAAAAGGTTAACTACAGACCAGTATAATTGACAAACATCCGTAGCAAAATACTCAATGGAATAATAAGATCAATAACACAGATTGAATTAGATTTGTAAACAATCATCAACATGGCTTTAGGGCTAGGGGAAACCATTACTAACAAACCTACTGAAGTTTACTGGAAAAGTAACGGAAATAAGGCAGGATAGACATGGTTGGGCAGATTGTATATTTTCTTACTGCCAAAAAAGACAGACAGAATACCTCACAAGAGATTAATACAAAAACTTGAGAGACAAGCCGAAGTGGAAGAGCACTGACATGGGTCAGGAAATACCTAACAGGCAGGAGTCAAGAGTCACAGTGAGAGGCAAGAATTCGGACTGGCGCAGGGTAAAAAGTGAAGTACCTCACGGATCGGTACTAAGCATACGGGTGGCTCCTGTGGATTTGTTCATTGATACTAAGGCCCATACTTTTCATTTATGTTAATGGCCATAATGTAAGCATAACATTATTATGTTTACAGGAGGTTAATGACCTCCTGTAAACATAATAATGTTATGTTTACAGGAGTTGAGTCATATATGTCGAGGTTTGCAAAATTAATGAAAAAGAGTTGAGGCAGATGGGGATTGCAAAAAATGGCTTCTGGATCTCAACACCAGCAAGTGTAAGGAGATGGAAATATGAACTGGTGACAGACCAAAAGGATGATTCACGATGAAGGGAAATTACCACATTGTAACGACTAGAGAAAAAGACCTTGGAATGGACATAACACCAAACCTATCTTCGGAGGTACATATATATAGGATAACATCAGCAGAATATTCTACACTAGTAAAACTAAACATCATACTGGAACATAAAAAAACATTTAGATCATTGTATACCGCGTACGTGAGACCAGTTTTAGAGTATGCCGCTCCATCGTGGAACTCCCCATCTAAAAAACACATTTGGAAACTCTAAAAGATTCAGAAGTTTGCAACAAAGCTGTTCCCGGAATTGCCTGGAAAAGAGAGTGAAGAAAAACTGAAAGACCTAGACCTGTCGATGCTTGAAAAAGAGGAGAAGGGGGGAGACCTGATAAAGATATATAAAATCCTTAAGGGGGATTGAAAGTGAAGAAAAAAAAGAGGAAATGTTCACAATAAATACCAATAGAACAAGATGCATGGGTGGAAGCTCGAGAAACAGATGATCCATAGAGATATAAGAAAGTTTTCCTTCAGAAAAATAGTGTGAAAATGGAATGAACTAAAGCAGCATATACATGTCATAATATGGACGAGCCATACAAGCAATCAATATAGTTAGGATAAATTAGAGAAAATACCAAGCAAACCACTGGAACAGTATCTAACGATGAAAATTAATTATGAAGAGAAAGCGCTAAGCCGGTACAACTGCATAGCCGTTGCAAGGGATATGAGGCCAAGGAGCTAGGCTAGGGCAGAGGGAAGGAATGGTGCCTAGTTACATGTGGGTACTCTTGGCCAGTGTGGGTACTCTTGACCAGAGTACTGTTGACAATATAGCTTGCGGGGGTTATAGAACTTGAGCTTTACTGGCTCTTTCCAGGTCCCGCCTCTCAACACTGTCAATCAACAGGTCTGTACAGGTTCCTGAGCCTATTGGGCTTCTATCATATCTACACTTGAAACTGTGTATGGAGTCAGCCTCCCTGACCACATCACTTCCTAATGCATTCCATTTGTCAACCACTCTGACACTAAAAAAGTTCTTTCTAATATCTCTGTGGCTCATTTGGGCACTCAGTTTCCACCTGTGTCCCCTAGTGCGTG